CGATTTGAGGTAGAACATTTAGTATTTGCAATAGCCTATATTGATTAAAACCTAATAATCCAAGCTAACCACTCACTTGAGATACCTCAGATTTTTTTAATAATACATATACAAAAGCTCGAATATCTTTTTCATCTATTCTCTTCTATATGCTTTTCGATTGGAATATAAATCCCTTCTCTACAAGTACATCCACAATCTCTTTATCTGACCACTCTCTATACAATAATCGAATTACATCAACTAAAATATTATAAACAAATCGTATCATACAAATCTCGTACTTCACAACAAACACACCATACAAACACAATTCATATCTTAACTTATATAAAAAACATATACCAACTGCTTTAAAATATCCTAAATTAAAATATTCAAATTCACAAAAGTAATTTAATTATAACTTATCATTATAATACTTTAATTATTGATATTTATAAAATTTATACTTACAAAATTCCCTAATTTTTTTCATACCTACTTGCTCTATAAAATCAATCAAATTGTTTTACTATCTTTCAGCCATTATATCAAAATTATTAGTCATAATAACTAATAATATAATAAACTCTATCACACTTCCAACATCATCCTTACATTTAAGCTTATACTCTATAAAATTGTTTTTATAAGATTCTACCATATTAACAAATAGCAAATAAATAATAAAATAAAATAAAGTAAAATACTTAAATATAACTTTATTAAATCTAACAAAGTTATATCTATTCATAAAAAATAATACTTAGTTCGAACTAATAACTACTAATTCGTACTCTTCAACACACATTACTTTGAAGAATAAAATATAAACTAAAGTTAAATATAAAGGTCATCACCACATTACCAACTAAACTCATTTGTCAATATTAAACCACATTGAATTAATACTAAATATAAAAACTGCCACCACATTACCAACAATCCTTATTCACACAAGAACAGATATCAAACCACATTACTTTGATACAAAAGCTTATACCTCTTCAAAGAAATACTAATTTTAATCACAAATTTATATTACATTTGAAATTAAAATACCAGACTCCTGATCTGTAATATTATTAATCAGTATTGATATCATTATAGGAATAATGAAATAATATAATACTAATAATTCACACTATTATAATATTATTTAAAATTCTAAAAGCTAAAGGCTACAAACATATATGCTATAGTGCGGGGGCGCTAGCGCACGCGCTAGCGCGGTCACATGATCCCTGTCCCAACAGACTTATATTGTATCATAAGGGTAGAAGAGCTATGAAAGGGTAAGGCCCTCTTATAGGAAGTAGGGCACGCTAATGGTGTATGCCTGAGGCATGAAGGCAACGTAGTTGGCGCCGTGATAATATTATTAATAAAGTAATATAATATCAAGCAGCTCGATTTCTTGAAAATATTTTAGTTAAATATATATTCGATAGCCTTTAAAAATATTGAATTGATATATATATAGAACTATTAGATTATATTATTTATAATGTGGGAAAGAATTTTATAAGTAAAGAATTTGTTTAGAATATAAAATCTATATTGATTATTATCAAAAGTATATTAATTAAGGTATACAACTTGATAGGTATTATAAAATGATATTATTATTCTTTATATTGTATATATAAGATTTTAATAAAAGAATTTAAAAATAACAATTTGATAAAATCAATGATTTTGTAAATAATAGTAAAAACTATAAATAATATAATAAGATTTAATAAGCTTATTTCTATATTACTAGTTTATAGAATATATTCTAGATTAAGTGATATCAATTTTCTAATTTCGATAATCATTTAATATATAAAAGCTATAAAAAAGGCTATAATAGAAATATATTATATATAAGCTAAAAGATAAATTATAAAAACTTTAGAATAAGGAATAATTATTTATAATATCAGTTTTTACTTTATTATTTAATTATAGGTTTTAGTATAAAAAGAAAATAAAGATAGTAATATATTAACAAATAGATTGATTATATATTTTGATTGGATGCATAGGAGATATGTAAAAATGAAAACTTATTAGTAAATTATTTAAATTTCGGTCTATATTAGTACGATTTTTTTTATAAAGAATTTAAAGAAGTCGAATTGAATGATATCAATATTATAAATGACGATAACAGTAATACAATATAATTGATATATTGTATATACCTATATTGTGATTATAAATATTTTCTTTAACAATATGATTAGATATAACAATAATAATAACGAATATATAGCAATTGATTAATAAATTAATATAATAGATAGTGATATTAAATGTATAATTATATTAATTGTATTCTTATAAAAAGATATTTAATAGATAAGAAGGAATTCAATAAAGAAGTTGATAGTTTGATAAGAATAGAGTTTTTTAAATTATTCAAAGTGAGTATACTATTTGAATATAAGTTATTTAAATCTCAATTTATAACAAATAAAGAAAAAGGATTTGATAAAATATATATAAAATTTATAATTAATAATTCAAATTATAAAAATAAAATAAAACTCTTATTGTAATATAATCATTAATTATTTTAATATATTAACTAATATCTTATCTTATTCTTATCATTATTTTGTAAATATTAAATAATATATTCGGATTTATTTATAGAATATTATATAAATGTATACCTAATCAACTATAATTTTAAGTAAATCTATTTATATAAAAGTAATTAATAAAGGTTAGATTTAATCATAAATATCTACTATATATTATTAATTTTATATAATATTCTAGAGGCAGGAAATTATTAGTTTGAAAATTTATTATAACTATTATAGGGATAGGCTAAAATATAATGTAATCTATACATAACCTTTATTTACTTTAGTCAATTGAGTTATATTAATATTATAAAACTTTAAAGTAATAATACGCTTATAATTGGAATAAGAGATTTGTATATTTAGAATAAAAGAAGTTGAAAGAGATTAATTTTATAACTAAAAACAGAGAGTAATTTACTAAAAATTATCTATTTAAGTTTAATAGTGGTTTGATTACTTTTAAAAATAATAGGATTTATCTGAATCAAAAAAGACAATACAATAATTTCAAAACGATTATATTGAGAAATATCGATATATATAAAACAAAAGAAAAAGTTCGAAAAAATATTATTTTGAAAAATCAATATATCATTTAATATACAAAAAGTATATATATTATACTATATATCAATTAGAGATATTATATATCTTTTATTACTATTTAAATAATAGATTCAAAAGAAAAAGATACATTAAACTTAATAAAATCATTAAATAATAAATAAACATTCAAAAAAAGAATTTAAATTTATACCTCTCAATATAAATTCTATTGATTTATTATCTTTATTATATATCGTCTACCAATACTACTAATCTATTATTACAATCGATAGATTATATACTTTATTAACAATATAATAATACTAATATTATTTACTAAATATCAATTAAATACAAAAGAATTATTAAGAGTATACTAGCTTTTGAACTATATATATTAATTCTAGATTTTGATATCAAAGTTATTATTAAAGATACATCAATATTATTCTCAAATCTAAAAAGCAAATACTATTTATATTTTATATAGATTCTAATAATTATATAATTTATTAATTAAACTTAACACAAATACAAAAAAACGATTTCTAATCGATATTATAGCTTTATAATAATATTACGAAAATAGAGAGATTACAGAAATTAAATAAATTAATAAAAAGTTGAATCTTATAAATACTATAACTAAAAACAGTGTATATCAAATTTCAAAAGATTTAATAAATATTAATAAAATAGTTATTAAAATAATATATTAAATAAAAAAAGAATAATGAAATAGGAATTAAAAGAGTAAAAATAGAATATTATGTTTAAAATTGAATAATAAACTTAGGCTTAAATATATAATCTATTTAACTTAAGAGTTATCAATATCAGAATATCGATTATATAATCTAAAGAGAGCATTGTATTATATTAATATATATACTAGTGTATGTACTAGCATTAGCACTTTTATTATATTAAATACTAGTTTTTTATAATTAATAATAATCAAAAACGAATAAATTACAATAGATTAAAGTATTATACACTTTATTAATCCAAGTTGATATCAACAAGAATAAATGAGATCCGTAAGTACGGGGCACAACTCAACTGTCGTAGCATTATAAATCACGGTTCAAACAGATGATTTCAGGGTCACAGTCAAAGTCAGCACCATCATGTAACTTGCGAAACTTCAAGCTTGATGATTTTTTCCCTTGTGTTTCTGAAACCTCATCTTGATGGTTTGTTCTATAACTTGTACTACATGTTATTGGTGTTCCATATTGAACGCAATCCCTTTGACATAAGATCGATAGATCTCCCTCTCTCTTTTTAATTGTTCTGTTTTGTCTAGATCGCTTTCATAATGAAAGATTATGTCAAAGAGACGTAGTCCTGTACTCTAGAGATCTAATTATTGTTATCTCGAAAAGCTTCTTGGGCCTGGAGTATTCGAAGCTAAAGTTCTTACTGCCAAATCTAGCTTTTCTTGATCGGTGACTGAACCACCAACTATTGCGAAAAATTTGGACTACGCAACATCTCTCCTGAAATTCCCATCTGATTCACACGCCTCACTTGTCTCAGAGTCTGAGGAACATCATACTTGCCACCTTCACGTTATAATGTGCACCTCGTTCGGGTTCAACTACTTATTACAAACGTTTCAGGCATATTGAGCTAGGTGAAGATCCTATCACATGTGTCCGTAGTAAAAACTAACGCTGAGCTTTTCAATTCATCTTCAAGTTGGGCCTGGTTTTGGAGCTCTTTATGAGGCTGAGTCATCAGGGGCCAAGTTTTCTAGACGAAATGACTGGTCATACTCCGTAAATTCGGACAAAATTAGCTTGAAACCAAAAAACACTATTCAAACTTCATAATTATACATTGAAAACTAGCACCGCCAGAAGAATTTGACATCCAGTTAATCGTATGGCTAGGCTCTTTTGGATTGGGAATTCCGTCGTTTTTGCGATAATTTTATTTTTCGCCTGGCCGACTCTAGCGGCCAATGGACGTCGCAGCTTCTCGGTACATCAAATTTCAAGAGCAGACACAAGCCAACTCTTCAATATATCAAAAGCTTTTGCCCGAAATGTCTTTAGATATGGAGGACAAAGGCTTCCTAATGCCGTAAAATCTGCGGAGACGGCAACTGTCTTGACTTGGGCTCAAGATCGAGAATTTTTAATTCCGGTCAGCGTGGGAGCTTCCACTCTCAATCTCACAATAGATACTGGCTCTTCTGACTTGTGAGTAAATGTGACTTATTTTGGCTTTGATACTCGTGATTATAACACTTAATTAGGTGGGTGTTTTCATCCCAATTACCTGAAGATCAACGAGAAGGACATGCTGTGTATAAGCCTTCCGTATATGCATCTAAATCATCCACGCAGACTTGGAAAATTTGGTATGCAGATGGCAGCCATGCAAGCGGTGGCCTCTGCCACGATGTTGTTGGTGTGGAGGGCATCTAGGTGATGCAGCAAGCTGTCGAAATTGCGACTAATGTTAGCAATAATCTTGTTCATAGTAGTAGATCAGATGGAGTCCTTGGACTCGGTTTTAGCAATCTCAACAAAGGTATTTTCAAAAACACAGATCAGCAGTACTATTTCTTTTTCGAACTAGCTAATCTTCGTGACCCAGTGAGACCGGAGCGTGAAAATACCTTCTTCGACAACGCTAAGCTACAGTTAAAACTGCCTTTATTTGCTGCTATCCTGAAGGAAGACACTCCTGGGAGTTACGATTTCGGCTTTATCAATAAATCTAAGTATATATATGAACTGGTCTATGTTGAGGTAGATAGTTCACGCGGTCATTGGAACTTTAAACTTAGTGGTTATGACCTTGGAGATGGGGAGATTGTGAATGATCTTCTTGACAGTGTTATAGGTAAATCTCGATTGATCTTGTACTCTCAACAGTATTCATATGATAGATTAACAGACTGATTACCATAGATAGACACAGGAGCATCGTTGATCTTTCTTCCCGAGAATATTGTGCGGGCATACTACCAACAAGCCATCGGAGCAGAATACAACGCCCAATTTGGTGAATGGACCATCCCTTGCTCCTCGTTTCTACCATCTTTTACGCCTATTATCAAGGGTTATAATGCTAAGGTTAAGTCGGGTACCCCACTTTCTGGCCACCCCCCTTTTGGGCCACCCTTTTATATCAAAAATCACTTTTTAGACTTATTAATATTTCTATTAATATTCAATATGATTTGATGAAAATTTGTATATATATAATTTAGATTGATTTAAGTTTATTCTAAAAAATTTAGAATTTTAAGATTTTTCTATATTGAGATTTAAAACTTCAAAATATCGATTTTCAAATTTATATTGGAATTATATATAAATTTAAAACTCTTAAAAAATCTTTAATAACTTTTTAACAACAATTATTAAAAAAAATTATATATATTTTTAAGATATTTAAGTTTGAATTTATATAAAAATTCAAAAAAAAATTCAAAAAAATTAACAGATATAAAGATATAAAGATATAATATACAGTGAGTTTAGAGTAGTATAAATAATCCTTATCATTTTGAGAGTATCTCTGTAAATATTTTCATATAGAAAATTTTCAATTTTTTTTCAATTTTTTGAATTAAATATATTATAAATATATAATAAAATTTTATAGTTTATTTTTAGCAATTTTTATTAAAAAGTTATTGAAAATTTAATAAAAAAATTAAATTTATATATAATTTCTATACAAATTTAAAAATCAATATTTTGAAATTCTGGTTTTCAATGTAAAAAAAATCCTAAAAATCTAAAAATTTTAGAATAAATTTAAATCGATTTAAATTATATGTATACAAATTTTTATTAGATTCTATTTATAAATAAAAAAGTTACAAATTCTATTTTTGGTATAAAAAGGGGTTGAAAAATGGCTCAAAATAGGGGTGGCTCGAAAATAGAATATCCGATTTACTGATAGTAAGATTGATGAAATGTTATCAACTATTTGACACAACTATCTGCAGATTGCCTTGCATGTCTATCCTCCAATCAGGCGGTTCCCTTCTCAATCTGACAAATTCTGTTCCTGAGCAGCGAGTCGTGCTTTTCGAACGCCACTTTCATGTTTCTCAGTACTCCATTCACGAATCGCTTTGAAATCTCTACAAGTATGCACTACGTCAAAATCTGGCGTGATCCATCCCTTTTTTGATGCATTTCTTGACGCCGGCACCAAAGGTGTTGGTGTTAGATCACCATGGCATTGTATTACCTGGCGTAGATGGTTTATACAGTGATCTGCAATCAAAAATTATAACGAAAAAAATTGAACACAGAAAGCGGCTTACCTATATGAAATCGTGCCCACCACTCTTCATGAAATCCTTGGGCTCGATAATAATCAACATCTTGTGCGATACATATGGCGTTGAGGCAATGTAGACTATGGAGAACGTCTAGTCTGAGCGAAAATTAGTACATCATAGCTTTTTGTCATGGATTGAAACTATCGACTAACCCAACTGTACAATGACCTCGGTACTTGTCATATGCGGATCTATCAGAGACTTCTTTTGCCTCTTCTGGAGTCACAGCGATACTCTCATCTTCAGAGATGAAACAAATCAGCTAAACGAAACATGAGATGAAGAAGATATATTCAAATCACATACTATGTACCAGAGCTTGCCATGCATTATCTATTTCTGGCGAAGGAGAGCCTACGTAGACAGGCTCGTCGGGATTCAGTGTTACATACTGCTTCTCATTGTCATCGAAGCGGATTCCTCCGTAAAATTTGACCTGCTTCAATCCTATCGCTTCTCGAGCAACAGCTAGAAGTGTGGCTCTTCATTAGCTTTCGGTACTTCATGAGCTCACAAAACGTATGAAGTTACATATTGGATTGGGAAACTTACACCATTCTGTTTCGAACCCAGTTTCATAATCATGTTGCCGCGGAATATTCTATTTACTCCGAACATAATCCCTCATTCCACTTGCAAGAAGTAGAAATGCCAGTAGCAAAGTTGTGAAGATCCATATGTTAGGCTGCTGGGAGGAAAAACGTCTCAATGACTTGATCCGAGCACTTCTGCTTGCACTCTCTACAAGTGGATGGGACTCTTCCTCGTCGCTTCCTTCGTCTTTTGAAGTGTGTAACATGATTGGTGTTTTTCTTGTGTTCTAATGATTTAATCTGACAGTGTTATATTTGAGAATGAGCTCTGGGTCACGAGAAAACTAGCTCCTTCTGAAATAGGACTAAGCGTTTGGTTCTCTAGTTTTTTCATCTGAATTCGTATATAGAACTAGTTACATGACTTGAAGGTCAATAACAACTTCAGTGTAACAAAAATAGAAATTATGGCGTCATGCACTAGCATACAAGTCCACAAAATAGGCTTACGTGGCAATACATTATGGCCAGGCTAGTTTCATTTGCACGAAGTGTAGAAATACGTATTGTACGTAAATTTGCATTTCGCGAGGTCTAACTTGAATGGAGTGTATCTTTGCTTTCTTTGATAGGCAGGTGAAGGATCGGCTCCGCGAGTGGATCTCGTAAGACTTACCACTGACAATCATTTGTGAAATTCTAAATCAGGAAATTATAATTATGTAGGCAGCAACAGTAGTGATTGCATTAGTTGTGTTTGGTACTTCCCAGTGTCAAACCCCTAGTAAGACGACGCCCCTACTGCAAGGATCTGCATAAACGTCTCGATCCTTCATCCAGCGCACATATGTTGATCTCACAATGCGGGGTTTCTTATCTTTAAGGTAGATGATAACCGAGTATTTCCACTTGTGCTGCATTAAGCTTAGGAATAATTAACCGAGTTCAACTTTGAGAGTATTATATGGTTGTTGTTGAGGTTTTTTTCTCTGGCCATTCGATCTCTGTTCTTTAGCAATCGCTTTTCAATCTACCCTCAGACTCCTCAATCAAAGATCGATCCAAATTCTACCCTCACTACAACACCAAACCTCAAATCACCAACAATAAATCTCATCTTTTCAAAATGAAGTGGACTTTCATCTTTGCCATCGCTACATTTGCATTGGGCGCCGCTGCTGCTCCGGCCGAAGCTGTTGAAGCTGTCCCTGAAGCTCTCTACATCTAACCAATCAAATACGCCGAATTCGAAGAAGACGCTTAGGGCTATTTGTCAAATCTTTCAAACGTGCTGTGTCATGCGTTTGCGTTGATTTGTCTGGGTTCTACCGAAGTGTGTTGTACGGAAACAGTGGAGCTTAGGGAATGATTTGACTGCAAAGTCATGGTGATGGTGATAGTTACGCAGAAGGCCGGCAGAACGAAGTAACTTGTGTAGTGCAGGTCTATCGTGAAAGTCTTCATGGAGGTTTTTCCGCACTTCAAGGTTTCCCTTCATCCTTGAACGAATATTAGACTTAATGAATGACAAATATTGAGTTCGTGGTTTTCATCATAAATATGCTATTCATGAAAGTGCATGTTCTAAATAGTGATCAATTGTGATGAGTCTTGGAAACGGAATTTATCAAGAAGATTCGTAGGTAGTGTATTCTCCCCAGGTGAACTCATTTCTCTTAAGAAACCTGCTGGTAGTATCAAGCTGCATGTGGTCTAGTTTATGAGAACGTACCATCTCATCGTCCTGTGTTGCATAAGATTCAATTCTTTAATTCTCACCAGTGTTTGGCTCGTTTGCCATGCTGACGTTCATTCTGGTGGAGTCTGGAGTATGAGCTGACGTGAAAATTCTGCGCATTTGTCCTGAAGAACTTGACTCGCTACACGAGGGTAATTCCAGACTTCACAACAACACTTGTAAGATGTAAATCCGAATATTTTAGATCAGCATTAACTTCACTTTTCCGAGTCAACATCTGTTTCCATCATCTGTAACTTCTGGCCCATGCATAGACTTCACCATCATGGGTCACTAACATGTGCGTGCCTAGTCTGACGTACACGGAGATAAGCTTTGGGGTTTCCCTGTCAAACATTCCAGAGTTGCATGTTAAGGAATCTCTTAGGGGAGCTATACTACACTCTGAAAAATTTGGAAAATCAAAAGTCATCGCCCGTGAGGAAGTTAAACACATTGCGATGATTGGCGCTGGAAATCTGTCTGCAGATATGATTGAAAAGCACTGCGTTCTGGGAAGACGGTCTCCTGGACTATTCGGAAGACAGGTGCTGGTCCTGGATTTTTTGCTCCTCTAGACCTGAAGACTCCTTGAATAAATGGCGTGGATGCGGTGCAAACAAGAATTATATCAAATTTTTAGCCTTCACTTCTTAACTGAGATACATGGTGGACTTGGTTTCCCACAGTACGGCAACATGTGTAGCAATTGTATCATAGATCTTCTCAACCTTGGATACTGCAGTACGAAAAAAGCCAAACTACGATGGACAAAAAAGTACAAAAGGCTTCGAAAAGTTGAGATATGATACAGAGTGAGTTAAAACTATTCTTTTCGCACTATCCAGGATTTAGTCGCATGGATATTAAGTTAAACTTTGAAGTATATTTTGGTAAAATGACACTCCCTGTAATAGCAAAGTTAATACCTATATATGAAAAAAATGTTAGTATAAATCCCCATACTAATATTTAATACATATATTACAGAATTCAAACTTTTTTCATCCTTGATAAAATATATATTTCATCAGCTATAAATCTTTTCTATTCAAAATGCAAACTGTTTATTATTGACATTTTTAAAAAATTAAAAGAAAATAAAGGCCCTTAGGAAAGGTGGACGGAAGGAAAGCGAGCATAAAAGCTAGGAGGAGAAGGGGAATAAGCAGAAGAACTAGGAGGGGATGGGGAGCGAGTGTAGGAGCTAAAGGAAAAAAGAAACGAGCAGAGAAGCTAAAGGGTGGAAACCGGTATTAGTCGAAAGTCTAAAGGGGGGTTTGTTTATAGACCACTCACTTCACTTTTGATTTATTCTTCAATCAAAAGTTTTACCACTATACTATATAGTATAGAATGTACTGTTTAAACAGGAATATAAATCGATTTTAATATATATAGTTATGATTACTAATCGATTATTAATCGAATTTAATACAAATAAACTTTTTTATTTGTAATGTTATAGACATCAATATAGAATCGATATCGGGCCAACTATTAGTTCAGAAGTGAAAAGTTTATATATATATATATATAGCTTTGAAAAAGAGATTTTAAAGAAATTAATAAAAAGTCTTATTATTAGGTCTATATTTATATATTATAGTAATCATCACCTTGTATTGATTCTAACATATAAATAACCTTAAACTAAAATTTTCGAAATCCAAGAAATTTCGAAAAATCAATAAATTTCGAAAAATTTTCTAAGTCCCCTTAAAATAAAATTTTCTAATTATATACATATAAAAAAGTCAATCATATTAATATTATATAATCTATTTTTTCAATATAATATTAATTATTGAAATTTTTGATACAATTAATGAAATGATTTATTCGTTAACCACGGATTCTGTCACTACAGGGACTGGCCGGGCACGACACCACTACGGTTTTTGGAATCTTATAGCCGAAAACGTTACTGTATATCGCGACGAAGTGAAGATGATAAATGACAAGACGCTGTATCTTCAAGACGGTTCTCATTTCCCTTGGGATGCAGTCTTATGTGGAACGGGTTGGAAACTCGGAGTTGAATTTTTTGGTGATGATCTCGAACTTGATCTGCTTCACAAGAAGGAAATTAAACCACACGAGGTGACAGCAAAATGGAAACCTCTTACCATGGAAGCCGACGAAAGGTTGAGAGAGAAATACCCGCTCCTCACAAATCCTCCAAATCATTTCCACAAAAATATTGATACGACTCCATACCGATTGGACAATGGAGTCGCTCCATTGAGCGACGATTCGATTCTTTTCATATATCATATCACGGGAGGAAACAAAATATTCGCTGCAGAAGATCAAGCAATATGGGCGGTAGCTTACTTTGACAAAGGACTTATTCTACCTCTAATGGAAGAAAGAGAAAAGAAGATCGCGAACTGGGTCGCTTCTGATACTTCAAATAAGAAGAGAAGTGTATTCAAGATATCAATATGTTGAAAATTCAAGTTCAAGGTTTTATAATAAGTGGCATTCATATATCGTTGTACTAAGCACCTACAAAGAAAAGTATCTCAAATCAGATGACACTCTCGATGGAATAGCCAGCAACAGAAAGTTGTGCCCTGGTGGCCCAAGGCTGGGAATTGGCCCGGCATTTATTCGGCACGTCAGGTACGCCATCCATCAATTGCCGACGCTTTTTTTGTTTACGGCGTAGTGCGTGAGAGTCGCGCATAATAAAGATGGGGGCAGCGCGGAACCCAGCAAGCTTACATTGTCCCGATTATTGAGATGCATCATATCTATGACGTGGGGGACGACGAGGTGCTTCATATGCATTTCTTCTGACAAGATTCAACGAAGGTGGACAGCGAGACTTGACTTTCACACCGCCCTATATCAAGACTACACCACCGAAAAATGTCAATTTGTCCAAGAATTCAAGTAGCACTCGGCACTTGCAAGGCGACTCATATCGCTAGCTACCTATTCTTCATGTCATCACAGTCGTGAATTCAACAAAAATACTCCCCGTCGGATGATCATCGTTATATCTCGTAACCATGCATCGTACCTGGCTCAATAAAGTCATCGATCGCCACATTTACCCCGCAATTCCCCGCATATACCTGCCACCAAACTTTCAACACTTGGATATCTTGAATATCTCTATTACGGGGTAGAATTTTACCGAAACTTCGTTGTAGCTACATAAGTTACACTCGGAGACGTCATGTAAGTCTCCCATGGTAATATTTCTCATTCTTTACACACACCACAAAAATGTTGTCTCAAATCTTCCTCACAGCATTAAGTTTCCCCCTTTTCGTATCCCTCTCTTCATCCACTGCCGTCTCCCTCGTCAAAGAGAAGAGATGCATCGTAGAGGCCAGTGCCAGCGGCGGCGATGACGCACTAGCAATAATTCACGCCTTCGAAGAATGCGGCCACAATGACGGGATCACCACTCACGGGACCGTCGTATTCAAAAACACAACCTACAACATCCAAACCGTTATGAACACGACCGGTCTATCCAATGTGAAAGTTGATCTTCACGGTACACTATTATGGGATACCAACATTCCATACTGGCTGAACAATTCCCTCCCTGTCGGATATCAGAACCAAAGTAGTGCATGGCTTTTTGGGGGCGAGAATGTTCATTGGGATGGGCATGGATATGGAACATTAGATGGAAATGGAGAGGTTTGGTATGAATTTATTAATGGGACAAATAATTATCCAGGGAGACCTCATCAGATTACATATACAGGTGTTAAAAACTGTGTTTTTGAAAATTTGAGGTTCGTGCAGAGTCAGATGTGGACGATGACTATTATTCACGCAAAGGATATTTTGTTGGAGAATATTTATGTGAATAGTACGGATGTAAGACCAGTTGGATTTGAATTTAGTAGTTTGAATGTAAGTATTTTTTGTGCTGTTGCGTGTGCTGGGGTGTTTTCATTGGAAATATGGAGGCTGATCTTGGATACATAGACTGATGGTGCTGATACTATCTATGCGGATAATATCACCTTTCGTGGCTGGACGGTGGATAATGGCGATGATTCCATCTCTATGAAAGCCAATTCAACCAATATTCTCATCGAAGATTGTGATTTCTACACAGGGCTTGGTGTAGCCATCGGGAGTATCGGTCAATATGGTAAGTCTCCTGGATACCTAACATAAGATAGATCTCATTAACCCTTTCTTCCATCACAGAGGGCAGATATGAAGTAATTGAAAACGTCACCGCTCGCAATATTCGCTCTTACAACATGCGCTATGGAGTTTACATGAAAACCTGGACTGGAGTATCCACTGGGTAAGACCACTACTTCATCAACTTTGTAAGTTTCACTAACGATCCCAGATACCCTCCGAATGGTGGAGGCGCCGGTCTGGGCCACGCAACCAACCTTTCTTTTACCAATTTCACGCTTCATAATAATACCGGCATAATCGCCATAACACAATGTACATCTTACAACTCTGCAACTGGGAATTGCGACACCTCACTATTCAATCTGTCCAACATGACCTTCGCTTCTTGGAGCGGTACAGCCTCTAGCGATGTGGTAGCAGAGTTACAGTGTAGTGGTGCCGCGCCTTGCACGGGTATTCTGATAGAGGGTATGGAAGGTATTTTGGATACTGTGAACAACACAAAACCAGCGCAGTATCTTTGTGATAGTGTTGTGGAACCTAATGGATTTAATTGTACGGGTGTGCCATTTGGAGAGAATCCCAGATAGAATGGCTGGGAGGAGAAGAGGACGAGACGAACAAATTAATGACATGAACGATAGAAGGTGCACCTCATTGCGCTCCTTCCTTCTTAAAATAAGACTCCTTCACCAAGGATATATATTCCTTCTTTCCCTTGAAAATTGAATAGATGATCAGAATTGATGTGGAAGGAAAGAGTCGCCAGTGCCACCACTGAGTATATCAAGTTAATTCACATCCACAATCTTTTTGTCCACAAACATAATTTTATTTCCTTGATTCCTTCACCACAAGTATTATCATAGAATTGTTATAGTCTCGCTTTGAGTCAGTATTTACCCTAAACACCTCTTGTCAAGGACACTTTTGGTTTCTTGGCGCCCCCCAAACCTACTCAAAGATACAATGTTCACAATCGATTCATTATTTAGCCCCGACTACCCACGAAAATTTGCCTTAATCGGTGTTTCCATTTTGGCTCTTCTTATGTACTGGGCGGTTAACACGATCGATTCATTACTTGGCCCCGACTACCCATGGAAATTTGCCTTATTCGGTGTTTCCATTTTGGTTTTTCTTCTGTGCTGGGCGGTTTCCAGTTTTTACAGACTTTGCAGGCTTGCCTGCACATCTTTGAAAGCGCCTGCAAACCCGAGGAATAATGTTGAGGAGATACATATCGCAAGGCAATCTGGTGTCTGGCAGACAGCTGGACCACCTGGAAGAAATGCACGGCATTAATGATACAAAGCAAACAAAAAGACCCAAGAAGATTCAATTTCCAAGTATATTCCAACGTTTGAAAAATGCTATCTCTTGGAATGGTCGTCATGGTCGTCAATTGTGGAAAGAGTACCCCGCTGAACCTGTCTTGAATCAATCTACAATGAGGGCACTATTGAAAGTCGAGGGTGATCTTTTGAGAGTTGTGTTTCCTGAAGACAATGTCCCTGCAAGATCCCAACATCCCAAATCGCAAGCTGCCGCATCTACACTCCGTCCAAAAATCTCGCCGACCACCCAATCAGATATTGCGTACGAACACAAAGTGTTTGGTCCAAGTATCGCTCAAGAGAAAGCGGATGCTTCTGCCGTCTGTAGAGTCAAACTCCTCACTGCGAATTCTTGCGATCCTTTCACATACATCAAGTCTCATGAAACAGAAGATAAGAGACCAGAGCTAGTTGGTGATAAATCCGTTTCTTGAGTTGTGTTGGAGGAGAGCTTGGAACCCAATACACAAAGAGTACATAAGGAACTGCAATCGACAATACTGGGTTCTTTTTAAAAATAGGTGAGAGAAACTCCAGACTCAACATCTTTCGTGTCTTCTAACATTCGAAAGTAGGCATGAGATGTCCAAAGTCCATCACGCGGTTTCTCTCTGTTCCATAAGGCGGTCATCGGGTTGAAGAGGCTCTTTGAATTAGCGTATACTTATTCTCATGTGAAGAATATGACGGCGAGATGGTCTTACAAATATTCATTAAATAATCAGCAGGCTGTTTGTATTAGTTTTTATATTCGAGAAAAAGAATAAATAGCGGTCATCAATTTGTTATTGTCTTCTGACCCTCCAGTTACAAATCAGCCGAGGATGAGTGCAAGCCATGATTGAGTTCTGGTTAAAGAAACATGAAGATCCCTGTTGAAAGAAATGTAGAGATGCTCATATTCGGTCTTTTCTTCTCTCTCCCGGGATTAGACCTCGAATTGTAAGACTTGCAGCTCAGTTCAATACATGAATTGGTGAAAAGGTGCACATCTTTTGATTTTCGCAAGAAATCAGTCTATAACGAATGTGAAATTGCGGTATCAAACCGATATCGCGCAACGTTTCCTTTCTGGAACAGGAAAGAGCATCGCGATGGTCGCGGTGCTTGTCTTGACCCGTATTCATAATAATAACTCGCTCAAACTCCAACTTTCTATCATGATACATTTCGTCCTCCGTCTTGCTTTTCTCATACACTTCCCAATCCACTGAAGCACCTTCACAAGCAAAGATGACATCCTCCTAACCCCTCATCCCCAGTCCCGAAACTTCTCAGCCCAACTGTAACACCACACTCGCACCTCTCTCCTTCCCTCTCCTTGATCAGTTTTCTTCTCACTGCAATCCCCGAAACAACCGGTCCAACGATCGTACATAGAACTAAAGCCCAGATTATCACCAAGAATATTTGATCTTCGACCACATCTAATGTTTTAAATCTCCCGGTATCTTTGTGCATATTTAGGATCCTGATTGGCGTTTTGGAGAGACTTAAGGTGCCTGAGCTCTGCGCTTCTGAAGCTACCAGAAAGCCGAACCCTCCTCGAGCAATCATTGTGGACCCTACTATAATGGCATCGAGATGAGGGGTGTCTGTTTTTAATTTTTGATTTGCGAGATCGTTTGTAGCGAATTCTTCTGGTGAGCCGTCTTGTTGGGGAAGTTCTTCTGGTATTGGAAGTGTTTTCTTTTTAAGATTTGTCCACTTTTGAGACCACCTTGTGGTGAAGAATTCGAAATAGACAACTAGTCCCACGGAAGCTTTGGCTAGAAACATCAAGCAAGCGTAGAAGATTCCTTTCCACAGGATAGAACTTGAAAACATTTCGGAGACGGGGATGGAAAAACCGATTGATGCCTATTTGGTATTAGATGTATGTTTTGTTTCGCAACCTTTAGGTCTTGAAGATCAAGCAGATATTTGGAAAGGTAGTAAAAGTACTTACGAAGAAAAAAGGCACTAATATATGATCCATTGTCGGCTTATAATACTCCTCAAACATTATCGTAGGTCGATCCACACCCAAGTCTATATCCTCTCCACCACTCACACTTTGCCAAGTATATCTCACCACAGCACCAGCTAAGAATGCAGATAGTAATATCGAACCCTCTACACAAGCAGCAATAGTTACAAGAACTATAAGCATCAAAGTCGATAATATAAATCCCGTATGCCGAGAAATCCCCTTTTCGGTATCAATATCCTCACCAAAAGTTTCTTGGCCAACTTTTGGATATGTAAATATTGAATGGAAACCGCGAAGCAAAAGTTGCAGAAGAAATGGCGTTAGCAAGAAAGTGGCAAGTATAAGACCCAAACTGGATATGGCAGGACGGACAATTGTCCAAGAATCGGAGTGGCCTTGTCCGAGTGCTGTTATGATTTTAACCATCACGAGGACAAGAATATCATCTAGCATTGCCGCGCCAGCTATCAAAGTACCGATTGGTGTTTTCTGAAGGTTTGCAGATGCGAGAATAATAAAAGTTGACCCTAAGGATGTGGAGCAGAGAGATACTCCTGCTGAAAAAGCTGCTAATGCGGTTGGATATCCTGAACCTTCAATACTATCGAATTTCATACTCATGATGAAAAATGATAGAGCCATCGGCATCAGGATTCCAATCATCGCAGCGGACAATGTTGACCATATTGTGTTTCTTAATATATGAAGATCTGTGATGAGGCCACCTTCAAACACCAAACAGATGAGCCCCAGATATCCGAGATATTGTACTGTTTCTTGAATTTCTATGTTGAGAAATGAAGTTCCGGTGATAGGCATTCCAGAGAGAACCCCGATAAATATTTCCCCAATGAGTCCGCAATAGAGGAAGGAATCGAGAAGGTCACGGGTTATGTTGAGAATGAATATGAAGATGGAGAGAGGAAGTATGATGTCAAGCCCTGGTTCGATATAAGGAAGGAATGCCATGTCTTTCGAGTTTGGAAGTTGGTAAGATGGAGAAAATGAGAAAAGGATCTGGGTCAAATTCTTAATGATGAATTGATGTACCTAAGATAAGAGTATCAGACACATGCTGTTGGAATCTATTATCTTGATCATCGTCTAAATTGTTCTCGTAAAGTAGATCCGTACCTTCCAGCACAATGCTGCCTTATCAGATGGCGTCGTGTTTAACAGCCCATAGGGTGAATCCCAGATTGTCTCTTCCCGTTCCATGCTCTTCGGTGTAGTTCATTACACGTGCAAAAGAACTAGCTCACCACTCGGGGAGTTTTGGAAATGAATAAATGTTGTCATTGACTCACCTGAGTAATTTGTTATATTTTATGATCTATCGCCTCGTACAAAGCGTAATCATTGTTGGGAATGTTAGACGAGTTACCTAAGGGGGGTAGGACAAGGGACTTTTTGGGCGGAAAATAATACTGTGATCAATCTGATAGCTTTGTCCAACAGTGCCAGATAATGTCAGATTTCGATGCGTTATCTGATCGTCAATATCTTAGGATAAAGTTTTGCCAAATTAAGCTGTGTACATTGGTTCTTTCCAACACCCACCGTATAAAGGACTTGCCATCTGACTGGTATGGTATCTTACGAAAATGAATCGAGGGTTGAGTCTTTCTGACTCGAGATACACTCGACATATCAACGGTAACTGAACAGGATTATGGGAGACACAAGTTTCCGACTAATTTTCCGATTGCTGAAACTTCACACAATGAGAAATTATTTATCTTCAACCAGAATTAGGAACATCGTATGAAATTCCTTCAACATATATGCAATGAAATTAAAATTAAAAAAGTCCTCAGATACCGCACAATAATTGAGGCACATATTGAAATGGGGTTGGTTTGTATTAAAATCAGGAGCTCTTGTTCAGGCATTATGGATATCACCACCATTACTCTTCTCCATTGCCATGCTTGTACTATCAGCACTCACAATCATCTGAATCTCCTCGGTGAGAACAACGACATATGACACTCCAATGCCGCTTCATTAGCCTAGTGAGTTAAAGACCTTTACCCACATTCAGTACGGAGGAGAATCTCTTAGTTCATACTCATAGGCAGTAGATGCCCATTAACCTTGAGCTTTCTCCGTCCGTTTGTAAACAAGTACGGTCAAAACTGGCAACATGGCATTTACTAAGTAACAAGAAAGGCGTCATTGAAACAAGCAGAACAAACACGGGAAGAAAAAATTTCTGTAAGAAACATGTTATACAAACTCAAAATGAATAAATGCTGTGGTGGAAGTGATGAATGATTGATGTCGATTGATTACATACAGCAAGAGCTTGTCTTCGTGTTAGAAGGTGGGCATGTAGTTTGTCAAAATATGAGGAAAAGAAAGATAAATGAGGAAGAAACAGGTGTCTTATGCTGACACCCAGTACTGCCTGCCCTCTTCCAAAAGGGCGATTTCGTCGATTTTTGGGATTTTTGGAATTGCTGATTAAGCAAAGATTGATCAAAAAAGTGCCAAGAATTTTCTTTCAGTGAAAAGTGGAGCGTACCTACACTTTACCTCCCCAAAGTCTCACATCGTAAATGCTTTTCAAAAGACCTCCTCACTCTCCTTGTACTTCCGAAGAGACAAAACCATCGAGTTCATCTTATTTCTTCAGATGATCGCAAAAAGAGTAGCCATGAAAGACGGATGCAAAAGAACTGCTTCAATGCCCGTTCTAGGAATCGAACCTAGGATCTCATCATAGCCATGTGAACTCCACAAGTACTAGTGATGCGCTTTACCGCTAAGCCAAACGGGCTGTGTGAATGGAAGGGCGGAGTGATTTGTGAATATATACGGACGCACTGTTGGTGCCCTGGGGATTTTGGGTAATCTCGCAGATGCGTGTGGATAAATGAACTCAATCTCGATAAGTAATGGTGCAGTGGTCGTATCAGAATATTTTTCTAATTTCTGCCGAAAGTCTACAACCGAGCAAAGATCGATGATGACCTTAAATTGTTATTAATGTATCGAAGAGCATCATTTCAATCATCTGTGTTAATCCCATCCAAACGTTGTAAATGATTATGACATATTCCATAGCTTGGAGCTATCATGAATAACACAAACGCGAAACGCGTCTCTCCCTATCAAGACCAATCAAGACCCTCTTCCCCACTTAATACTGGTACCAGCATACCGGTAGCTTTTTCTTGGAAATGTCGTTGTCGTTGTCGTACATGAGAGGGAGAAAGCTTCAAACATTTACAATTTTCTGAGGTACGGCAATGGAAACCAATTCTTCACCACAGTGCAATGCACTGAATGTTTCCGATGAGAAACGATGCTTGGAAAAAGCTACATCTGTGAATGGATTATTTTGTAGCTTCCACTCTAAACAATGTCAAGGTATATCCCCAGAAACACCCCGGACAGAGCCGAGATCTCAATATCTGAAAGTATTCGATATTTGCAATCCATTTGACATTTTGCCACAAATCTCCATTGAGTTCAACACAATTAACAATGACCTTCAGGTCTTTATCGTGGATACAAACTTCGTACAGCTCGGCTTGAACGACTAGACAAAACCCCACCCCCATACCTTGCAAATACGAAAACTGCTCTTGGAAATGAGACTTTTAAGGATGTTACAACAGAAGCAGAATGTAAGGAATTACATGATTGGTTATGGACCAAGTATCAACTACTGGAAAGAGTGATAAGAGCGAGGAAGCTGCATCATAGTCGATTTTTCAGTCAGAACATGGACTATGGGCATGCGAAATTCTTGGACCAGCTTAAGAATCAGAAAATACATGTTACCTATGCATTAGAAAAACTCGAAAGGAGAACTACAGAGGTGTGTCAATATGCGGCAATCTTTGCGGACTTTGTGCTGACTTTGTTTCTCGCCAGATTTTATATCAAAACCAACAATGGTTCAAATGGGTACGAGAATGCCAGGATGATGAAGAAGCACATCGGGAGAAAGAACAAAAGAGAATAAAGCAAGAGGCACAGCTATGGCAGAGGAATTGGAAGCAGGCAAAACAAAGAATGGAGGAGAAAATGAGAAGGGAGGAGAAGAAGAAACAAGATACTTTTCTGGAGAGAATATACAAGGAGAAGATGAAGGAGATAGAAGAAAATGAGGGTACAGATGATGATATGGATTGGGATCCTATTGAGGATGAGTTGGAGGATGGACGAGGAAGCTTTATAGGTATGTTGATATTGACATCACGATCTTCCATGGGTAGAGCTACAAGTCCATGCTTCACATTTTATATCTCACAGATGCTAACTGGCCATTCCTAAAGACCTCATGCGGCATTTCTTATGGATATCCTCGGAAGAAGATCTAAAACTTGTCGAACCCTCATCAACGGAAATTGACAAAGAAGTTGTGATCGAGAATGATGTAGCATCTCAGAACCCAAATCTCAACGCAAATAGTACCGACGAACTTGACACGCTTGTGGCCCAAATCGAGTCCGCTGGTGTTACCGAAAAGTCAAAAAAGAAGAAAAAGAAGAAGAATGGAGGAGCAGCTACGGCAACTACGACAACTACGCCTTCTCTTTCCACAAAGACAAGTAAACCAACACCTAAGCCACAAGAGTTACCTGATAAATCTCTGATCGAAAGTCGAGAGGACATGTATCACAGGTTGGCTCATGGAATAAAAATTGACCTTGATGATGTTCGGGGGCCCATGGTAGCTGGAACGGTGGAAAATCCTCACGTCCAAACAACAACTCGAACGTTTACAGAATTCGAAATCACACGCCTGCTTGACGAGGTGTCCGAGATTAAGCACTTGTTGTTCTGTAGATTGTTACTTGCACACGCCGCTTTACTTCCGGCGGCTCTCCGCGCTGATAGCATCGAAGCTTTCTTTCAAGATGAAGAAGTGACTGGCACCGCCCTGAGAGATGTTTGTCTTAAAATGGAGAAACCTAGTCTTCAAGAAATCCGGGATGCATGTGCAGACTTCTTTCGATCCGACGATGAAAAGGAGGAGGATCCTGAAATAAAGACCCAAAGTGAGGATGTTGATGATCATGAAAGATCTGAACCTAAAGCTGTTGATCCTTACGATGTCAAGATGAGGTTGAGCCGGAAAAAGCGTGGTGAATTACCTGGAACATGGCGTTCAAAACGGGAGCTTTCTCGCGAAGAGGCGGCTCAAAACATGCTTGGGATGGCTCCATCTATGCAAAACATTATGGGGGATATGGAGGGTGGTGCGATTGATTTCGGCGACTCCACAAATTCCCAGCAAGTGCGCAAGAAGATCCGTGTGAAAATTTGTGGTAGAATGATCTGGAATTATCCTAGTGATAAAGCAATGACTCGTGGAGGTTGGTTACATTTCTCCATCATCGCAAGGGATAGTAATCTCAATACTGCAATTGAGTTATGTCGAAATTGGGAAGAGTTCTTTGAGTTGAACATTTTGGCTTGCTGGGGTTACTTTCCTGCTTCGAACTGGGCTTCTTGGGTTGGAAATAGATTGAAGCAGCAAGCTTTACAACTGGTGAGTTTCGTCAATTCTACCTATGAACGCTTCATTAACAACGCGATAACTAGGGCTTCATCATGTACTATGAAAGTTCAGATCCAGATGCCAAAGAGCTTAGTGTCAGTTTCTCACAAGGGGGTCGTAGCAAACAAACCCGTCGTCAACATGCTATATTCCAAGCAAGGAACGTAATTTGTGCCAATATCAAACGGAATGATCCATCAAGTCGCCGTTTTATTCAATATCTGTCTATGCAAAGTCATCGTTTAGTACTTCTTGTGAGAGATGCTGAAAGTGGTAAGTTGTTAGTCAAGCCTCCCGAAGAAGAGCGATGGCTATGGCGAGAGAAGAGCGGTCTTGGACGAGCCGTCAAAAATGTATGGAATGTCATGAAAAGAATTGGACCTGAATTCTTCGAGGAGATGGATCGTCATCGCGAATGGAACTTTTCTTTCAACGATTATTACGATGTTTATGTTTGGGATCTCGAGCCTGGAGAAAGTTTAGCTCCATTGTATAATACTGTTCAACAGGTCAGTCTTGTCATCCAGTGGCCTTCTCAAAGCTCTACTAACAAAGCTTAGATGCTCATCAAAGCCATCCGGGCTACCACAGGTAAAGAGATGTATAAGCCAGCTGCTTCCATTCTAAAAACGCTCTATCGAGACGAAGATAGCCATTATCGGGATGTCAGACCAGGTGATCCCCAACAGTTCGTAAACCAATGGGATTATCTTCAAGATGGGAGATCAAAATTCTATTATGGTGACATTGATGGACCAGATCCTATGCCAACTGAGCCAACAGACTCATGGCCAAGTAATCTCTTTTACAATAAAGCAGATGCTCTAGAAGATGAGGTCTTGTTTCCTGAGGAGCGAGCAGAAGAGGAATCTATTGCTCAGCCGGCCGTTGGCAAAAAGGATTCATTGAGAGCGTTCGAGGAGGAAGACTTTTCAATGAAAAGATTCGTAGATGGAACCTGGAATTGGGAGTCGGAAGATTCCGAAGACGAAGATTCGGGCATCACTCAAAATTCTGAAGCTGGATGTCAAGGGCATCACGACAGCCTTTTCGGGGACGACAGCGATGATGAGGAGGAGGACGATGATGGATTTGATGTCTTTCCAAAAGAATTCCCTAAAGATCTACGGGCTACTGTACACAGACTTGCCATAGAGAAGACGTTCAAAGATGACTTTCCCAATGAAGATCTACAAGAAGAATTCATGAAGTTTATCGAAAAGACATCATCTAGAAGTATGATAACATCCTCTCCTCAAAATCAAATTGAGACTAATTTACTGAATAGATTTCAAAAAAGCCTGGCACCAAGCAGACTTGACTCCCAATGGACAGGAGCGGTATTTAGAAATGAAGAAGTTGACCCACAGATCCTGGAGATACAACCATTCTCGTAGACCTTTCTTCAAAGCATCTTCAACAATACTCAATTTTCGGGTCATGAGTTGGCTCAAAGTGACAGCCGATGATGTTAAAGATGCAGAGAAAGCTATGGGTAAGATATATCCATTCTTTAATTCGGAATTCCTTGACACGGAAGTTGGAAAGGCATTCAAAGAATCTTTGATATTCAAGCAGGAGGAACGAGCCCGGAATTATCCAGACATCAGAACAGACAAATCTACGATCAGCCAGCCCAAGGAATTTTATGCCAGTCTCGATAAATTTCGAAAGAAAATGCGGTCCACAGATGATTATTCGGAGTTTCCTCTGGAATGGGATATGACGATTCGACCTATCATTGCAAAACGCAAGTCACCCCATATTGGTGTATGTTGTACATTTATCCACTAACACGTTTCTTATAGTCTACAAGTCTGGGATTGTTCGCAGTCATGCATCATCAGCAGCCAGCTGTCAAGCATTTCAAGGTACAGAGCCGCATCGTCCTTCTACACCTGATTTTTTTGTCGATTGGCGTACGGTTATTCCCGATCTCGAAGTGCCAAGCTGGGTGGAAGATCCCTTCAAGGTCCCACCCCTCCTTCACACCGCCCAAAAATTCTCGACTGCCAATCCCAATGCCAAATTCGCTATACTTCGCTTATGGAGTGCCCCCTACTTTTATCCTTTGACGGTTGGCCACGATAAGCGTGATGGTTTTACCTTTTACGATCTTACGGGTCGTACGTTTACTTGGTTATTTGTTCCGAAGGATCTACCGCACTCGGAATTCAGCATGCATATGAATCTTAAGAATCGGATTGAACCGTACAAGAAACAGTTTGGAGACAAGGTAGTGGCGAAGAGGGATAAGTATTTGGTTATGGGGAAGGATGAAGAGGAATTGGCCAAGTATGTGGCGGGAGTGACGTTTGCGGTTCAAATGAGACCGTGGAGACAAGAGGTGGATTTGTGGAGGAGTTTTGTTAATGTTGATATTAAGTTTTTGGAGGGGTTGGATGAAAGGTGGTGGGATTAGAGGTGGGTGATATCTTTGGGTGTTGTGATGATGATGGAAAATGCATCTCATAATAGTAACACAATAGTAAATTTTGTGGCGAGGAGGTATATATTTTTCTTCACTTTGAATATTTAGAACTTGTTGTCCTGGTGAATTGAAAGATATAGGTAGGTCTAATAGGAACCGCAAAATCCTCGTGATTTCCATGGTAGACCTACCTAGGCTATTCGTAGGAGAAATGTATTGTTGTTGTTTGTATTGTTGTTGTGTGTAGTATATAGTGTGTTGTGAATACTAGATGGATAGGTAGGCGCTGGAGTAGATTGGATTGAATTCGATTGGATTGAAGTAGATTGGAGTAGATTGGATTAAATGATAAACACCTATTTAGGTGCATCTAGGCAGGTAGGTTATGAGATATAATAAATAAATGGATGGATGGGTGTTGAGTAATGAATGGATGGATGAATGGGTGGGATGTATGAATGAATGATATTTATGTATATGGAGTATATATGTATATGTATATATGTACTACTAGGTAGGTTATTAAGAGTGTGGATATTTTTGGAGATATTTGTATTGTGATGTTGGGGGATACTGGATAGGTACTGGATAGTAGACTGGATAGTAGAGTATGGTTTGATGGGATGAGATAATGGGATGATGAGAATTGATTTGTTACTCACTGGTGACTCGAGTGTGTGGAATTGCTGTTCGCGCTTGATGTTGATGTTGATGTGTTGGATGGATGGCTGGATGGGTTGTGGTCGTGGTCGTCGTGTACTCTGTATGGAGTGTGATCGTGTTCATGATTATTGATAGGAGTGGATTATTAGTGTTATTGGTGTTGGTATTGTGATTATCAGTTTATTTCGTATATTATTCATTTATTTATTTATTCATTTGTTTGTTTGTTTGTTTGTTCATTTGTAACCTCGATTAGATAAATAAATAGAAATAAATACCTAGGTACACGCAAACCCAAATATTCTATACATCATCATTTATCCATCTACAATTTTACACATAGACACATAGACTCAAACATATCTTTCATCCATTTACTCGTACTCTCCAATCACATATGTACACCCCTCATCTCCCATCCACACTTCATGAACCCTCCCCTTCTCCACATCAATTCGCTCACCCACGCCATAGGTCCGTTTTGGCGCATCCTTTTCGCGCGGATAGGTGATGGTCAATTGTCCTGCGGTAACGAGATGGGTGGTCAGGGTGTTGTGGGAATGGGGCGTGTAGTGGGTGTTTCTGGAAATGAAGAATGTGAGATGAAGAGGTTACTCAGCCTTGTTGTGGAGATGGATACTCTGTAGATGGGTGGATGGAGTGGATGGAGTGGAGTTGAGGCTGTGTAGGTAGGTAGGTATGTATGTATGATGTACAGTAGATGATGGAATGAATGATTGAATGATTGATTGAATGATTGATTGAATGGGTTAATCACTTACGGGCCATCGGACCACGTGTATACGGTTGAGAAGCCCCAGGAACGAACCTTTTGTTCGGGGTGAAGGATTGATTGTGAAGTCATGATTTTGGATAAAGGGGCTTGGATTTTTGCGTGTGTGATGTGTATGTGTATGTGTATGTATGTATGTATTGTGGCGATGTATTTTGTGATGTGGTGTGGTGGGGTGTGATGTGATGATGGTGATGGTGTTGTGGTGTTGTTAAATTGTTTGAGATTTGAGGCTTGAGGCGAATTGAAGAATAGCTAGGTACCTACGAGTAGTAGCTACTGCCTCCACGGCAGTGGCTCCCGGAGGGCCAGCGGAGCGTCACTCTCTTCATGAATATAATAATTATAGTTAACTTTTAATTGAATGAACACTTATGTTACTATTATGGGGGCAAGCCCCCAAACCCCCATAGCTCGCTACGCTCGAAGATACCTCCTACCTTTGTAGATATTGGTGTATCAGATGAAATGGTTGATATGTAATAGCCAGGTCCCTCCCTCCCCAGTAGATACGACCTGAACTACTACTAGAGATAGGTACTCCATAAAAATCCACCCTGAAAAAAAGCTTGATATCCGTAGCATGAACCATGAACCATTCAATGTACTGGGCTTTGGAAGGTTTCAGACGGAGTAGTTCAGCGCTTTTAGCTTTCTTCGCTTTATTAAGTATGAAGGGTTTCAACATTGTCATCCGGCTCATGCCAGTAATGGTGTTCATACCAGTTCTGGTGTGGTTAATTCCCCAGGTCAAGGATATCAAAATGTCAAATCAGCCAAGCAAATACCAATCAAAGAAAAAAAGGTACGGGCCGGGATTTTATCAAGTGGATGAGGACTAGGTAGGGTAGGTACTAGGGAGGTATTCGAGACTACTAGACAATAAAGAAACAAAAGGTTTTAAATAAGTCATCAACTTAAAAATAGATATGTATTTATTTATTCATTCAATCAATCATCCATCCATCCATACATTCATCCATACACATTACATAAATATGAATCAAAATTCACTCTTTACCCACATCTCTCTCGTTTCTCTCTTTTCTGGTCTGGTGCATTTTCAATATTATGGATGATTCGAGGTTCGAGGTTCGAGATTCAAGATTCAAGACTCAAAACTCGAGCTATTCATCCATCCATCATCCTCTTCTGTCTGGTGTTAACCCATCAGATCAACCAATACCCACTAGCCTTGTCAGCACTATAAGAATAGTAACAAATTCATACCAGCCAGTAAGTCCGTACGTAGGTAAGTCGGTACCAGGTAGGACATTTGTACCCAGTATAAGCTGAAAGAGAGCCTCGTTTTATAGCCCCCTTCCCTTGATGAATCCCGATGAATCAACAATTTCAATTAACTTTCCCTGATTTTTATATGTCAGGCTGAGAAAAAGAAAGTAATCATTCCTTCATCATACATACATACATACAGACAGACATACACAAACACCATACACACACACACACACATACATACATACATACACACATACATACATACACACAATCACGCTCACACTCACACCTACACTCACATGCATACCTAGTACTCTCATCCATCATATACCTCCTCATGTAGCATCAAAATCCTTCTTTTCATAATTTCATGCGAAGGAGAGATGCCTTCTTTTTTCAGAAAGAAGCTTCGGAGGTATGTGTTTTTTTTAAAAAAAAAATCATCTACTTTGATTATCCTTTCCCCCCTTCCACCCCACCAAGCAGGGCTACACTTAATACCATTGAAACACGTCAAGAATCGTCGGTATCCGTAGTTCTCGCGACATGAGTTGCATCCACGATGGTCCAAGAAACTTGGATGATAGACCCAGTGTCTTTGCATTCATTTGTGGTTCCCTTCCAATTTGTTACATCATGACTCAGTTGCTAATATTACCATTGGTCTTCACTTTAGAATAACTACCATGCCTCTCCTCACTCCCACCGGTAAACACTTCTCTCTTCACAAACTCGTAGCTATGTCGACAATGGTGACGCCGGGCCATGGAGTACATCTTCAACCTCTCAATAATACGACCGCAGGAGATCCTCCCCGTCAAACCTATCTCTCACACGAAATTCAAGAATATTTACGAAAACTTTTCGACGAATTATCAGGTCCCGAATCATGTCTAGGAAGGGAACGCTTCGAGGAATGGTTGGCAGATGTTCAAGGCCATACAGTCAAACTCGATAAAGATACATACAAAGTCGAAGAATTTCTCGAGTCCCTATTTTACCGTGATTCACTAGAGGTGTTGAAGCGCATACCAGAATTAGATCTGTCGAAACCCATCACCAACTATTACATCAGTAGCAGTCACAATACATATTTAGAAGGGAATCAGTTATTGTCGAGGAGTTCGACTGAAGCATATAAAACAGTCAGTCGACCGATGATGATTTGATTCAGCTTCCTTACTAACTGCCACTTTCCATTAGGCTCTCACTCAAAATTGTCGATGTATTGAGATCGATGTACACAATGGAGAACTACCAGATAAAGACGACAAATCCATATTTTCGAATAAAGCCGATCATAAACGACAGCCTTCAGGAACGGGAAGTACACTTTCCAGCAGAGCTGCGGCAGCGATATTGACGGTGGAGGAGAAGATGGAAAGTGCCAAAGAAAAGTTAGAGAGTGCGAAGCAGAAGATTACAAAATCAAGTTCGGGAGATAAACTCAAGGTTTTGGATGAGGATGAGAATGGTGGACGACCGGCCTCGATACGATCATCGATGCTTGGAGAGCCCTTAGTCCTCCATGGTTGGACCTTGACAGCACCAGTTGGCTTCCGAGCAGTCTGCAAAACGATTCGAGAAAATGCTTTTACTACGAGTCCTCTCCCAATTATAGTCAGTCTGGAAGTTCATGCCGATCACGAACAACAGGAGGTCATGGTTGATATTATGAAGGAGGAATGGGATGGTCTCTTACTGGATTCTCCATTCGAAACATGCAATCCAGAGGAAAGAGTTCCTAGACTCGACGAACTTCTCAACAAAATTTTGGTCAAGGTCAAGAAGGCGCCGGAATTAAAAGAGGCGTCAGAAGCCCCGAATGAGGCTACGAATGGTCCGCTTGCGAATGGACTATCGCCCGCAAGCACGGGTACTTTAGAGAAAAAGGCATCCTCCAACACATTGGTACCGGTGATCTCGAGGAAAGATGCAGACTCTGGGCAGTCCGGTTCCGAAGATGATCGAGGAAGTTCGAAGAAGAAGGCAAAGATCTGTGAAAGTCTGAGTAAACTCGGAATTTATACTCACAGCGAACATTTTGTCTCATTTGATGCGAGAGCGGCCACCAAACCCTCTCACATATTTTCTGTTGGCGAAAAAGTGATCAACGAGCTTCATGAACAAAAACGGGAACAGATGTTTAACCATAATCGTAATTTTTTCATGAGAGCATTCCCAGCTGGCTCACGATTTGACTCATCCAATCTTGACCCTTCCGTCTGTTGGCGTAAGGGCATTCAAATGGTTGCTTTGAATTGGCAAACATTAGATGAAGGTATGATGTTGAATGAGGGAATGTTTGCCGGGTCTCAAGGATGGATATTGAAGCCTCCTGGCTATCGCAGTGAGGACGTAAAGTCCGATATATGGGCAAATATACCCTACAAGACCCTGGATTTGAAGATTTCCATATTTGCAGGCCAACAAATTCCTTTCCCTGAAGGTGAGACGGAAAAGGGCTTCCATCCGTACGTCAAATGCGAGCTGCACGTTGAAAGTCAAGAAGAGCTCAACGGGCAACCAATCGGAAATGATGTCAAAGCAAAAGAGGGCGAACACAAACTCAAGACTGCCTATAAATCGGGCAGCAAACCCGATTTTGAAGGCGAAACCCTTCATTTTGAAGGTATCAGGAACGTGGTGGAGGAGTTAAGCTTTGTCAGGTTAGTACATGTCACACTACTTTTCTTCAACATTTCTCTATTTATACTCTCACGAGTTACATATGCAGGGAATTAGACAAGGTCTACATTCATATGATTTGATTGTCAGTGTTGATAAATCATAAACCTGTTATTATGTCACACCGCTCAGTCCCAAAAGCTTTCACCCAGGTGTCTGGTACATATTGCAAAGCTCAAATCGGAGCTTTTCAATCTCCTCAATCTTCAACAACGCAACGGCCCGGAGCCGGATGGTCAGTATCAATGCAGATTAATTTAAGAGTGCAGTAGACCAACGGTCTTCCGACGCTTGGCTGCTCGGGTGGGGTTCCGCTGCATACTTCCTTGTCGAATCAGTAGTATGATTGTCAGCCCATCCCGTGCATTGACGAAGTTCGGTCTCCACCTAGTTCCCCAATTCAATGTTACACATGGCGCGTTCTCGACTACCACACTCATAAACTAGGATTGTTTTGTGGTTCGATTTTCTTCCTCTCATTGAAGTTTTGCATCGAGATGAAATGCATGTTTTCATCACTATCACTATTACATCACTCGTTTTCTTCATCTATGGAACATTATTCCATTATTTACTGCACACGTCTACCTCATGTATGATGTGTGTGTATGCAACGTTACCCTAGTCATTCATTTCTTTCCTCTTACTCTTTCTTGCTTCTATTTCTCTTCATTCACATTCATCCAATCTCCATTCATTCATCCAAATATTGCCCCAAACTTCTTGCAACCTATGAAAACCTTACATATCACGTCGTCTTTATCATCGTACTAACATTTTTATCACATAGGTTTAAAATTGAAGACGCGAATTACTCCAAAGATGAACTAGCAGCCTGGGCGTGCATAAGGCTAGATCGTCTTCAACAGGGTTATCGACTGATTCAACTGAAAGATATCAAGGGGAATACAACGGAAGGACTTTTGTTGGTTAAGATTGAAAAAGTTCTTTCGTGATGGAAGGTGGGGGTCAGTGGATGAGTGGGCTGAGATCGACTTCAACTGGAGATTGGGTGATAATATTAATGTATGATAGATGAGCTGGGCATTGTATTGTATGTATGTATGTATGAGTAGATAGCCTTTTTTTTCTTCTGTTTTTCATTTCGCCCTGCTGTATGACCAGGGGTCCGATCACGACAGTGGAGGGTAGGAAGAATATGTACGCGGGATGGATGGATGTAGTATACCATAGCATTGCATCACGTTGCACTGCATTGCGTAATTATGTAAGTAACTAAGTGAGTCAGTGAGTGTGTTGACACTATCTCGGGCAACGAGGGAGAAAGTAATGTAACGAATTTTGTTTTGAAGGAGGGAAGGAAGATATATTGGATTGGATTGGATTGGATTGGATTGGATTGGATTGGATTGGATTGGATTGGATTGGATTGGATTGGATTGGATTGGATTGGATTGGATTGGATTGGATTGAATTGGATTGGACTAAACGGGAGTCGGAATGAAAGGAAGGGAGATGGGAATAGGTGAAGAGATTAATTCGATGGAAGAGCAGATGGAAGATGGAAGAGTAAATGGAAGATGGAAGAGTAAATGGAAGAGCAAATGGAAGAGCAGATGGAAGAGCAGATGGAAGAGCAGATGGAAGAGCAGATGGAACAGCAGATGGAACAGCAGATGGAACAGCAGATGGAAGATGGAACAGCAGATGGAAGATAGAGAAAGGATACCCCCTATTAGTTATTGATTATTTCTGAATCTTGATACTTGATACTTGGATTTTTATTTTAATGAGTTTATTTTGATGAGTTTCTGTAATTATGTGAATTGTATAATTAAGTGACTGAATATATAATTAATGAATTAAGTAATTGATTGATTAATAAATTAAGTAACTGAATATTTAATTAATTATTTATTCTGTGAAATTTTAGAGTAATATAGGTATATATATATATACATATAGGTACCTACCTAGGTATTATAGTATTGATTCTTCTTTTCTTCTTCTTTTCTTCTTCTTTTCTTCTTCTTTTCTTCTTCTTTTCTTCTTTTCTTCTTTTCTTCTTTTCTTCTTTTCTTCTTTTCTTCTTTTCTTCTTTTCTTCTTTTCTTCTTTTCTTCTTTTCTTCTTTTCTTCTTTTCTTCTTTTCTTCTTTTCTTCTTTTCTTTTGTTTTCTTGTTTGGGCTTGGGGTTTGAAGTTTGGAGTTGGGGTTTGGGGTTTGGAATTGGGGTTTGGAATTGGGGTTTAGAATTAGGGTTTTCATGTGGAGGATTGAGATTGAGATTAAGATTGAGATTGAGATTGAGATTGAGATTGAGATTGAGATTGAGATTGAATTATATACGGATTTGAGAATTGAAAAATTGAAATGTGGGTTTGGGGTTTGGGGTTGAGATGGGTAGGTGGATTGATGGGTGGGTAGGTAGATAAATAGGTGGGTAGATGGGTAGATAGATGGGTAGGTAGGTAGATAGATGGGTAGGTAGGTAGATAGATAGGTAGGGAGGCTTGAAGTTTTGGGTTGGGGGAGGGGGAGGGGGGTTCTGAGAGAGATAATGAATTCTAAGTATGAGAGTGAGAGAGAGAGAGAGGGAGAGAGAGTGTGTGTGTGCGTGTATGTATGTATTATTGATGATTGGGGTGGGTAGATGAGTTAATGAATAGATATATAAATAGATAAATAAATAGATAGATAGAATAATTTCATAAATAGGAAATAGGAAGTATATATGAATTAGTAATATCTATTTGATTATTTGATTACCTATCTAATAGATATCTAATTGTGAACTTGCGATCTATTGTGATGGGAGTGGGAATGAGAATGGGAATGGGAATGGGAATGGGATGGTAGTGATCCAGTGTATCGAAAAGTGTGCATGGCGATGCGAGAAGCAAAGGCGAAAGCCAAAGACAAAAGAAAAGGTTACATGGGAGAGAAAGGGAGGAATGCAAAGGCAAAGCGTGCACAAATCAAATCGAATAGTTTGAGTTTCTTGATGATGTTTTCTTCAATTTTTGGTCGTGGAAAGTCCGAATTCATTTTCATTCATACTTATCTTCTCACCCGGTAGAAAATATCGCAATTAAGTGATCCATGCCTACCAAAATAAGAATAAAGAAAGTTGGAGAATCTCGTGAGTTGTGGTGGATGTCCATCTCAATTTCACCTCACCTTACCTCACCTCACCTACCCATTCATTCATCCATTACTCAAATTCCAAATGAAAGAATCGAAATCCAAAGAGCCTCAAAAGCGAATGCGATGGCAAATTACAATCATTAATCCACTTGAGACACACAATTGATACAGAGAGCATGTACTGTACTACATTACATCACATCACTTCACTTCCCGAACGTAGTAATAAATGACAAGACCTAAACTCAATCCCAGACTCAAACGAACATCAAGGGTTCAGTGAGGACTACCTCCTGCAACGGTTGAGTGATCGAATGATATCAAGCTACTTCGTAGCTGTCGCCATCCGAGCCGCCATGTAGATGTGAGTATGGTATGCGATTTATGTTCACATATCCATATCCATTTGCATAACCGCATTGCCCATGCGTGTGAATTGTCGAATTTTGCATTATTTTCGATAGAATGAATAAATCAATGAATGTGTTTTGCTACTTTTATGAATTCACCTTTCTCGAAAAGGTAGTAGGCACACACACGTATGCGTAAAATCCCTATGTGCGTGTCATTCATGTCCTGTGGCACGATGAATAAGAGTGGGGGTAAAGGGTTGTGTACGCAGTACGACACGACACGACACGACTTCCGAGACGCTTGAAGAAAATTCGGAGAATTTCCATAGTGGCTTGTTGGCGTTCGGGAAATAGGAGCCGTATGTGCGTTTTGTATCAGTGATAAGTAATGCGCGTGAACCGTTCAAATGAGACGATGTTTGAAGATGTTGGTAGAGTGAAGGGATCTTGGTTCTTCAGCGAAACAAACAAACAAGTTTTCCCATGCCAAATCCTCAAATCCACAATATCATGCCATGTGGAAGAAAATAATTGGCATTATCCTCATTCGATTCCATCATGACATGATGCCAATTTGTTGATCGTTTGGATTGTGCGTATGAATTCGTTTCATCCCCTTCAATCCATTCCACGATCTCGAATCCAATCACAAACCCAACCCAATGGTTCGTCCACCGCCACTTCGGATGCAAATCATGGAGCTAATGGCATCTGCACCTACGCGGCTCGATAAATTAAGAACCATCGGAAAACTCTTCCGAATCTTAGAAAGGGGAAATTATTTTTAAATATCTCCTTGAACATGGAGCCATGACTGTAGCACAGCGCATGCGTATTATTCCGATTCGATTATCATACGATCTGGTTGCATCAAAACTGGACAATTCTTTGGGACTTTAGGCATGTCGGCCTGAAATCAATTTGGGGGCCATTTCTGCCAAATTTTAAATTGCATTCATGTATTGTACAGATAGTACGTTGCGTTACGAGATTGATGTTGCAACATGAAACCATAAAATAAACGAAAAGAATAGGTGACATGATGTCGTGAGATGAAATTTATGAAGTTAATAAAAATTGCTCATAATGATGAGTTTGGCACTGAGAATGAGGATAACGACATGAAAAGTGGATGGGGAAATATGAATCCAGGTGCGAAACTTGGCATCGGAGGAGCCTTCTCCTTGCTGTGATATGATATGATGTGCCTGATGTGTTCCATGTAATTGATGTGTTGGCTTAGGTCGTCCAATAATACACAGCACACTAATATCTGTGAAATGTGATACAAACAATAACGGCCACGACGTATCGAATCACTTTTTTTCGATGAAAGTCTTGCAGGGTTGTGTTCAAATTTGCATATGAATGCATGGCAGTTGTCAACTGGCGAGAACTATCTTCGTAGGTTCAAGGAAGAAAGGATGACTCCGGATGCAGTTCAACAACTCCGTATGTTGTACAATGTAGTACACAGATTCTCATCGCACTACGTAACTTTCCCCATTTCTCGGTATCAAAGAAATTCTTCACGACTCAACAAAATCCCTGCCAATCTCAACTCATCCTGAGGAAACGGAGAATTTTGTTATTTTTGGAGTCATAGACTTTCTTCTATTATCCTTTGAGTGCGGAATGTTGTTGGATGACGACTTGACTTGGTCGATTCCAAAAATTGATATCTCTTGTTGCGAAAATTTAATCCTATGTGACTGCTGTCCCTGGAGTTTCATGAATTTAGATCAATGCCGAGTGTTTCAATTTAGAAGTTTCCGACCATTTGGTAAACCAAGCCACATGTACAGAAGACCTCCGACTGCCGTGCTGAGGGTAGGAATGTTCCTGACAGGCATCATCTAATACACACCGTAGAAAGTGACGAGTCGGATAATAATAATTTGTTCCGTCATAAATGATATATCATGAAGATCCCCCCATGCTCTGACCCTCAACATATTCTACGCAATTTAGATTTATTTCCTAATCTTCCGACGACAAGCTGTAGAGCACAGTAAATTGAGGTGTCAGAACTATTCAAACAAATGATCCATGATGGGATTTCGAGTACGACAACAGTTCCGGATATGAATTCGTTAATCTGCATCCGTGCGATGATCCCTGAGGCTCGGACTGTGCGTAGTCGTCAAAAAAATCGAAGTACAAGAGTCAGATGATTTGGCGTCCACTTGCAGGCTGCATGAAGGGTCTGTCGCTCACACAAACCATACGAATTTCTTATTCTGCACGGAAACCTGCAGAGGCTGTAAAATCATTGGATTGAAACTGAGAAGCATTGATCCCTGGTTGTTATGGAGCTTTGAAAGTTAGAAACCTGGAGAGAGTTGATTCGGATAACCTTCCAAGTACATTCTTTGTACCATTCGCTGGGCAGTAGCCCTGTCAAATTGAAAGCCTGGCACAAGGATTTCTTGTTTCTGGCCAAGCAAGATCCAATGTATCCTCATCGACCGGCGATTTGCTGCATCCAGATCGGAGGTGGAATATCAACGCATGATTGATGGGCACTGTTGATGACAACTATGGCTCAAAATCTCCATCATGCCGTGTTGCGTGTCTATCGTAAGGTTGTGCCCATATAGAACCACGATCGTTCCTAGTTCAGGATGTCCCGTTTAACAAAATTGCAGCTACCCTTTTGAACACCTGCAGACGCAAATATTCAAGCACGTCGACCATCAACATTTGAGGATGCAGGCAACCGCAATATCGCGGAATAAGGCCATCTTTTCTTTTGCCAGAGGATCGATGAACAGCATAGCAAGTTTCGGAACAGCTCTTAAGTCCGTTCCCAAACATTATATATTGAACACTTCCACCGAACTGAAGTTGGACCTCATCAATTCAAAGAAGCCCATCAACCCAAACAAATTTGTTCTTTAAACATATATATCCGCCTCACATCAATCAATCATCAATCGATAAAAAGATTACTTTCGACCAACTTCAATCAAGATGCCTTACCAACCAATCCCATTCGAGATCATTGTCCGGGGAGAGATGAACATCCTCCCTTCCATCGAATCGATGCCGATGCCCTTTGATGAGATTTCAGAATCTTTCGGCATGACTCAAACTCCCGGCGTAAGAGATTGCATCTGACACCACTGTAGATGATAAATAAATACTGACATAGACCAGATGCCTGGCGTTAGGTGTCCAACCTGCCTTGCCAAAGGTCAAGAAGTATGGGTTATTCCAGGAAGAGCCTGCGGCGCTTGCGGCACTGGCTGTTGAATAATGAGGTATATGCATCGCATCACTTCTAGGCGAGTTGCAATGTCACTAACATTTCTTCAGTTTGACATCGAAGTGCGACAGCCTCTAGACACATGATTGGGATGAAGGATAATTTGGAATTTGAGTAGGGCAGAATGTTAGCTGTGACTTGGTCGGCATGATATCATATGGAAGTAGATTGTAGTCGAAAGGATGACCGGGGAGAGTTATGCCTTGTCGTTAGGTTGGGATGGGACGAAAAAAGTTTTGCCTTTTTATGGTTTAGCATGTATAAAAAGTTTGTGGCTGCGACACAACCTCGAGAATTATGATACTGCCCCGTGATGTGTCTTGAGCTTTTCCATTTCCATTTTAAGCATGATGAGGTGAAGTCCAGAAAGTTTTAGAAGACCCAAGAACCGAGCTTTTTGTGTTTCAACGTCTGGAAACCAGCATTTTCCATAGCGCCGGCCGCTGATATCGAGTCGTGAATGTTCCATGGTCGTCTGGACCAGAGAATACTTCCAAGAGGACCATAAAAACAAAGTTAAAGGATTTCAAGACATGTCAAACAAAGATCCTTATATAGGTAACTAAAGTTCGATAGTCGATGGAATTTCAGCGAAAAGTCTTTCGACCGGTGAGATGCAACAATAGTAAACCGAGACGTGGCCGTCGTTGCGAATATATCATCGAGTAAAACCAAAAGGTGGCTATTTTGATTGGCATGAGTTCGTGCGGTAACACCTGCCGAATGCGCCTATGTAGCATTGAGATGTTAGATTGTGATACATCATAAGTGAATGCTTTTGCCAGTTGATTGTAGGCCAATGAAACGAGTGTAAAACGAATTAATTAAGAATATGTATGCTATCGCCGGCATTCTGAGCTACTTGAACCTGTCAGAAGTACGGGTGTTGATTGAGATGCAATCAACATTTGCACGACCTCCCGAAAGTCTATTTGGGTGAAGCCTCGAGGCATGCTTCTGGAAATATGTTTCCAATCAGAGCATTAAGCATGAACGTAACCCAAGAGAGGGAGCGCTGAGGTAGATTTTTGTTGTACAATTTGAGGAATTTTGACGGTATTAGATACTCCAATTGAGAGGACTGTCTTGAAGCATGGTAGGAAGAACCATAAGGACATCAAAATGTATGAAGTCGTCAAGTGACCAAAATCTTGATGTGAGGAAGCCCAGCCACAATGCTTATGCGGGTCTTCGGTCGAACATTTTTCCGACCCCCACCGAGCATGTTCTCTTGCTTGTACGTATGTAAGTATGGATATCCAGGTGACTTGCGTTGAAAAGAATCTCAGTCATAAAATGTTATTGTTTGATGAAAGGGCTACCGCTCACAAGGCTGCAATGTAAACAGCCTCAGAAGCTATATAATAGATCAGATGAATGCCGAATCGATTGGGCTCGAACCCGTCTTCTACCAACCTGAATATCACCCGATATACCTAGAATTTCATAATTTGGGCTTCCAAATCTGACTCCAAGCTAGTTGTAGCTCTCTAGCCATGAGATTTCCATTCAATATTATGTGAAGCAATATAGACGTGTGAAAAATGACTCCTTATCTCCACGATGTAAAGACATAACCGTCTGCAGGAAGGCGACGACCATTTCCATTTCAGGCGTCTTTACACAGTCCAATACGGCATGCTTCAAAGTTCGTGCGTCGTTTGTTTTTAGACCAGACGTGCCACACAATGACGATTGGGCGTTCACACACGTGCTCTGAAGAGTTGTGTACAACTTGAGGTTGATTTAATTACGAAATTGGTTGGATGTCTGTGTTTCAAAGTGCAACTACAATCGTGTATGACAACAGAATCTCACAAATATCTTACTACAAATCATGGATCCTCAATGCATTGAGGGATAACTGCGGATCAACTTATGATCAGGTCTTACATTAAAGAGAAACTATCATAGAATTATTAATTCATCTTCATCCAAGCATCTACTTCTTCAGGTTGGACGAGGTGGTTTCTCGGGTGCATAATAGCCGTGTTCAGTTGCACCGCTTGCTTGCTGCGGTGGAAAGTCTGACGGATTTTGGGAGTAAGCTGGAGGATTTTGAGTATGATCTTGTTGAGGTGGTGGTCCTGGAGGAGGTGGGGGATAGTAAGAATCATTACCCTGAGTATATCCTGGGTACTGCTGCTGTTGATATCCGTGTAGTTGTTGCTGCATAGCATAGCCCTCGGCCGTGTTCGGGTTTCCGAACTTTTTCTTCTCGTCCTCACTAGCCTCTCCTGAATTTACAATCTCGACATCCGCCGGTGCTGGTTTATCGTAAACTTGCTGCAAGACTGACTGGTTTAAGTTTGGTCTTCCTTCTGCATCCTTTATAACCTCCATCAATAACTCGGCGGTTGGCGGAAGGGATGGAACATTTCCTTGTAAAATCTGTGCTACCGGCAGCTTTTCCCCATAGTATCTTGCATTTTCATCGTTGCGCTCGATGATTATGGTTCCATCAACTTGTGCTCCTGCATATAGACCTCTGCTCTTCATGTAGGAGAACAACGGCTTCCTACTTTTCAATAGCTCACTTTCCAAAATGGCACCACTTCCAACAGGGCCAGCCACGACGGATATTTCGCCACCGAGAGAGACACGTAATTTACTGAATGCTTCGAGAGCCTTGCGGTCATTGATAACAATGACACAGTCATAGATATCAATTCCGGCCATAAATCCTACACCTAGAGTGTGAACGAGAATTCCGGAAGGTGGTGACCATTGGCCATTTTCATTCTTGGCAATCAAAACGCCTGATCCACCCGCACCCGATACCCACAATCCAGAGCGCATGGTGGTGTAAATCGCGAGACCGACACAATTTTTGATGACCTTTTGAGGGATCTTAACAAGAACTTTCGGTGGCTTGCTAGGTCCATCTTGGACTTTCTTCTTAGTCTCTGAGTCTTGTGATGCATCTTTCTGTTGCTCCGCCATGAATCCATCCTCTGTCAAATTGTTAGTGGACACTTTGCTGTCAATCGTGTATCAAGCAGACTCACTACAGAATGATTTAAGGATTCGGGCAGCCTTCTCGCATTCTTTTTCCATGCCTGTTGGCCAGAAGGCCTCGGATCCAATCTTATTCGTGAACTTGTTAACTGGTCCTCCCAATTTCTCAAACGCAGCCCATCCTTTATCAAAAGCCGCTTTGCCGCCAAGCTTGGTCTTGGACCAAGCTGATGGTTTAGCTGTATTATTTGATGGTTCAGTCATGATATGATTTCGGTATATGCTTGTTTCTTTGTTATTGTCATTGAAAAGTTGTGTTACTACCTAGGTACTGTTATTAAAGTATTTTGTAAGAAGGATGTTGGGTGGTGAGGGGTGGTGAAGGGTGGTATAAGGTGGGGCTATTTGAGGGGTAAAATCGAAGTGCAATTTCGACTGTGACTGCGTACTATGTGGATGGACAAGATTCATCAAGACGGCGGGCACAAGTGAATGTTCATATATATTCTCTGGTGAGAATACCTAGGCGTGAGTGGTGGCTCGTGATCTACAAGTGGATGGATTGTATAACTATAAATTGTGGCTTTGCAATGGATTGCATCATTGGTGACGACCTCGGGAGGCACAGCCATTGTTGCAGCGACGGCTATGCTACTATCACTCTTCGTTACCTACCTTACGAACACACCTATCACTGCACAGGAATCTGAGAACTAACATTAAAATCCTGTTTTGAACTCGAAGAAGGCTTCGTACGCAAGCAGTAAACGGACAAAACAAGTTTAAATCGAGTTCATTTGCAATGTGCCCCATGCTCACTCACTTCAGAACATACCGTCCAATGTACGAAGTATTCATTTACAAAATTCGTACAAAGCTAGCAAGGAATAGTAATTTAAGCTCATCGTGGGTTAGGGTTGCAACTTGCAGTATCTACTCCGTATAGCCTTATACGAATTCTGTGAATGAATACGAGTACAGAATACGATTCTATCCCCTAGAGTGCTAGAGATGAGCTCCGAAAATGGTCCATACAATATCCCTTAAATAATAAAGCCTTATTGAATAGAATGGATATTTTAATAGTTTTTTAATCACATTATTTATAATATAGAATTTTGATTTCAAATCTCGATTTTTTATAATTTGAAAAAAGAATAAAGATACAGAATTAATATGTATAATAATACTTGAAATTTTAATATAGAAATAATATTGATTGAATTTTATATTAAAGAATAAATATAAATATTGAATCAAATTCAAGAAATCCTAATAGTTTAATTAATTGATAAGATCTCTGTTAAGCAACGAAGCCCATCTCTGGTACTCTAGGGGATACGATAGAACGAATCAGATCTTTCAAATCATATACCCTGATACTTCGTGGGCGGTGAACTAGCTTGTGGTATCAGGTAAGCAAGGGAAGTATACTCTACTACACCCGATTTCATAACATATATCCAAAACGTGACTTTTTTTGATCTAATTAATTTTTTGTTAAATCTAATACAAAAACAATTTAATTGTTTTCAATTCAATCAATATAATTTCAAATTGAAAAAACTTTATATTATAATATAGATCTCAATTAATAGAATCTATAAATAAAATTTGAATAGAATTAGTCAAAAATTAATTAAATTGAAAATAATTGAATGAAATTATGATTTTTAAAGTAATTTTTAGATTTTTGAACTTTCGAAAATTGAATTTTCATTTAACTATTTTTAATATAATGAATTTTTGATCAATTCTATTTAGATTTTATTTTTATATTTTTTTAATTGAGATCTATATTTCTATATAGAGTTTTTTCAATTTGGAGTTATATTGATTGAATTGGATTTTCCCATTTCAAAAATTCGATTAGGTGATATTCGAAAAAGTGCTTTTTTTTTGGACACACGTTATGAAATCGGGTGTATCTGCCGAGCTTCACCGTCATCATTTCTTCAGTTCAGCGAGTACAACCTTTAACGATCTGAAGAAAGCTCTTCGACCTTTTACCCTTTACTTTATTAAACAATGAACCTCTAATTGAGCTGTGCAGACTGTTGCAAAGGGGGTTTGTACGTGTGAAAATACTCAAATGGGATGAGAAATCTCGCTGTCATTCCAATTCCTACACAACAGTCGAGATACAACAGAGTTCAAGCATTACCAAAGTCTGGTTCTTATAGCCACCAGGTCCCCTTGATATGATGTACGCAATCAACTGCGAGTTCGATACCACGTATCCTCTACATGCGACAAGATAAAACGATAAACCCTTCCCCTTGCGATGCGCTCGATCACCGCTGACGATATCTTTCAATATGCCCTGCAAATTTTACAAATGGTGGTTGGAAGCGAAGGCCCCTTTTTGTTTTAGCTGGACCATTTGAATACCACTCGATGAACCCTCAGAGTGTTCAGGAAAATGCTACAAATCTCATAATTATCTGCTCGTCTGCATGGTCCGAGAAACGATGGTCATTTCGAAAGACCGGAGAGAATAGCTCTGAATGTGCAAAGTGTAGGAGCTTCCCGAGCTATAAGCAGAAACTCCTCGAAATCTGGCTGAATATATGCTGAAAGTTTCACACTAACATGTTGGAACCATCACCTGAATATGCTGTTCGATTTTCAACACGAGTTTGCATGCATACCGTGTAACACAGTCTGCAAGTCTACGGTCCGACAGGAAAGACGTCAAAGTTTTGCAGTTTCTAAGCAGTCATATCAGATTTTTGGAGTCCTCTTGGTCAGTGCTATTGAGGTGTGCATACATGGTGAAATGCGGCCATTCTTGGGGTTTCCATTCGGGCGCATCCACTACTATCTCCCTGTATCCAGGTCGCACGCGAGGTAGCCGGATACTGCCTTCTCTCCTCAGGTCTATGTAATTCGATGTGAGATTACATGTTTCATATTATGCGATGTCCTTTGTCGTCTTATTCATTTATTTGGCGGCAGCACATGTAACCCACTCAACATATATGTCTTGCCTTGAAGCAGATTTCGGTCTATTGCCGTGTAAAAACAATTCCATGTGGAGTTCACAAGCACAGCATCATTTGCTCTCTTATGGGCCTCACATGACACTTTTTCCAATGCTTATCATATTGGTTTTAGCCCTTCAATCCGGCTGATACTTCTACACACCATTTCACCAACCCGCTGCTCTACATTTCCGCATTCTATAAGTCGTTATCTATATTTTTCTATTGTTTCTGGATGTTGACCGGGTCTTTTCTGCATGAAAAATCACGAGTGTTCGATTTTCTGGACCCTTGCGCAAAGATAAGCACCATCACATGCCATTCGCAGCAGACTTTCATGGCTTATCAACAACACACCACATTATTTTTATTTGCTGTCGGTCGATAAGAACTCCAGTGTGACATTATGAGATGGATTTGCTAGAAGAAAAGAAGACGGTCCCCTCGAGAAAGGTTTGGTATAAATCTCCATTCGATTAAACATCTCTTATCTCCATAGTCATATCAAATCAGTAAACTCTCACATTTGCCACTGTCTTGTCGCAACTACGGATCTCTTCTTTCCATTCCAAGACCACGAGTTCATCATGCTTCACTTGCCATATCCATTTCCGGTCACTACTCGAGTAATGGAGTATAAACCACTTCCAGAAAACTCTACCACAGAGAAGTCCGAGCCCTCCAACACCATGGTAAGTTTTCCCTCGATTAATCAATGCCTACCATTCGCTGATCACTTCACAAACAGCAACCACTTGATGTGGTCGATATCGAGAAGAACGCCGCGATTTCGTCGTCCGGATATGGCACAATCCCATCATATACAAGCAAAGAAGGCGTATTGAGAGCCCCACAGAAACAAGATGGTCGAGGCATTTGGATCAGTTTTGTGCAGAGCCTGGTTGCTGTTGGGATGTTCACTGCTATGGCGGTCACTCTTGTTCTAGTGATTTTGTAGATGGGTTGGACTCTTTGCTTATGTCTTTTGCGGATGACGGATTTAGAATGGCGATACGATTCGGCATTGCTGGCGTGTTTAGGAGCAAGGTAGCATCAGGATTCCGTACCGGAGCTTGGATTTTTCTCGCATTGTTTACAGTATGATCTGGCATGCGCTATGAATAATGACTTTAGATACCTTTTGAGATTTGGAATAAACAGTTTTATATCCTCTACATGATTCTTCATCTGGTTGTTGCCATGTTTCTTGACTAAAAATCTAAACCTGAGATCAATATTGGCATTGGAGTCTTCAATCAATTATCTACGCCAATTCGTTTTGCAGAATCACATCAACCACCTATTCACCACTATCTCACTCTTCGACGGCCCTCTTTCTTTCACCCATCGCTGATACAATTTCTCTGCTTCTTCGCAATTTAGTTCTCCAAACCGTTTTTCGCGTAATTTATTCATCATCTTTCACAAATTTACTGTTTCCTATCTCCTCACAAAATTGAGATCTCTGATATACCTCTGCCACAGACTTCGTATCTGGTTCTCCAAGAATATCTCTACGTTCCCGTGTTACTCCAGAAGAGCTCTTCTCCTGTTATTGGTTCTCCTGTTATTGGTGGTAGACTGGAATATCTCCGTTTTTCTTTTTCTGATTTTGACTGGGTTTGAAGGGATTTGCGGGCTTTTTCATTAGGTACAATAAGTCAGTTGTCTCGAGTATGTAATGGTCTACGCTCAATTGAATGGGTTTTGGGAATTGAAAACTACTAATTCATCACTTTCCTGCCCATCATCTTCTCCTTCTCGGTTTTGCCCTATTTCCCTTTTCTCGCTTTTCTTACTCTCTGCTTCCCTTTACACCTTGTGATTTAACTTACGTACACGAAAAGTCAACTTTTTATTTCCGCATATTAAATGTTTGGGGTCTTTACCTTCTTCTCTACATTTCTACTTCCCCATATCATAAGGTATTCAACGAATTCAAAATTATCGAGAGCAGCTTAAAGGAGATACAATCACCCGGCTACCGAGTCCTCACTGCCGGTGCGTCTAGGTTCATACTCGTTTAGCGACACAGCCTTTCAATCATCCTTAGATTTGGGATCTCACATCATACAAAGATTAACACTTTAACAACTTTACGTTTTCCGATTTTATTGCTCTCCATTCTTTTACATGAGCCCCTACATACAAATTGCAATAGGAAAAACAAGACAGGGTAAGATAATAAGATTGACCTAGCCATATTGCGCTCGATATATCATACCACCCTCGCCTGCTGACACTTGACGCGGCCTCACGAAGTTCTCAATTGAGAAGACAGGCTTACAGGGTCCCTGGACCATAACCTAATTGCACGATTTGATTCGCTCCCACTTTCGCTCACGTAAGAACCTTATTTGCTACTCTAAAGTTCACATCGTACAAACCCTCATTTCTGATATAGTCCCCTCTCAATACGGCCCCCAAGAGGATTTAAGCGCTTTCTATTCGTTGTCTAGTAGTGCAAATGAGGGTTGATGTTGATTCTTCAACCCACTCCACATGTCAAGCTGCATTTGTGGATCCTTCTCGATTGGGCAACACTATTCTCGAACAAGACATTTTCCACAAATTGATGATATGACAAGAGTTCACAAAGGCTCCCTAGATATTGGATGGAAATTTTATATGTATCCTCCAAGTGGCTTGGCGCCGGTCAGCTGTGGCGGTACAGTCATGTCAGCACAATGTAATCTTAATCTATTCCATCCCCGCCATTCTCGTGAATTGGCTGAAGACATATTCTCTCTCGACTCATGTATTTTATGTCCTCAAGAAACATTTCATCTTATCAAAACCCCCAATCTAACCGTCTTTATGTCTTCCCATTCGCTCTCATCATTCACCCTCTTCCCTAACCTCCCCCTCGAACTCCAGCACCAGATCTGGTTCTACACTCTCCCCGGTCCGCGCCTACTCCGCATAGACTACTCTCCTATCCTCTCCAACGGCCAATATGCCACCACCAAGTCTCTCGATCTCTATACCACTTTCCCTAGATCCTACGGTCGCCAACTACCCATAATACTGCGTATCAACAGAGCATCTCGTGAATACGCCCTCACACAACTTGTCGAACGATTCAACTGTTATTGGAATCTAAAAATAGACATCCCTTATATCCATGCGAGAGAGTATCGAAAATCCGAAGCTCGATTCACGGTGCAGTATCTAGCGGAAAATGGAGGGCTGGAAGGATTTAGAAACTTGGCGCTTGATGTGGACTTGCTCAATGGAGGAGATAGTTCTGATATGTAAGTGCTCCATCTTCTTATTTTGTTTCTGGAAATTTCTCACAAGTCAATGTAGCATATCAGCTGTTCATAGCTGTCCCAATCTCTCGAATATCTTCTTGGCCTACCCGTCAATAGGTATCTGGGATAATCCAGAAGGTCCGGATGATGTGGAGCCTTGGTATATAGGGCCACCATCAGAAGGTGAAGTTAAAACAGTATGGGGAAAAAGTACGATGACGAGACTTTCGGGAGATGTTATGGGGTATGTGAAAGATAGCGATCGAACGAAGCTTGAGAATCTGGAAGGGAGAGTGGAGAAATTGAAAATTGTCATGATGGTTTGGTCATCGATGTGCACTGCACTGCGTGAGGTGGAATTATGAGAGGTTGAATGAAGTGTGATATTGGATCACCTGAATCGCGTTACTCCGCAGAGGATCGGTTAATTTTCATGAAGTCTGATTTGGGCACTAGAGGGACAAACAATTCTTGTGAGCAGACGTAATAATTACACAGAAGAAAATTTTATTGAAAAGCCCAGAATTTAGGATAAATTCTATGTTACGAGTTCGTCTAGCTTCTACGTAGTCAACTTCTGCATTTATACCACTCTCCTTTTATATCCAATTTCTTCTTAATAACCTCCTCGCTCTAGCTCATGAACTTTTGTCAAGCCAAAAAATTCGGGAATTTAATCAACGGAGTCTCTCCGTATGGATACCTCATACTATATGGTATGATCACATTACACGTGTAAAATACTAAATCCACTTATATACACTTATCTCAACAGTTGGAAAAGAAATTTATAAGTTTGAAGGATAGTTGCACGATTGCTTCCGGATTATAGCACCCCACGCATTATCTATAGATAAAGTAACACTCATCACAATATTGTTGCAACCGTTATCAAGCACTAAATATGGCTGTAGGAAATGCGGTGCATTATCATTGAACTTTTGCAATGCGATATCATCAGTTCTCATCCGTCTCTTATTGAGAAAGAGGTCACAAATCTCTAGCTTTGCAGTGATTACATGTATTTTCTATGAATGTATACGGGTCAAACTACGGCTTCTGAATACGAAGGTGAATTTGACTGAACAGAGCTGGGTATCCAAGAATACTTACGGTTTTCTAATGCAGCATTAGTACAAAAGTCACGACTCTTCAGAAGTTTTCGAAAATGCACGTCTTGTTCAGAATTGTATTCTAGTTCAAAAAGCGAGTCTATCAGCACATCCATAATATAACCATCAAGAATAAAGTAACAATCCCTAATCGAGATGGATACATTCCCTCCATCTTACCAGGCAGAGGTTCCGCTTGCAGCAATTCAAGATCATGAATCGCACATTCATGAACGGGAATCCGGACTGGGCCCAACACCCATTACAATCAACACTGATGCACTTACGAACCTTGTCAACGGACGACTAGATTTCAATGCACTCAAAGATCTCGATATAAAAATTAGCTTTCACACACAACCCGAACTAATAGGACAAATAGAGGTGATCGAAAAAACCAAGCAGACTCCACAGAAGAAGACCTGGGAGCAACTTCACGCCCTCGTTTTCGATGTCGCCAATGCATCTCTACGTATCATCAATCGTTCTGCTGTAGAAAGTAAAGCGCCCACCCTTAACTTCCTTCTTCAGTGACCTAGCGAGCGACTAATCGATTCAGGTAATTACACACGCGTTCCTCTCCCTCGCGCGCGTCCCTACATGAAAGATTATATCTACTACCGTATGACGCGTGCCAAAAGCGATCCGCTCAATTTCCAGTACATGGCATACGCATTGATAGATCGTCTTGGTGTTAGGAAAGAAAGATTAAGAGGAGAGATTAAGGAGGCGTGGGTGTTGAATGATCCCAAGGGAAGACGTTTCGAGACGGTTAGTAAATGGAAGTATTGGGCTACGACAACACAGGTGGAGATGCGTGTTCGTAAGGGACAGACACAGTTTCCTGGATATAAACGCTGGTTTCATTGAGCTGAATCTTTCGATATGAATCTAAATGAATTTATTGATTAATTAGTTATTGCAGTCATTTGACTTTTTTCAAAGAAAATAAATCATGTTATGGTCATAAATGCAGTCAATCTAAGTTTGAATCTAATGACGAATGAATACTAATCGGCAATCTAATGTTTGAGCAATAACTTTGAACTCCACAATCCAAATAAGTACATGGAAATGATATGAGCTCAGTCAAATCCACGAAATAGTTTATGAAGAGCTGAAAATAAAATCGGACAATGAAGCAGTAGGCTAAGTTGGATTTGCATGAAGACTTGTGATGTTTCACCGTAGATTGCGTTGACCGGGACAGCAATATTCCATCCACATGGAAGCATTCTTCTCCTCATGACCTCTACTAACTAGTCTTAGCTGTATATAAACTTCCGCAGGGTCAAAAGCAATAATACAATTACAAAAGGACTGCGCCTATATAAACATAAATCCATGGTATCTCGCTAAAACGCCAAGTATTCCCGCTCTTCTACTCAACCCTGCCCCTGGTATACATTGGTGAATAATAGTCCCATCCAATAGCTCCTATAAACGCAATATATGGAAGCTTTAAAAGAAATTCTAAGTAAAACAAACAGAGAATTCAATCCGCATGCAAGATTCTCCCATCTCGAATCGCCTTCTTCAGTCTACGTTCCTCAACAGATTCCCTCGGGGTACTGGAAAACTCATGAGCCTCACAAAGATGAGTCTTAAAATCTTCTTCCCTTGTAAAGATCGTCTCTTCATTACGGCACCGAGGACAGCGGAATCTGTGACCCGTAGCCACAACGTCCCATTTTTCAGTTCTAGACCTCTCTTGTCGATTCCTCACTAGAATTTTGGCTACTTTCTCCATTCGTCTTCGAACTTCTGATTGATTAAGATAGACATGAGTTTGTTCTCGTATCCTTTTGAGAGTTATATTCTCATTGCCATGAATACGCCATTCTCCAAGATCCATATCACCAAGTCCCCCATCAACGTTGAAGCGCTCATAGGTACATCGATCCGCGGTCAGTGCTTCTACATATTCATGGGTTTTTTCAGAGTCGGTCGTTGTAGCTGCGGTATATTTGATCATTTGTCGGTAATGGCTTATGAGCCCACTGTTCTGTCCGGCTATTGGTTGGACTTTTGTAGGTCGACCAGTACCAATGCTAAGTGTGAGGGCGACAGCGCCTTTGCCATGTACTTGTTCGACCTCTGCAAACGTTCTCGAGGTGGGGTTATTATAACCAAATCCTCCATCTACGAAGCGATCATTAAGTAGTTGAAATGGTTTGAAATATGTCGGCGCTGCAGTAGTTGCTCGGGCGACTTGCCATATAGGGATGTGAAGCGGGGGGCCGGGATTGAGCTCTTCAGAATAGTTGAATTCTGATTTAACATGTTCATATGTTCGAAAAAGGTAAGGGGCGTTGGCGGAGTTGTTTTCTCGGACCGCTAAAACGATTCTGTAATACATTAGCAAGACAACCCCAATTTGACAATTTGGAGACATACGTCCGGCAGCGGTCTTTGTTTGAAGGATACATAGAGTCTGCAATTTGATCTTCTTTCCAGTCTCTTCTTTTCAAAACATCTTTTATAGATTCCTCAAGTTTGCGATGGTCGTATTTTTCCCGATTCCATGGTATTGGACCACGCATTGAAAGCTTTCGTGGTTGACCAAATATCTTTTCTCCTAGATTCTCGTATTCTTGGATGCAGTCATCACTGTCCATTCGTAGTCGACTGAGCATAATAGCACTCAATCCACCAGTACTTGTGCCTGCTGTGAAGATGTTAGCTGGTCATCGCCGATAAATGTAGGAAGAACATCCCATACCAATATAGTCAAAATAATGTACCGGCAAGAAGTGTGCACTTCTTGACTCTTTGCTGTTGGTAATCGGTCCTTGACCTTGTTGGAATGGTAGTGGATGAAAGCTCGACTCGATCGACTGATCTTGACTCTGCTCAAAAGAATTACAAAGTGCCATAAGATTTTGAATGATAAGTAGACTGGATAGTCCACGCACACCTCCGCCGTCTACAAATCTGATTAGCTTTAACTGTAGGCTTCAAACCAAAAACGTATAACATATACCTAGCGTGAGAATATATTTCTTATTCCAGGGGTTATGTGTTGATCCATTGCGACCTGTACTGCTACTTGGACTGTGATTCACGGATCGGCTGGCTTGATCCGTAGGAGACGCATCTGGGATGAAGAGTGTTGAGGTCATCGAATGACTGGAGCTATGCGAGTTTCCATCGCTGATTGATAGTCGACGAAGTCTTGGAACATCTGCATCCCACGGTTTCAATGAGTTGGGGTTCATTTTCGTTCACGAAAAATGATCAAGAGGATGAAAGAACCAGTCTTGGGAGACCTACTACTTTTGTCTTTGAGAACCCCTTGAGCATTTCTCAAATTAATAGGTTGGAGCCTGAGAACGAATTGTATGAGGCTCTGCTTCAATTAGGAAATTACCCCCAAAGCGAAGCAGACTGTAGTGGCTGAGTAAACCATGCCTTCGAACTCGACAATTTCATGTGCGAGGGTTGTCATCATTTGTGGCAAATCTTCTCAAGCTGCGACCGCTGTGACCCAAAGTAGCAATTTGGACATTGAGGCACGGATTGTGGTTTTCTATATTGCGACCGTAACAACGGGCGCACAAGAAAATATTGTGGTGGGATGAACGTTGATATATCCGCCAGCCTTGTTGATGGATCGGGCCTCAAATCTAGTTTGAGACAGATATCTGCTGCGCATTTTACGTCGAATATTGTAGCTAATTCTCACCAATCATCGATTCTTGACAATGAACTTCTAGCAACGACGTGTGTGAGAAAACAGGAAATGACACGGGGTGTTATGAAAGTCAACCTTGACGTGAGATTGATGAAACAAGTACGAGGGGGGGCTGAATTCTTGAAAATTTTCGTATGACTATTGGCTGAAATCGTAATGTAGACTAGTGTTGAATGGCCTGCATATGGTAGCATGGTAGCACGAATGGGTGATTTACGAGGGAAACTGCTGGCTTCTCGAAGCAATCTGCCTTGGAAGGCAGATTTCCATATTAGATGAATGGCTCGGATCAATGTGTGCTACAGTAATAGTAGAATTCCAAGAAATCCTGATGCAAAGCTGACACTAGGAATGGGCGCCATGTAATTGTGTGTATGTGATCAGGTGTATATTTGCAATCTGCCTTGCAGAGCCTCTAGCAGGTCTTTGGCAAGAGCATCGTATATTGTTGTGAAGATGTCTCCTTTCTTCCACGGTCGAAATTAGCAATCAATATTGATCGAATACACATTTTAAATTGCACACCGAAATCTACCGTAAATCAATCATTCATCATGGCGAGAAGTTCGGAACCCATCGAGACGACTATTGCACCACACGATTCCATCGACAGGAAGTCGAAACGAACCAACAGCTGGGAGACGAAGAATGCGATTGTCTATGATGTATCCTTACAAAAGTTATTGAAGACAAAGCGCGAAGCGATCGAAGGTATGACTTCGGCGTTGAGTCAACTTAAGAAGTAGTACTGATTGACTATAGCGGATCACACTCGTATCAAGATTCCAAAGCGTCCTCTTAGTCCTTTGCAGAAGGACAACGTTCGGATATCGATGCCATTGAACTCAGCAGCAGGATCGGATATCCTCGCAGAAGTCAAGTTGAGCAGTCTTGGATTAAAAGTCGCATTTGAGCGGTATCGAGGAAATATTGCCGAAATTTGGGTAAAAGGTATGCCACAATACGTGCTTTGAAGAAGTAAAGAATATACAAAGAGCGAAAGAGCACTCCAAATATAGATACAGAATATCTATGCATATATCGGAGTCCTGTGTAATACTATTTCTGGCGTTATGGAACTGAGATGGAGATTTGGATATCTGGGCTGGGCACTATACACTTTGGCTATTTGGCAATAATTACACTTGTTAAAACGCAAGATAACCGTAAAGCGCTACGTCTGATAGATTAGACGTACACTCCGGTACGTCTTAAGGAACTCAATACCCACAAGTTCTTAAATGCGCGCCATCATAACATAAATCTTCATATGTGTCCTGGTGCTCCCCAAATCGAGTCGCAGTCAGGGCGCTCACTCGGACTGCAAAACCAGATTAGAATTCTCGTATTGGGTATGTAATAGTAGCTTTATAGGTTGATCATGGTCCTGTTATCCCAGTTTATCCAGTAATCGTCTTCGTCGCCTATCAACAAGCTCTTCCTGGACTTCTTCGCTCGTCGGTAATCTCCATCCTGCGCCATCGCCTGCGTCTCCGGGTAACGGCTCCCATCCATCGGGTGTGTTCTTATCTTTGCCTTCCAATAAGTTCTCGTAAGCCTCTTTCTCTTTTTGTATTTCATAATCTAACAAAGTGCCGTCTTCTTCATCAAGGTTGTAACCATAATATGAAGCATCGACTTGTTTTCGCAGGTCTACTCTCGACTCTAGAGGTTGATCTTCGCGGGTTTTTATTGTTGCAGCTTCGAACATTTCTTTGACTCCCGGTAACTCTTTGGCACGTCCAAAATACCTGGTACAAAATCATTCATCAGCACAATTCGCGCACACTTCATCACCACATGGCCATGCATACCTGTAACCCTTTCCACCACCTGGTATCTCCCGCCCTTCATCATCATAGACTTTCCCTCCGCCTCGCATATAATTCGGACCCCCCAAATTTTTAATCTGCACCTCCCACATATATTTTTCTCTCATAGCCTTATTGATTTCATCGTTCAAATCTCGAATCATGAAGTCACTCAAACTTGGATCCTGGATCTTGCTGACTTTGCGTGAGATCTCCTTCAGAACTTGGCCTCTCCATTTCTCGCATGATGGTATAGATGAGACTTCCGTTATCATCTTTGGGCGCCGCGTCCTTCCAGCATCGATAATACCCAACTCTGCTTGTTGCGCTTCCCTGAAGCGGAACAGCATCGATTGTGATTTCTCAGCATTACGAGCCTAGAAATGTTAGCAGCCATTGCATGACAATGTAAGGGAACTATTATACCATGATTGTGAAGAGCTCCGTTGACTTGTATGGTTCTAATAGAAGAGACGAGGTTGTGATGCACTTCAATAAATGCGTCGAGTATATTTACACTCTCATGAACGATCAACCTGAGCTTGGACCCATGAGGCTGCTGAAATTTAAAGTAACAAGGCTGAGAAGTAAGGCCATTGTTTAGCGTGTTTTTAGCTTAGCGACACGCGCTGTAAGTATTTCAGCGCGCCTGGAACATCACTTTGCATCCCAACAACAATCTGCAATGACGAGAACAATCATTGAGCTTACACTACTTAACCATCTGAGAAATCAGAAGGTTCAGAATGTGTGAATGAATGAACAGAAATCTTAGCAGGCTTCCAATTCTATCATCTCGAGTACCTTTGATGTCTTGTTAGGCGGTCGCAGGTCTTTGATTCTATAATTTGGATCAAGCCGCAATGACGACAACCAGCTCCTCTTGAGATATTCGCTATGTTCTACCACTTTGAATAACTATTGGCCAGGTTTCCGAGAGATCGGGAATGATAGCCATAGGTATTGATTGAGGTACTACAATGGCAAAAGAATTATCGCTGAAAGCGGAAAATAGTTTTCAATCGGAGTAGCTTGGTAAGAACAATCCCGTCTCATCCCCCTCCCGTTAACCAGACCTTTCTATGCTGGCGTGCGGAATCTTTAGTTCTTGACGTCTATAGCCGAAAGCATTGCTAACCAAATCTAGTTTCATATTTCCAATCATTCTTGTGACTTTTCCTTACAAACTTCGATAGTGTCGACGTGAAAGTCTATGGAAGTATATTTCTTTGCCCGGTGATGACCAAACGTGTCCAAAAAGCCAAATTTGCAGGCCAACCTACTATCTCATACTTGCCTTGGGGCTAAATAAGATGGAAAGTGTTCGCAATGAGAACTTGAGAGCTTATCTGAGGGCACCTTCAATCTTTACTTTCTTCATGGCATACTTCCAGCCTCTTCTTATCCATCGTTCCTTTACGCAGTATATTGTTTTCCTACTCCACATCTCTCTTTCATTTTTAAGAATCCTTGTTACACTTTAGCGGGGCTTTTGCTAGGAATTTTGATTGTGGGTTTCTTCACTCGTGCTGCTACAACATATCAGCCTCGCCGTAAAAAAATGAGAACAAAGAATTATTAAGTCACCTGCAAGCACTCACAAGTCAATGGTTTCAGTGATTCTATCTTCTCATACCTCAACACTTTGTCCCGGGAGTACATCATTTTTGCTACTGCTACTACATTTTGACCATTGATATCGATAAATATATTTCACTTTGTAACGTTTTGCTGCCATGTTTTCGAGGCTCTCTATCAATTCGCATGATTCTAGTGACCAACCTTCGCCTTTGACGTCTTCGTCCTCGTCCTCTTCTCTGCCCGAAGGCGCGCATCTCTCGATAAACACCGCAGTGGAACAATCTGATGCCCCTGACTATGCGATTCTGTGTGTTAATGGGTTATCTTCCGCTGGATTATTTGAGGATGCGGCAGTCATTGCCCAAGGGTATTTGCATGAGAAACCAAATCATGCACTGTTTTTGAAGCACTTGGCCAAAGGCTTGTTTGAAACAGAACATTACAGTGAAGCTAGCCAAATATATCAGCGTCTGGAGGCAATGCCGGGTTTGGCTAACGACACAGAAAAGAAGCTCTGGACCATCGAAGCACTTCTCAACGACCATCGACCTGGAGCAGCGCTTGATGAATATCTCAGAACTCCTTCATTAGAAGAATCTGCTAAGGGTCTGTATTTCAAAAGCCGCGCCTTGCGGAAATTGAAGCAACCCGCAGCAGCAAGAGCTGCCGCTGATCAGATGTTAGAAGTAGCTGGGGAAAATGACGTTGTCGACTATTGGGTTGAGTATGGGTTGGTGTTGTATGATTTGCAGGATTTTGTAGGATCATTGAAATATTTGCGCCAGGGCGCAACAGAAGATGTGATCGAGTCCGCCCTGGGGCTATCAGGCCAAGTGAAGGAAGCGGAAGAGATGTTTCAGTCTCCACAGACATTGAGTCCATGCCATCGTCGTAAAATCATTAATGGACCAGCTACCGATTGGGAGGAATTCAGGGGAAGAGCAAACTGGATGAAGACGCTCCCCGACTTGCGTGCCCTAGTACAGGTTTCATTTCATAACTCTCTCCCGGATCCGGAGGACTTGGCCAGTTGTTTGTGCATATTAGGTACCAGGCATCGAGAAGGTGGTACTCATGAAGCAGCGTCCGCATGCTTTGAAATTGCACTCAAAATTAATCATACATCTGCATTTGTGTTGTCCATGTCAGCTACAAACCTTGCAGCCAATGTCCCTCTTAATGAATCAGACGAAGCAAGTTTTGCACGCCTTCAAAAAGCGGATGATCTGTGGGAACAATTGCTGAAAATCGGGCCCTACCCTGACGGATCCTTCGAAGTTCCACACGCCGAGATCTATCGCCGTCGTGCAGAACTATGGAAAGGTGTCAAAATATCATTCTACGAGAAGTACCTGTTCAAATATGCGGAAATTATCAAATCCCCTGCAGAATTTATATCGGTAGCAAAAGTTTTGAGGTCCAACCAAAAAACCGACGGTATCAATACAATTGCATACAAAGAACGTGCCGAAAGAGTTGATCGGTTATATTATGAAGCGCTACATTCTCCAGAATACTCACCCACTCATGCCCCTCAAAAGGCTGCCCTAGTATATGGATGGCGTGTTGACAACCTCGCATATGGTGATATTGATCCAGAACGACAAGAGCGATTCCTCCGACAGAAGATGGAACTTGACGGTAACCCCGACCGCCTGTTGAACTTTATGGGTAAGGCAGGAGGTCGCGATCGGGAAATCTTACAATTGCTTGAGGACGCTGAACGGAAGTTTGGTGGGAAGTACGTCGCGCTAGTCAAGGACCAAAGAAAATATCTCAAAAATATTGAGAAGATTAAAAAGACTTCTGCGAACAAAACACCAGATGATCCTCTTAAGCAAGATCCGGTTCAGAGGAGTATCAAACGAACACGAGTAGCAGCTGGTTGGCATGCTTGGAAGGCACAAAAATAATATTGGAGGATTAGTAGGCCGAATGATAAAAGATACTTCTGGTAGTGATGAGTGGGACATTAAATGTCTCCTCAAAATACATTTCTCGATACTTTGCAAAGCTGCACAATAAACTTTGTAGCGTTGTCAACTCCTATTACTTCCTCTTTTTCCACAGAGACATTTATTCATTCTGCGTGCAAATTATTATTTTTAGCACATGAGGCGATTTTCAAGAAGGTAATATTGATCATCCGAATTATTTCTATTGCAATTTGTTTGAGAGGTCCTCTTCTTAGTTTCGTCACATTCAAGGCGAGTGATTTCTTGGGGACGAATGCCAATTTATTTCTTTGCTAGTATACCTTCAACTGGGAAGATCTTCACGGACGATTAAAAGATGCACGAGGAAAGAATCATGTTCAATAAAAACCACAATTATATCAATATTTCAAATCTGATCACGAACTTTGGTCTTTATGAGAAGAGTAGTATAGTTCGGGAATTGACCCCAGGTGGGACCATTTGAATTGAGCCTATCTCAAGATTGATCTACCCCAGGATTTTCAGCTAATTAGCTATTTGGATAATATTTGCTAGTGCCATATGTTTTGCCATGATGTCTACAAGATCCGGAGTTCGTAAAGACTTCAGAGAACCAAGAAAATCCATGTACCACCATTTCTCAACGCCGACCTGCTTTCTGTACAGATGCAGACCAGTGTCAAGGGATACAACCTATATGGAAAGATGCGAGCTAAGGCTTATCGCCGCAGGATGCGCCCTTGATAACGCGCATCTTTATCATATATTTTGCAACCAAAAACTTTGTCCTGCTGATCCGATCGACTGGGCTGGGATTCATACCATCCAGAACCCAAGCCTCCATGATTTCTCCCCTCAATCTTTCCTCCCATACATTGAGAAAATCGATGGAATAACATGTTAAATAGTGATGATCAACCGATCCGGTCTCTTTAGTGCGCTTGAGATTGTTCTTGAAGGTAGTCATGAAATCTGTCTTGAAGCCGCTCTTGAAGCCTTGTTTGAGACTACGCATGATTACGTTTGTCTTTGAATTTCCGAGGTAGATCTCATCTTTGTTTTTGGGATGGAGGGGGGCGAGCGTAATGCGTGTATGGTTTGCTAAGGAGGGTTAGATATATTTTTTCTTAAAATGATTGGAATGAGAAGGACAAGTAGGGTATAGTTACACGTTAAAGCAGAACGATCAACGATGTACACACTGAGTTCTGGTAAATTAAATACTAGGGCATTGTTTTGCTCCCAGATGCTTAATTGTCGCGTGGTTGATATTGGAGCTGGTTCCCAATCTTTGGAATCACATTTTTCGGAATACCAAACATATTCATCGACATCATATGACGAAGGGGGATCATTATAAATCGACATCTTCTGTTTCTAGAACTATCACTTTGTTGTTGGTGGAAGCTCTGAAAATTTATTTATCAACTTGATCTGATGATTGAGTGTGTATTTTTTAAGAGCGCGGATGGCCAAAGATGCAAGCTTAGATGTCGTTGTCAGCTTGAGAATCGGAAGGTTGTTGCAACTTGGCCGGATTGATCTTTAATACAGTAATTATATAGTACAGCTCCTTCATTTCTATCAACCGTATTTGGGCGTAGGACTGGAAATGATTCACTCATCAACTACGCATTCACACACTGAGAAAACCGTAACATTGAGATGATGTTCGACCGTATTAGGACGCAAGATAGCATATAACCCGTCATCTTTCTCACAAGAAAGACCTAAAGCATCAGAAGAGCAATCTATCAAAAGAATTGTCTACAGAACACGCAAAGACCTACCAGAACTCGAAACCCTTATCAAAAATTCATCAAAATGGATCAACAAAATCAGGACAGCTTGAACGGACAACATCTACCAGGTAGAAAGCATCCTACCACCTGGGAACAGAATTATGCCATTGTTTTTGACCTGACAAGTAAGAAAATATACAAGGCAAATCGCTCAGATATTGATAGTGAGTATCTCTCCCTTTCACAAAGCCACAATTCACATGTTACTTTTCTCTCCGCTCCATGCTGCTATCATTAACAATGGGAACTAACAATCCTCCCTTATAGCATCAACTCACTTCCGCATTGCTCTTTCCCGTCTTCTCCCATTTGAGGAAGACACCGTCAGTCTGGGTAGGCGACGCACCTCCGACAGCCAAGACTTAGAGCTCGTGGCTAAAGTCAGTGTCAATTCTCTAGGATTAAGAGAACAGAGATTGAGAGGAGACATCATGGAATGTTGGGTTTTGGATAACGCGAAGGGAAATACGCAGGGCACATTGGTGGGATGGAAGTTTAGGGACGCTTTTGATTACTTTGATAAGAAGTAAGTGAGAGTGGAAGAGTTGTGGGTGGAGTGGACTTGAGAAGTTCTGGCTGTTAGAGAACGACAGCACCGTTGTTGTCGGTAGTTTTGAGGGGGAGAACCACTGGTGCGCGGACACATAAGACAGGCTACATAAAGCACAATTTTTTAACAAGAATGAAGACCTTGATCATTCGACTATGCTTCGAAGATCTAGTGATACTAACAAAGAAGGGACAAAGTATTTAATTAACAAGTCCTGAAAAATTACACCTTTGAATCGAAGAATAAATCTTGAAAGCGAAGTTGCCGACGGGATTCATTTGTCTATCAAAATATCAACAAGCAGGAATGATACATTATCTCTTGATTTCAACATTGAATCTATCTGAACTACTTTTGAACGTGGTATATTATTGTGCTTGGTGAACTCTGGGTCAGAATTTGATAGGTAACCAAGGTCAGTTAGAATTTCTATTTAAGTAGGAGGCTGACGTAACCTTCTCCTGGTATAAAATCATTTCTTTGAGTCTCCGATGAATTTATTTACCCAATATTGGACTGGGGAGCTAGTTACTTTGAATTTCTATATACGATAGATAATTCCGTTGAAGATACGACTTACTTTAGTTGGTTTGGCTGTTCTTCTTATGTTTAGAAAAAACACACCAAGGTGCCTTTGATTTCTATTAACTCCTTTGTGGTTGGCTTTGACAGGCTAGCTGCCTTCTAGCTCTACGCGGAACACTTCGTGAATCATTACATAGTATTCTGATTGAGCATGAACTCACAGTCATCTTAGTGATATTTAATTTAACGGTGCGGACGCTTTCTTGGGTGAGATTTTTGTGTATTTTCTTGTGGGGTTGAGGCTACGAAACGACTTCGAATGATGCGTGTTGTTTCTTAATCTCCTACCCGAGAAAGGGGAAAAGCATGGATGAAGAATTATTCTTCATTTCCCAAGTATCTAAATGTAAATCAAGTATGGAATATGGAATCGGGGACTGAGGAATTGAAGAATCGTGAGGTAGGACATGAGGAGACAATCTCTGGATTCTGGGTTGAGTAGATGTTTGATGAATGCAATGATCTACAGAAGGATCCCCTCATTTGCATTTGACACATGAAAGAACACTAATAATTCTGACATTTTACGAAGAACAATTTAAAGGGGTCGTACGTTGAAGCATGGTTCATGTGTCATACATGGCACCGAGAACTGTTTCGTTATCCGGTTGTTCTATCTTTGACATTTGATCGGCTAATATGAAAGATATGATTCAGGGGGGCAAATTCCGTGTTACCTTTGATATCCGGTTGTTTGGTTTTCCGGTCATGAGAAGAGGGAACGTAATCTCTCGCAGTACGAACTCTTAAGGTAATTAATTTGCTGGCGCTGTCATCGTGTATCTGTTCTAACTTTTCTAGCAGCGGACCATTAGAACCCGAGACCCTCAAAATGGTTCAATCTCAATTGCAACTCACTAGTAGTTGCATTAGTGAAGTCATCTCTCAGCATGTCTTGTACTAAATACTCGGAAATGCACGTGCCATTCATGTGATAGACAGGGTAAAATTCACTCCTTCCTATTCTAGATCCGGCTAATTCCAGACGGTAATCTGATAGCATGACGGAAACCCACTTTGAAGATTCTCCGCCTGTGTCCTTCTCCCGTAACCTTACCCTCTCTCAATCTTTAAATGAACGTAACCAAGTAATGTAGCCAAGTGCCATTACCCTTACTACAAGCTTTTCCAAGACGAATAGTATTATCGCAATATCTTGTGCTGCCAAGCTGGAACCGCCAAGATGATCGAGAAGGAGATAGTGTGCAGAAATACAACCGTAGAATTACACCAAAGGAATATTATAGATGATCTTTTTCCGGCAGGAGATAAGCCTTTTCAGCCACGGCGTCGAAAATATCGGCATTACAGATTTCAACAAGCAATAACGCGAAGTCATAGCCAAGACGATTTCGCCATCACGAGATCCTTTCGAACTTCGAAACCAGACAAATTTCGATAAAAGTTCATTCTCGAAAAGGGAGGTTGTTATTTGATTCTAGTGAGATGAAGCCATCTTCGAAGACATTGTACAATCATATGCCCACTTCACTTGGCGCTTCTGCGTCTCTTCATATCTGCAAGTGTCACTACATTTGATTGTTAGGATGAGCGCTTGGCTACACGCTTGGCAATCCTACGTAGACTATAGGTTGTGTGCCAATCGCATGCCGCATATTTACAGATCGATAAGAAAAGCTTCACAACTTCCCAATTCGACATGAAAATCAGTTGGAGAGCATGACATACACTACCATGATGGCGTTTAGCCTGAGATTCATACCTATTTCATGTCGTTTGTGTCGGCTCGTGGTCCATCTTAGTTGATGGCGTTCTCGATGGTGTTATACTAGTACTGGCTTGCTTCATTCTTCAATCACCCCCATACCGATATGATTGTCGAATAGCATCGCAGAAATCTCTACATTCCATGATAATAACCAGTGGCCAAGTCAGGCCCTGGAGCAATATTTCATGCCATATCCTTAACAGCTTCCATAAATGTGATAGACCTGTGCCTGAAGGTAGCGATAACAATCATTTGTAGAAGGTGACGATGAGGTATGTAGTTAACGTGGTGATATCGAATTACAACATACCTTGGCTATCCAGTTCATGGCAATCTTATCTTGTTCGCGACTCGAAATCATCGTCGACAGTGAGTATTGTAGGTTGCATATGCAAGTTGCATATGCAGAAGAGCCTCAACCGTTTTGATTTAAATACTGCCTTTGTCTCCCTCTGAAACTCTATCACCAGGAACATCTTCTTCATTAACTCTTCATCAAGAATAACCTTTTGACCACATCTTTATCATGGCTGGCTATCTCACCGTTCTTACCGCTTTCGCGGCTGCTTTTGCTCCTGTTTTTGGTGCACCAGCAATCGGAGTACCTCATCCAAAGATTAAGACTCCAACCACCGTCGCTAAGGATATCGTCGCCGATAGCTATATTGTCGTCTACAACAAGGATATCTCACCAGAGGTGACTGCTAGCCATGTTGACTTTGTTAACGCTATCGTCGCAAAACGTGACAACGCCGTATCAGTCGGTGCAAACTACAAGATTCACGACTTCGCTGGATATCAGATCACAGCTGATGCGGAAAGCATTGTTGAGATCGCTAACAAACCAGAAGTATGCATTCTCACTACGAAATATGTGACTTACTGACAGTTGGACTAGGTTGCATACGTTGAGAAAGATCAAAAGGTCTACGCTTCAACATTGAAAACTCAAACTGGAGCTACTTGGGGGCTAGGTCGCATTTCTCACCGTGCACAAGATACTACTACTTATATCTATGATTCTACCGCCGGAAGTGGTGTGACTGTATACGTTGTCGATACTGGTGTCTACGCTGCTCACTCTCAATTTGGTGGACGTGCCAGCATGGGAGCCAACTTTGTCTCTGGATCAGCTGTATGTTCAAATCTAGTGGCAATCAGGAATTGAATTTGCTAACACAGAATAGAACACTGATGAGAATGGTCACGGAACTCACTGCGCTGGTACTATTGGTGGTAGTACATACGGTGTTGCTAAGTCGGCAAAGATCGTTGGTGTTAAGGTTCTTGGCGCTGATGGATCAGGAACTAACGCCGGTGTTATTTCTGGTATTCAATGGGTTGCTACCAATGGTGGTGCTAAGTCTGTTCTAAGCATGTCTCTCGGTGGTGGTCTATCCACTGCTTTGAACAGTGCCGTTACAAACACAGTTGCTGCCGGTGTAACAGTTGTTGTAGCTGCCGGAAACGACAATGTAAGTTTGGATTCTTTGTATCTTGAATTTCTAGAACTTGGAAACAGGATTTACTAACTCTCCATCCAGGCAAATGCAGCCAACACCTCGCCCGCTTCCACCCCTGACGCTATCACGGTTGGTGCCATTGATGCAAACGACGCCCGAGCTACCTTCTCCAACTACGGTGCCGTTCTTGACATCTTCGCCCCCGGTGTCAACGTTCTTAGCTCCTGGATCGGTTCCACAACCGCTACCAACACCATTAGCGGAACTTCAATGGCCACTCCTCACGTTGCAGGTCTTGCAGCTTACTTGATCGCTCTTGAGGGTTTGGCAACACCAGCTGCTGTCGTGGCTAGAATTAAGGCATTGGCTACTGCCAATCTCATCACCAGCGCTGGTTCTGGAAGCCCAAACCTCATTGCCTACAACGGTAACGGTGCATAGATGCATGGAGTGGTACAAAATTTGGAAGGTAGATAGATGGAAAGGGAACAGGGGTCAATGTTATGCGAGCGGAGTATTTACCATTGACTTGGCTATTTTGTCTCTTTTTAAAATGGTGGATAGGGAAGACTTCTTCTGTGATAGGAATGAGGTATTTGATTCTTGGGTGAAAATCTTTCTGGGATGTGTTAAGTAGCTAGGAATTTGTTCAATTACAAATATTTTGGTGAAATTGGTTTTCTCTTCATCTTAGAGTGATACAATATTGCACTGTAAATCTTTTCTCAATAGATTTCTCTTCGGCTATACACCATTGTTAGAGAATAACTGTCTTAGTTATTGCCAATCTAACGCATCATCAAATTCATTTCAAGTTGCAAGATCTAATAGTATCCAAGATCCCTAACTCAACCCTTTCTACACAACAAGACTCGAACAAACTCATACAAATCTTTAGATTGAAGACGTGAAGAAGTGGAGCATAGAAATTAGTTTCCCCAAATCCTATCAATGTACAGGTCTCAGGGGACCGTAGAGTCTAGCTAACAAGTTCCGGTTCCCCCGTCAGAAATCACTCCATTTCCAACATCACTTTGCTTCGATAAGCATTCTATCATTTTGAACCATACTAAAATTCAAGTACTTCACAATGATCGAACCGACTTCAACATCGCAAGTGGTGAAATATAATCATTTTATATCAATTGTAAAATTTTCAAGTCATTTCCTGTTTAAATTTGCACAGTGAGAATGAGTATTGATAAGTTAATCTTGCAAGTTGCATTTGATCCCTATTGACCCTCATATCGTTGAATTCAAGAGGGAGTAGATGCACAGAATTTGTTCTTTTCCTGATGAATGCGAGGATGTTATGGATTCTGCTGAATTGTGTAGGGGTTAATGACGCATCACTTCTGCATAAATAAGAAGAATTTATCAAAAGCAAAGGACTTTGACTATCGAAAACCTCTGCATTGATTTGAATTAATTTGAAAATCAGATAAACTTTACAAATTCTATTTTTGACTTACAGCAGCTACTTACAAACTTGACTAAGAGCACTTGTAGTATCTAGTAAAGAAGAAGGATTCCGCACGAATATACAAACACGTATGTATTCTCACACCGGCAATAAACTAGGGAATAATTCCACCCCTAGCGCCCCAAAATGTGAACCAAATCATATGATCCCACAAATGATGTTGTGTGAAAATGAAAATTTAGAAAAATTAGGTTTTGTTGCACATCTAAGCGTCATGCACAATCAATAGTTCATCATGCGTTCCTTAACCATGACTTAGTCCGAACTATGAGTGGTAAATGTGTAAGGCATACCTTGCATGAACAGATATGCCATGTGACATACGAGATTCTGACAAAATTAGCGTGTAGATCATTGGGATTTATGTAGGTGATAGAATCGATTCCGGTGAGAGGAAAATGGATTTTATTGTAATGGACATGGTTACCATTATACCAGCCATACCCCTTAGGGCTCTGGTGTCGATATAATTACATATAATATGCCTATTTAGGCTAGCACTTTCCTCTGTGAGAGAGAGATGATCATGGTATCTCGAGACGAGGCAATGGCCTGTGGTTTGTTTCTTCGTCTAATTTTATGCTTTATTATCAAGTCAGAAGGAAAATAAATCCTAAGGAAATGCTTGCTTCTTTACACCCAAAGATTTTAAAATCAAGAAGTCCTCAATGATGCGCTGGAAGCTGGGTTTTAAGGGTGTTAATGAGCATTGTGTGTATCTCTTGTGCAACTTGTTTGCGTTTAGGAATCTCAAGCTGGCATCATGATTGGAGAATCTGTTTACAAGATGTAGAGTGTGAGTGGGGATTTTTGAGATGACGCAGATAGTCTGGCTAGTTGTAGTGGTATGAGACTGCCTTGAAAGTAAAGGGCAATTGAAGAATGGAAGGCTGGGGATGGTGGGGATGGTGGGGAAGATTTCCGGTAGGAGATGGAGAAGAATAAGTGTACAGAGTGTAAGGTGCATGGATTGAGAACGTTCCTGATAGAAACAAGAGATACTCGAAAGAACGTACGATACCATAGACCTTGCATACAAGAATATGCAAATGTGACGATGTTTTGTGCAAGCCAGATGTTGAATGTACCCCACTCGAACAAAGATCAACCGCATTGCGACATGACTTCGTAAAACCCAAGACAATACGATGATGGAATCAAGGAAATAACCGGCTATGAGAGTTATAAATGGTAAGTCATGACGCATCGCGGCCTCTATTCATTGCTTTATCGCGTCAGTATCAAAATTTAGTCATCAGCAATGAAGTGAAATCTGGTACACTAGTAAAGCTATCAACAGGCCGGACGTGGGCTAAGTTCTCGAGTATGAGTACGTGGTGGGGTCCTTTATGTAGGCGTGGAAGGGATGAAGAATTATCGGTATTGATTCACTAAAGTCGCACCTTCCATATTGATTCCCAACAATGAAATCGGGGAAATAAACAAAATGGTGATGTCTTATCATAGAAGACGATACGCCGGGTTTAATTGAATTGACATTTAAATTTTATCATTCCAATAGCTGTGTGACATGGAAATGATTCAACGAGATCATTGCTATTCCTATTTGAGGTTGTAGCACTATCTTCCGCCGTTGCAAATTGCCAAGACACTACTCGGTAGTTTTAGCGACCGTTAAATTTAGGGGGAAGTTTAATCTCACGTGAAGTGATAACGCTCAAAGTAGACCAATAAGAGCAAAATCTGTACGAAATCACCTCTCAGAATAGGAACCTGAGAATGTTTCAAGTTGTTCTAGTTGTTCTAGTCTGTATACATCACTGCAAGAGTGATTGACTATTATGAAGATCAGTACGGTTGAGGGAGTGATGGAAATGCGCTAAATCTTACAAACTACGGTCAGGTGTTTACATTCCTAGTTTTCCACTCTCCCATCTTTTCGAATCTTTTCCCTTTCTCTCTCAAAGAACTCTACTTTTGTTCACCTCAACGTCGACCAACGCATGCAATCACACCAGAAAGAAAACACAGAATCTAAGCCGTTACCCATCATCATGCCCCATATCCTCATCCAGCTCAGATTATCGAATTTCATTCTCCCCTTTTAGTTGGAGCTCAGTTCGTGTAAACTGAGCCACAACGCTATCTGCTGTATCGAAGACTTTGAGGTCTCAAATCTATAGCTATTTGGACATTCGAATTGACACCGAACGTCATCTTATCTCCAATTTCGACACATTTTCTCTCTCATACAAAAATCACATCCTTCCTATCTCTCATCTTGAGTTGCACAACTAGTCAACTCAATTCGTCGAAGAGGCTTTACATAACAACAAACACATAATCGCCTACAAGCCTTTCATCGACGCAAAAAATAATCTACATCTAAAGTTCATCGAACTATCTGCTCAAACATCACACCATATCTATCTAAAACACCAAATCGACTCGCACCTCCAACAGTCCAATTATTCCTGATAATCAAGATGGCCTACAGAGGAAAACCCCAAGACGGGGTCAACAAAAGAACCCAAACCGCCAGCGAACGAACTTCGATGACGATTACTATGCCACCGCCTCCTGAAAACTTTCCTCAATTTTCGCAAAATGAAGCCAATGGAATGCAAAGTGATGAGAATGCTGTTTCTGGCCATCTCGCCAAGACTCCTACTCAAGAGTTTGCGAATTTCAATAAACAAGTCAATGCCAATGGTAGCGAGGTCGATAAATCGCCCAAACTGTTGAGCGTAACTGGAAGTGGAAATAGAAGAGACATGGAAACCAAGTCGTCCACCCATACTTATGGTCACAAACCCAAGACCAGACCATTTATCAGGAAGAAGAACGGCATCAAGAGAAAGAGAGGCCGCAACTTCCAGAGATATCATCATTGCTCTACAAAGGACGTCGACAACGATAATATCGAAACAGACGATGAAAATGGCGATAAATATAAAGACAAACATAGAGGTGGAGGTGAATATGGAGATGGGAATGGAGATGACGATGAGCCAATTATATCTTTGTATCAGCGAATGTTGCTGAGCTTCAGAAGGGAAAATGAGAAGTTTTACAAATCAGAGGCGTTGGAATTTCACAAGTCAAACGCCTCGGGCAATATTCTCGGGGCTGAGTCCAACTCCAGGGATCCAGCAGCCACCTCCCATCTGGATGATATGAATGGCAACAATCCCAGAGAATCAGAAAGACTTAGTGAAGGTCCGCAAAAGATTCATAATGGCGCCATTATACCTGATCCAAACTTCAATACCGAAGTCTTGTTCTCGAAGGAAAGAGCCCCTCCAAAGATCATTCAACTTGAACCTGTGGATAGAAATATCGCTATCATACACAAGATGATTAAAGAATCTCCCGAGGAACCGAAAATGTCAACATGGAAGTTGATACGCCACAGGGTCTCTTCATGGACAGGAAGGCTTAATCCTTTAAGAAGGTGGAGTCAGTCCGGGAGAGACAATGAGGCAAGAATGTCTCTAAGACATAGTGAAGCAGATCTAGGCGCATTTACCAGAGATGAACTCAGGGAGAATGCTGAAAGAAAGATTGCAAATGGCCACACAAGAGACACTGCGCACAGCATCAAGCGAGCCGGCAGCTCGGGACAGAATTCCGAAGAGAGTTTTTCGAACGTTGATGTATATGGCATCAGAGAAGTCGAAGCTGAAGTCATCCGAATGTCGAGTCCTGCACGAACGTGCCTCATCTCCAGGTCCAAGTCTGTAAGATCTGTTGAGCCAATTATAGAAGACGCTTCAAATGAGACAGGAGGCGAGAACGCAGCCCAAGAGAATGCGCAAAGGCTTCAAACTACACAGGAACCTATCGATTCAGACCCTGACCCTGAAGGCACGACCTTGAGAAGACGACCCAGGGTAGAGAGATTACGTCGTGAATTCACTGGTTCTATTGAAGAAGTTATCAATTCGAATAGAATGCTTCAAGCAATGTCAAATGTTGACACCCAAGGCTCTTCTGCATCAAGTGAATATTTGGAAACCATCGCCACCCGTAACCTCCTTGGCTACAGCTACGGGCTCAATCAATCGCAACAAAATCTTACTTTAATGTCAGGAGTAGCCGATGACTCTATTCAAGACGACGACGATTTTGGAGCCCCTCTTTGTCGCTATTCGAGTCGTGAGCTCTCCGCCGAAGAAGAATCCCAAGAGCATGACATCCTAGAAGATAAAACTTCGACAGTGACCGCCATCAAGGAGAAATGCCGTTCAAAAGTAGATCGTAGCGCTGTGCGGGGATTTGTTCCCGAAGGGGACCCCATTCCAGAGAGCGCCCTTGAAGATTCGGAAGCCAGTCAAAGATCCAACTCCGATCCGCCAAGCCTGACAAATACTACCAACACCTCAGAAAGCAGTATGAGCGTCCAGCAGCAATATTCTTGTGGGATCTTCAGATCAAATGCCATCAGAAGAAAACGTCAATCGATGAATTTTGAATCATACAATGATGCGCTCATGTGACAAAGAGACGTTTATCATGGCGCAGTGTTTGGGGAATTGCGGCATCGTCCAAATTGAGTGGTAGGATGAGATCTGATAATTAGGTTTGAGGTAAATAAATTGGAAAAGTTGGAATTCAAAAGGCACTGGGGGATTTTGATTGTATTTGAAAAAAAAAAAAAAAAAAAAAAAAAAAAGGAGTTAGTTACAGGCCTACGATTCGTTTGATTATATCTGCAAGTACCTATCTTGAAGGATAACATTGTCGCTCGTCTATCATTTGCAATGAAGTTTACTCCATACAACTATCATTCATTTTCAAAACACGAGAGACTCTAAGATATGGCTCATCACTCGTTTGGCCATTTCTATGAGTGGGAAAAAAGAGGGATGGATAGGAAAATTACCACCACTGGCAGGATAGACAGGGAATTATGTGTATTTTTTATGTGTAGTTTACTAAAATGACAATATTCTTTATCCCCTACTCCCGGCTTTTAACAAAATTTCAGTTGATTGCGAATGAAAAGTCTGGCATCTGTGGATTCAAGCATGAACCGGCCTCCTAGGTGGTTCGCTCTACTTAGAGCGCGGGCAAACTGGGGGAAACTTCATGCAACGCTATAACCATTCTTACTGGAGGGAGTCTGAAATTTCGTCTCCTAAACTCTAAGTGCTTCTTACATTCACAGGCACTCGCTGCATTAATGATCGAAAAGACAACGCAATTCCCGGCAAGGAAAGAAAAATAACAAGCAGATCGAAACAAAACAATTTATTACCAAGTCCCTCTGTTCCCCGTAAGTCGCAATCCTACATTTCTTCCGTAGATGCTGATACTGATGTCATTTTAATACATTGAATCGTTCAAACATAAAACCACCCGAAAAGCCATAATCAATAGAAGATATCCGTTTGTTCGCTCCGCCCCACGCTAATATATGAACCAATCGCTCGACTCCCTACCTCTACTTTACTCATTGAAGTAGCCTCATCCATCCACACCTTTCTTCATGCCAGTCACTCATGACATCTCTCCTGCACTACTTTTCCTCTCCCACTGTCCTTCGGGCTGAACATTTCTCTTTGCCTTCATCACCGAAGCTATTACCGAAGCTACCGCTAACACTTCAAATGGAATCACACATACACTCATGATTCCTGCAGCTCTGCTTTCCGAACACAACGTTCCCCAATGTGGTGAGGTTGATGTACTGATATTTGACCATTGGCAACTCCACGTTTGGACAGTCCACTTTGTCGAGGAAGTTAAAGCATCGAAAGGAATTGCTGAGGCGACGACTGCAGCAAGAAGGGCGATAGCCAGTGGAATGAGAGTAGGAAGAGCTAGGGGGTTTCGCTTCAACTATTCGATATAGAGTTAGCTCTAAATACACAACTCGGGAGAAAATGTCAGTAACGTACGGCAGGAACAAATTGCCCCACAAGGGCCACAGAATTCATAACGAAAACTACAACTCCACAAACGACCCCGGCAATGGTGGGTTTCAAATCAAAACTTTGAGGCCAGACTGGTAATCGAAATTCAGCGCCCAGATGAGTGGAATGGAAGACTTGGAGTGCGTTTGCTGATGTAGCCATGATAGCAAGACCAAGAATTGCGCTAATGGCTATGAATGCCGTGTTGGCATGTTGAGCCATCGTTGCACGGGGGCGGGAAGAGGAAGCTTCGGGTGTGAATTCTTGGAAGGAGGATGTGACGATAGTGAGGGGTTGCTTTGGTTCCGGGGATGGAGATGGGCCTGCCATTTTCGCTGTTTGAGGTATTGAATGATGGAGAAGAGAGAAAGAGAAGGTATTGATATGATGATATCGCGATAAAGAACGAATGTAAGATGAGAAATGCAGTAAGAATACCCCACAATAAGCACAAGAAGCTGAAGAATAAGAACGCGAAATCAACTCAGATATGACGACCCTACGGAATGAATAGAATGGGGGACTTCAATAGGTACATATACTTCCTTGCTATCAGATAATTATATCACTTGCAATTCAATAGTTGAAGATGTCTTCAACCAACAGAATTGATGAGGATAACGCTGAAGGTTCAAATGCAGTGCTTCAAAAATGATAGGGCGGTATAGCATGCCGCTTGTGCACTTCGCCATGTTTGTATTCATATCTTCCAATCAGACGGTAAAATCCCCAGAAGTCTGTCCCAATCAGATTTCCAAAATCATAGACGTCCTGTGAGATTTGTAAATGGTTGGTTCAGAATGTCTCTCGGTACATGATTTTCAAGGTTATTTTGGGCTGCGCACAGGCACGAGCGCTTGCATGTAGGGGTAGGCGGCTATGGGGGGTTAGAGTAGACCAATGTGAGGGCTGCAGTGAGCTTTTGGTGGGTTGATGGTGATGAATTAAGGAATTGAGGGTGCAAATCTATTATCTTGCTGTTTCGTGTGGGTGAGATATTGCTGTGGTCGGTAATTAATTGTCGACATTGAGAAAGATCGCGATTCTTCTCTTTGTACTAGCAAGCAGCATACAGCTGATTTTGGGGGCTCCTAGATATCTTGTAAAAATCCGGGAATATCAAGTTGTATAGGAAGGCAAAGTGCGAGTCAAATATCGAAACTCAACCATGTCGAGAGTTCCTTCTGCCTCACGTGCAGTAAGTATTCACGAAACACATTCCCATGACATTCAAGCATCGCGGTTACCTAGTAGTTAGTAACATCCATTTGAAATGATAGCTGAATAGATGTGAAACTTCGCATTCGACATTTGTTTATTGTCAAGATCTTGAAAGCGTGTTTGATGAGTTGTCACGTGGTCTGCGTATCCGAAATTAATGTTCTCGTGAAATAAACAGAAGATGCTGGAGACGATCGTATCAAGATCCGGCTTTCCTGTCTGAACCGTTGATAGAAATCTGTATGTTTTCAGCTTGCAGTGTGCTGGGCAGTTGGTCTGGTCTAGGACTGCAATCTTTTTGGTACCACTTAATGTGTGTCTGCTTCATGGAACCAAAAGACGAGATCAAAGTTCTTGTTCGTGAATATTGATCGAATGTGAAATCTAGAGGTAAAAGAAAGATGAGAGACGTGGCTTGCCAACAAACAACACGGAATTTTATTGACGAATATTTCGTCTTCTCCCGCAGCTATCATTCCTTTTTATCAAGATCAAACACTTTCACTGGCGTCATTTCTAGGATCCATCATTTTCACTGCTGTCCGAGCCAAACTCCATGCTCTCGCAAACCAATCAAAAGTCCATCATTTGCAAAATTTCAAGCCTTATGTGTATGCCTGATGCGAATCCGAGAATCCGAGTGCGAAACTATGTCATGTAACATGTAGCAGATCTGCAATAAGAACATTCCACAGACCATACTATGGATCTCAAGCTTGTCAAGAAACTTTAATCGAGAAGGCATCACTTTAGACCTCACTTGGCTCTTCCAGCCATCACCATTGTTATGCGAATACATTGTTCGTAATTGGCTGCGCGAGTGCGAGTGCGAGAAAAGACCCATGAGGATGGATATTACGGGGAATGCGACGAATTTATATTCTCCGAGTATCAAGATCAGCAAATAGATTGACCCCTATTGGATCTTCGAGTTTCACATTGGTTGTGGAACTGCCATCTTAATATCTTTGACTACGACTTAAAGTGGCATGTCAAAACGAATGCGAGGTCCGAGAAACACTTCATCATCGGCTCTACTTGCGGGTAGCCAACGTTGACGGCGTTCAGATATGCATAATGTCCGGCATTGATTTTCTAAATTGTCTAAGAGGGGGGCCCAGCAACTCTCTTCGTCTGGTAGTGGGTATCCGGGGTCTTTCGATCCACGATGATGGCAGTGATCACCAAAGGCAGTGCAATACTTACTATGTTGCTTGCCTTGTGCGAATCGTTTCTTCGGACCGTCCTATGATAGGTTCATCTAATATGACAGGATGGAGTTGAAGTGTTGTGATACAAGGAGTCTTGTTTGAGAAGGGGGATGTTCTAGAAGCTGTTGATGTGATAAATACTTCGATCTGCTGCTCTGGAATGATACTCACAGCTCACTCACATTAAATCACTTCAATTTCAAATACACAATTACTTCTACAAGCCAATATGAGACTCAACGTTCTTCCCGCTACTCTAGCCTTTGGCTTGGTCACTGCTAGAGCTCACTATCACCAACATGATGCCGTCAATGATACTGAAGGTGTTTGGATAGCACCTACAGATACCGACTGTATGTCTTACTCATCAAACCTCATCTTCTCCTTCTTTACAAGATACTAACATCTCATAGTCCGCGGTCCATGTCCCATGATGAACACCCTAGCAAATCATGGGTTTCTTCCCCGCGATGGCAGGAATCTCACGGAATACAACGTTGTCAAGGGTCTCAACGATGGTCTCAACTTCAACAAATCTCTCGCAACAATCATGTTTCAACAAGCCATACCAGTTAGCCCAGCTTACCCCAATACCACCTCCTTCACTCTGTAAGTACCCTCAATCCTGATTCCTGTCACCGCCCGCCCCCCTATATAAAGCCCCACAACTAACACCCATCAGCGACGATCTGAACCGCCACAACGTCCTCGAACACGACGGAAGTATAAGTCGTTCCGACGCCTACTTCGGCAACAACCACATTTTCAACCAAACCATCTTCGACACCACAAAAGTCTACTGGCCCTCCGAGGTCCTCACCGCTCAACATCTCGTCGACGGTAAACTCTTCCGACAAATCGTTTCTCGCTCCACCAATCCCAACTTCACATTCACCTCCACCGTGGAAGCATTCAGTCTTGGAGAGATGGCTGCGCCAATTGTCGCTTTTGGTGATAAATTTGCGGTTACAGCGAATAGAACTTTGGTTGAGAGTTGGATTGGTGAGTTTTGACACTTTTTTGTTCCGTTGGTAAAAGAAGGAGACTAATTTGATACGCAGAAAATGAAAAATTGCCTACTGAATTGGGATGGAGTAAACCAGCCGAGGAGGTTACTTTGGATGATATCTCATACGTGACGCAGTATCTTGGCAACCTTACTACGGTTCAGAGCGATATTGTTCTTACACCAAGAGATCAGACTACTAGTGCCCATGCTAAACGTATGGGTCATTGGGGTATCTCCATGTAAGAGGAGTTTGGAAGGAAATGCAGGGGAAGCATAGCTAGAGTGATTTGGGGAGGAAATGTTTGATTAAATTGAATGAAATTGAATGAAATTTCTTAGTGTGTAGGGGATGTATTGGATTCGTTTTTGCACATAGATATCATCTTTTTGAATGAAACAGTTCCTGGGTTCGAACTTTCGAGCATCCATGAATAAATTCGTTTTCTCATACCCCAATTGATGCAAGCATTTGGACAAAATCAATTTATGTGTGGAAACTCGAACCTGTAGTTAGAAGTAGATGACAGAGAGATTGTATGAATAATCACATTTGCAAAGATCAAAATAATGAGTCAAGTGTTTATATTTAACTATTGGAATTGTATCGAATGGCCCATTGACCGGAAAGCGATCCCTACAAGCTTCTTATCCACGCTAGACCACCACGTAAACTGGCCCAGTATGCTGGAAAGAATCCCTTATCTTTTCATCGTAACACCTAATTCAATTGACCACCCATCCTTCGAGACATGTATTTTCGAACCCCTGCCCATCCGAATTGGCGAGGATGCCGAAGAAGAAAAGATCCAGTTGGTACCCATCAGACCCAACGATTAAAGTCAAGCCAAACACACTTGACACATTCCTATATGTTGTCCCGCCATGAAACTGAAGACCTGTGGTAGTTTATGTCATACCCAGACCCAAAATATCAGAGAAAGCTACAGATGTAGTAGTCCATGCCTCAAAGAGGAACCTAGACCAATGCGTCCTGCCTCTCACCTTGCTTTCTCTCCCCAGAATCTGTGATATACAACAAAGAAGAATCGATTGATGTACCAGATGTAGTGGAGGCTGGTTCGAAATGTAGAGGGTGAGGTAAAGTGAATTTAGACTAGAGCAGGGAAAATCAGAAACAAAGCAGAACCTTGTCTAATCAAGGACCCCAATAGGGAGCAGCAGCAATATAAAGTACATTGATACGTGCTTCTGTTTATCTAATCAGAATTGGAACCTCTCCAACCAAGGTTCCTGAAGCTGGCAATTCCATACGTTGTTGACCCGTACAAGGAATAGTTGCTTCTATTGAATGCTGTTCAGATTTTATCAGAGGTGGTAGTTTATGGCATTACCAGACAAAGATTTCAGAAGAATTTAACGACAAAAGTGAGTAGTAATCCAGACCACAAAGGGGAATCTGAATCAATGCGTCTCGCCTCTTAAAGCTGATTAATCCCGCCCTTTCGATCAAAATATTGCCAGTCCATAGACTGGTGGTATGGAGTGATTTAAAGTGCTGCAGTAAGGTTTTCGAAATTAGACTAGAGCGAGGAAAGGAATTTCCCGAACGGAACCCTTCCTAATCAAAGGTTCCTAAGAGCTGGTGTTGACATAAATCAAATGGCAGTACGTCGTAATGTGCTCCTATTGAAAGTATGATTGTGAAAGCTGGCATTGCCGTACATCCTTGGGTAGTACGTCGTAATGTACTCTCGTTTGAAACGTGATCCCGAGAGCAAGGCATTGATGTACATCGTTTGGCAGTACATTTCAATGTTGCTCGTATTGACATCAGAAGCTACCTAGATAGGTAGTGATTTCTATGAATTTAGAAAGGTTCATCGAAATCAATTCGTCCCGCAGTCGGCCTGCAGGGAATTATGGCCTTTTAACGTCTTGCCAAGGACTTTCAAGAGACGTCGAAGACGACTGCGCTCGACGAGGCTTGAAATACTGGACATTTTGATCATCCAATACCCAGACCGTGAGTCAAGAAGTGCGGAATCAAATAGACTTTGAAGATATTCTTCCAAATTCCGGTTCAGCGTAAAGCCTATACGGAGAGATGCCTTGTTGATTGATTGGTAGTTTATGTCGTACCGGACATTCGAAAAATAGTAATGATCCGTCAGTGAAGTCGAATCTATTTTTGAGATATTTAGATGGCTGTATTGAAGTAGTGATTTGGATCAGGGAACTTGAGAAGTTATCCAAATAGACGTGGAGACCGAGTTTAACGTCATGCTTAGACCAGCAAACGCCGAAGTGAAGTACTCTTGGTAGACGAAGTCATGACTAGAGTAAGGGAGAACAGAAGCTGCTTTTTCTGGTCGAAGAAAGTCCGAATTGAGTTGCCAGATAAATTAGTAGCATGGATATGGTAATTGGAAGAGTATCCGTGCTGACGCGTCTCATTTTTCTGGAGGAAAATGGGGCATATGGCTGGACGCGAGTTACCACTCTTGTCGAACGCGGACTATTGGACTATTGTCTATCCAATATCCAGACCGCAAAAAAAAGTCAGACTTCGAGAAAAGATGTCGAGATTCTAGTTTAAAGTCATACTCGGACTGTGCGAAAGAAGCTACCGGAGTAGTGACTTGGGTATAGATTGTTGTCGAGATATCCAAATCAATGCGTCTCGTATTCTGCGTACAGACGAGGAATAAGCCTTTTAAAGTCGTGCTCAGGACAGTTTTGAATTGATAGCAGAGCTTCGAGCTCCGCCAGGAAAAGCCTATCTCAGTCGAAGCTGTGCCAAGACTGATGAAGAAAGCTACCGAAGTAGTAATTAGAATACGGAGAGTTGTTGATTCCCTGTCGAAATATCCTAACCAATGCGTCTACACCTTAAGGGCGAGGAAGTAAACCTTTTAACGTCATGCTCAGGACGATCTTTCTGAAAAGAGGTTGACTCTTTGTCGAAAATGCATGAAGCTCAAAATCTTACCAGACCCTGAGAGGAAAAGCTACCGAAGTAGTAATTAGAATATGGAGAGTTGTTAATTCTTATCCTAATCAATGCGTCTACACCCTTTGGATATGGGTGAGGAAGTAAGCCTTTTAACGTCATGCTCAGGACAATCTTTCTGAAAAGAGCTCGGCTCTTTGAAAATGGGCGAAAAAAGCTCGAAATCTTACCAGACTCCGAGAGGAAAAGCTACCGAAGTAGTGGTTTGGACTTTTTCTTTTGAATGATCCAAATCAATGCATCTTGATCCTATTCTAACATTAGCACGTTGGTATCGGAAACTCGAGTGATTGAACTTACACTGCTAGTGACTCTTAAAGGTAATCGTGAGTAGTCAAAAGAGCAAATCAAGGTATTCAAGCCTTTTATACCATCGTGCTTAGGGGGTTATAAGAGAGAAGCTGGCATTAAGTCTGGAAGACATAAGGTGCTTCTATTTTGAGACGCCCTTCATAACGTGGGCTCTGAATAAGATAAGTGAGAAGTTGGTGTCAAAGCTGTCGAGGGAGTGTGCTTGTGATGAATTTCTTTTGTGATGTTTTCGGATGTACAACAAATGTTCGAAAAGCGTGAAGATGTTTCAGTACCGCTTGTTAGGATACAAGACAGAGGCTATCGTGCTGAACTGAATGAGCCATAAGCTGGAAAGAAGTATCTGCATAGAAAATTTGACTGGACTTGGGTCACAACACCAAGTAAGCCCACACTCCAGAGGAAGTATAAGTTTGGAAAAGAAGATGAAGCGACTCTATTCGCGAGCATTCTCGGTAGATCGAATAGATCAACAACAGCAAATAGGTTGCCAATAAAGATTTTCGGATTTTTGTCTTGCGGGTACTGTATTGTGTAATCACAGTGTGCCAGACTTGTCGTTGGGAGATTAACGTCCTACCAGACGGATATTTGGAGCTTGGTAAGTATTGATGGGAGACATCCTGAATCGTAACTTTCCAAAGATCTTAAGATATTCGAAAAAACGAGGGAATTTGGTACGCAGTATTTGCTGTGTCCATGACCACAGAGCTGAGTGTTGTCGGTATGTGTCAATGTGTTGCTTATATCCTTCCAGGCACGCAGTCTGGAAGTGAAAATGTTTTTTTTTGCGGCGCTAACGCACCACAGAGTGATGGAAATATCGAGAGGAAACTCAATCAAGAAATTCCCCAGAAATGGTTGACGGAGCGTATCTGAGTATACAGCGCTCGGGCGAACCTCAATCAAGAGGTCCTCGTAACTGGTTGAACAGGGTATGCCTAGGTATACAGCCGTCGGGCGAGAAACTCGTGAAAAGAAACCCTATTGTCGAGGTGAGACTTGGTAAGCTTCACGTATTTGAGCGGACTAAAGGTCCCAGTCGTGGTGTGCAGGAGATAGCACAGAATGTTGCTCGGGATTGCCTTGCTTTTAGCACTGAGCTTTATCGGTGGTAGTTTTATGTCATTCCGGACGAAGACCGAGACTATCGAACGATGTGGTAGAATTCTTGAAACCGTGCAGTCGAGATTGTTGAGTGTCCTGGTTTGTGGTTTGACCAAGCTCATAGTATGGACGAAGAATTTAGAGATTTGCGGGTCATCTAAACATTGTCAGGTTAATTGTTTAAACTTTTCTATAAACAGAATGGAAATGAAAACTTACGTCGATGTGAAACATTGCTCTTCAAGTTGATGTTTGAAGGTGACATTGGAAATCCCGAAGGCATGCAAATCAATGTCAAGCAAGCAGAAAACACAAGAACCCGACAAAGACCACACCTGCCACATCAGTGGATGAAACAGCAGGTAGCTGGAGACGACGACAATCCATTGTGCGAAGCCATGTCGGTGATTGAGGAGTATAATACCAGCTTGTGTGGATGCCGTGCTCAAATGAGTGAGGTAGCTATCGAGTCTCGTTGGCTTGGCGGCAGCATCATGTCGTTGGATAGAAGATGCGGATACAATCTCTGTGTAACTTCACGGTCCTGAATAGAAAGGCCCGACATGTCCACTGTTAAGAAGTAAGTATAGAACAATAGTTGAAAAGTAAGATCGAACGTTTTTGTCAACCAAAATAGCTGATGGAAGACCAAGTGGGGTAGGACACATGTAGTTGATCAAAGGTAAAAAAGGATGGAGATAGAGGCCAAACATACCACATCATATTGTAGATCACACGAAGTGATTGCATCTTTGCTGATGTACCGCGAGCATTGCCCAGGTGATGAAAGTTAACTCGCAAGTTGAAGTTGTAAGATCGAGAAAGCAAAGTAGAAGAGGATGTTCGAGTATTAAAGAAACAAATCTTGAGGCGCAGTAGATGGCAATTTCCCCGCAGCTGTATAAGTGAATTTCGATTGTGCCCTTAGCCTCGGTGATAATCTTGTTTTCAGGTAACAGGGCGTTTCAGGAAATGAAAAGTACGGTATGCTACCTAGTATTCACTTCAAGTATGATCTCCCAAATTATTTACTGATTTCTACGTGAAATAGATCTGGTGACACTCAGATATCCGAAGACATTCTTGGTCTTGGAGGTTCGTCAAGTTTTCGTTGTTGCTGTTTTGCTACAGTTTGAATAGAGAAGGTAAACAAGAAATGCGACTTCTGTTGAGGGTCTCCTGGTGAAGGCAGAGGTGGAGAGAAGTGCTCGAGTAAGAGTGGTGGTATTGTGAGCATCTTAAAGTCAATGAATAATCAATAGGAAGGAATTATTCAAAGTTGTAATGGAAGGTGAATGAATAATAAAGACAAGCAGAAAAATCTGTAAGGGCAGTGCAAGATTGAACTTTGAGGGGTAGATATTCTGGATCATTCTACCTATTCACTTTAGCTCGTGACCTGATACTTTGTAGAAAAGTTTTGTTGCATATCTGAAAATTTGGACCCATTCTCGAATTTGACGTAAGCAAGTCGAATGAGCCAATAGATTTGTGAGCGCAAAGGAGGAATCTCTCATTCTTGAAATTTCTCGCGAGAATGGCCAGCGACGAGAGCGGTGTAAACTTTCTGCAAATGTCCCCTTCCAAAAGAATGGAGACAATTGTTCTCCCTTCCACCCAGCACTAACCAATGCCACAAGAAATAAAATAAAAATACCCCCAAGCCGCGGACTTTATGGTCAATTAATCCTCCCATTTTTACACCTCCGAAATCTGATGACAATATCCCCAACTCATCCACCACTGTTCAACCAGCACACCCCAACTCGTCTATATATATCCTCATCTCGCCAATCTATACATCAAGAAACAACAAAGTTGGGTGGTCGAGTGGTATCTTAAGTTGGTCCGCGACAATAGATCCGCTCAATGGCCGCAAAGTACCAGCCATCGTAGCTGGGGTCCCCACAAGGAGTTTCTTGATAACATTTTTTTTTCTCTCTTCTTCATATCTTAAGGAAGCCATAATAAGTAAGGGATGCATGCGGTGAAGAATCTTTTTGGTTGGGCTGGTTGGTACACGAATGATGAGAAGAGAATGAGATGAGAACGAAGGTGAGAGCGCATGTTGCAAATCTATTCGAGAACTCACCCTGCCCACCTAACATACCAACGGCAAGAACCAAATACATTCTATACTTGGTTTCCGCCCTCAGCTACAGGATACTCTGCTCGACACAAAGATTATGCAATAATAGTGACTCGGCCATTAAGATATTGCGACGGATACTCCCCAATATCTTTTAGAAGGGAACTTAAGCGCTCTATTTGAAAGAACTTACCCACCCAGTGTCTTATTACAAGATTGCCTATGGAATGAATATAACCTTTGTAGTTCAGAATGAGGAATCCTGATGGGACTGTGAATGTTGTGGTAAATCTGAAGATGTGGTGATGGAAATTATATCAATTGTCAAAGCTTATAACTCCTTCACTTTCCATTTATGCTGTGTCTATGACAATACCATCTAAAGCACAGGCAGAAGTTCGCGGAAAAAGTAGTTTCTAGGCATTTGACTGAAGCCAGATTGATACATGCAGAATTCATATGATGCACACACCAGTCATGGTGTTCTTAATGTCCAGATCAGCACTATATCATCTTGAACCGATGGCGATGTTCTAGCCACAGGTTCATCAGCTGCAATCTTATTATACAAATTCTCTAAACTAATGGCATCAACGAGTTTCATATGGATAGTTTTCCTGGGTGTAAAGCCATCAAATGTAGATAACTTGCGTTGAAGAAAGTGAAACTAGCCTCGCCCGAAAGATTCTCGATACGACTGAGGTAAGAAAGTGAGGTCTACTAAGCCCAAGAACATTCGAGTACCCCCACAAATGATAGATATGTAGAACAAGAGAGAATCACAAGAGTCAACATTCACGAGCACTCGCCTATTTTCCACCTCCAAGACTCCTCACTCGTCCCAAACACGTAATTAAGAACATCGTGCATCATGCTACAAACTCGGGACTGACGAGCTCAAAATGAGAGAAGAACAGCATCTGGATTGTGTATCCAGGGAAGACATAGGATATGCGAGAGATCTTCATAAATTTGCGGATTTACGTGTGAATCTTCATGTACCGACTGCTGCACACAAATTACAATATGACTTCCAGCCCCTCACCACGTCTTAGATTCTCATTTCCCTCATTGCAATAGTAGAACCATACAAATTGAGGATCAGTGATCAAAATCAACACAGAATTGCAGAATCCCCAAAGCTTGGACAAGAGACTGAAGTACGAGAAGTCGTCGAAGATCTTTGATGTCGTTAACATTGACATCAAATCCCTTTTGCCAATCCCTGCAAAGTGCAAGTCAGGTGTCTCGGGCCCACATTAGTCCACCTTATAAGACATCACGAATCACTCTCTGTCCAGCATGCCTCAAACTCATAAGATATGTAAATATGGATTCATCTGACTCGAAAAAAGAAAAAGAGATTGATAATGATGGGAAGGTAAGGAGTTCTTTTGATTTTCTTTGGTGCATTTTTATTTGGCCAGCTGTCTTCTATTTTTCTGTCGACATTTGAGTTTATTGCTATCACGAAGTATTCGTATTTCCTCACTCATTTGTTGATTACTTGATGATCTGAACACCATGGTATGCATGAGTATGAAATTCAAGAATCTTAGCTTACAAGATTCACAGTCCATCGTATCTTCACGCGTGTCGGGAGCCTCTCCGCCTACATCCCCTCGCTCACCAACCCACCTAGCCGGTCACCAACCCAGCAAATGGTACCACCTCCAACTCCGTACCATCACACTCTTCGCTCTTCCTTTGCTATCCCTCATCGGCTTCTTCGGAACCTTGGTCATTGGGGGCAGTAATGGGACATTCGAACACATCACCAATCTTGTTAGACAAAAATCACCTTCCGCCGTTTTCCCAAATGCGAAATATTTGTTGTTGAAAGATTATACGGGGATCAGAGCTCTCGATAGACAATTGACTGTTCTCGTGACGTTCTTTGCTCCGGTTGTTGATAGTAGAAATGCTGCATTATGGTTGAATAGTTTTTATGGACTGGGACAATTCGGAGCAGCATGGACATTGTTGGTGATGGAAAGTCTGAGAAGTGGAAATAACGGCAGAGCTGTTAGTTTGTAAGTGATCCTCAACGTGAACACAGGGCTACCTATTCCTGGTTTCAACGATTTTATTTGATACCTTTATCGTGGCGAACAAGATGATTTAGATTTCAAGGAACATTACTGACCTTACACAGCATCGGAACAGTTGGATTAATCTTTCAAAACATTACCTATGCAGTCACAGTACCACTTTACCTTTTCATCCACCTCTTAACATCACCCGTCGCAAAAGCATTTCCAGGGACGCATTCGAATAGCGTTCTACTCATCTCGCCGCTAGATCTAAAGATTTTACCACTTTCAATCACCCTCGCATACATTGTTCCATCTATTCTTATGGGCCTTGACGCCCCATCTCAAGTTTCAGGACAAACCCATCAAAAATTCATCGCTTTGTGGCAACCCTTTCCCCTCTGGACAGTCATCATCCAATGGACACTGCGTTTATTCTTTCAACTCATTGGATCGAAGCTCTCTTTGAAAGATTCCAAACAGCCACCAGCACCACGAGGAGCATCATATCTCAGCAGCGCAAAGCATGTGTATCGCTTCACCCTTACTTTATGTGTATTGACGCACCTTCCCATTCTCCTCATTGCTCTCGTCCCCGCCTCAGTCATTACAGATATTCTACCTAAGCTTGCTCCTTATGCTAGTCTAAACTTTTTCGATATCTACGTTCCCTACTTCCCCTTTCCACTCTCTCATCGGGTGTCGGATCTAGCAAATGGTGCTCACACATTTCTTCAATGGGATTTGGCAGTTGGCTCAACAGCCCTCTTGTTATGGGCTATTTTATTATATCGCAATGCTACGACTGAAAAATCCGTTGTAGATCCTGACACGAGTCTCCCTTCATATCAGATCCGAGAGATGCTCGCAGGGGAGGGGAGTCCAGTCGGGGCTTTGAGGAGAAAATTATTGGTCAAAATTGGTTTCTGGACATTGATCGCTGGTCCAATTGGAGCAGCCACGGTGACCATATGGGAGAGAGATGAGATCGTACGACAGAAGATTAAGCAGGGTATTTGATTTGAGGTTGATAGTGTTGAGGTCTTGGCTATATAGTGGGTTGTCTCTTGGTAAAACTAGAGACGACGTGTATAACACGAAATGTGTGGGTAACTCATGTGGTAGAAATTGATCAATGTGCTGCTGCTGTTGTTGTAATTAAGAAATATTACCTCACTTTCTTGAACCCCTATTTACTCGAAAGACTCTCTCTGATTTTGAATAAATATATTTTCCTCACAACCAAATTTTAGCATTTCACTTTGAGTAACAAATGAAAACCCAGCACAATGTAAATCCCCCACACACCCATCCCATCCCATCACACAACCTTAGGAGCGAAATGTCCGTGTCACACCCAACCCAAAAATCACTTTAAATCTCGTACTCATTGTCACTCCTCACTGCCACCACCCCAAAGCCTACTTGACACCATTCATGCACGTAACATTTCACCACTTCATACTCTATACCATCCTGCAAGTGAGGACCTGGAATGGATCTCGGATCTAGGGGGGTTCTCTCTCCTCTCTATGGCGATGGCGCGAATGCCCAGCTTTCTGTTGCTGATCTGATAATCCTTCGTCGTACGCAATATGTGTTGTATATGCATGGAGATGGATGAGTCCCGATTCCAGTTTTCTGTCATTCGACTTGGCGTGAAGAGGCGCAGCAAGCGGAGGAATAATATTCATTAAGATACCTACGATACATGTCAATATAAACGTATGTATATTTTCTGGTGTCCGATGCTGTAAGGGACCGATAATATACGGGATACTAGATATAGTGGTTGAGTGTGGTAGGTGGGATTTGTGATGCGATAGAGACGTTTCACGGAAAGGGACAGGTAGTTGGTACTGCAGGACGGGATGGATAGGTGGGAAGAAGGAATTATGTTTGATTTTGATGGGAAATGAAATGTGGTAGGTAGGTTGGGAAAGAAAGTTTATACTAATGATGTTTGTGATATACTGTTTGACAATGGATGGATGGATGGCAGCAGCAAGAGTAGTAGGTATGTTTTTGCTTACTTTACTTTTACTCCCTGGATGAACGGATGGTTGTGTGGATAAATATAAGATCTTACAAACGGAACGAGACACCGATTACGATGACCTAATCAATGAGTACAAATTATGAGGACCTACCCGTTCTACCTTGGTACACAATACTTGAATCATTTGGAACCTTTTTAACCACCGATCCTTTCTTTCGTCATCTCTATTCGTATACACAGGATTATCTTCACCATCGTGGCAAAGACACGATATCTCTTACATACGCAATTTGATGGTTTGAGGGTCTCTTTGGGAGATTCTGTTGAACAGTTGAAGCGATACCCGTTCGCCAGATTACTTTTAGGTGCGTGCCAATAGCTACTAGATCTTAAATTGACCATGTCGACATTGCAAATCAGAAGTCTATCGTAGAATAGAATCAAGCTCCAACCTTAATCTGATCTGTGCGATGTGAAGAACTTCAAGTCGGGATCCCAAGCTTCTCATAGTTCCAAGGCTTGATGATTAAGACCCGATTGAGCCATTTTCTCGCTTTTGAGCAGTGAGCTGGACCAATCAGATAGAGAGAACATCAATTAAATCCCAAGTTCGAGAAGGCTCGCTCCGTCGCAGGATTTAGATCGACAAATTTGACATGGTTTTTGACAAGAAGCTATACCCTTTTGGTCAAGTCCTTCCCCATTTAACCGGGATTGTAGATCTTGTACGTATCATTGCTGAGTGGTTTGGACAGACAGTCACAGACTCCATCCAGAATTAAACTTTTGGCTGTAGCTGTAGCTGTAGCCGTTGCCTGCATGATATTCCATAAAAGAGTCTGGATCGTCTCTAGTACAGTACAGTACCTACCTCGCCTCTCTCGCCCGCTCAGTGCCGCCCGCACCTGCCAAAAACTATTGACCTATTTTAGTCTGCGACCCTCGCTACTCTCCCTCTCTCTCTCTCTCTCTCTCTCTCTCTCTCCCTCTTCCATATCTCACATGGAGGAATGTTCATTTCTTGATCTTTGCTACTCTATATCTCACTCTTCTTTTACCAAAACAACATTCATCTGTTTGACATTACTTTTTTGATCATCACTACACGTCAGACTTGCATGTTTGGCTAATCATTCATCCCAAGTACGAGTCTTCAGCCTTATCGCTTCTTATCGCATGCATTCATATTGAAAGACGGACGACTTCGGGAAAGCCGAGGAATCATTCTATAACTGGTCCCTCTCTCTAAATACCTTCTCGCTCTATCATCTCGTGGCTCAGTTTTTCAATACTTCGGCTTGTCTCAAAACTGCGCACATCACAATATCCAACATTCACATCAGACATTTACTTTTAAATCCCTGTATCCCTTCCTCTTGCTTTGGCTCACGCATTTTCTATATTTTTCTAATTCGAAATTCCACCTTGGGAGCTTTCCATTGCAATGTCAATAACAGCGGCAAGTTACGAGCGAATATCCAACAAATACGAACCACCTTCGAAAGGGATAGTTGATATCTATTCCCAAAAGGGCTTTGTATTGGACAACAACGGTGATTCACGGTGTGTAAAATCGATTGTTGAATTACCCGTTCAATTGCCACCTTCACCAGCCGATAGTGACATGATGGATCTTAGTCCGCCATCCTCATCGACCTCTCCCATTATTCTTGAAGAGCAACGAATCACCAGAGATATTTCACGCGGTACTCCTGGCGATATGCAGAAATCGAGTGTGTCAAAATCACCAGAGCAAAAGCAGTTGGCGATGAAGAGAAGTCAGTATTATGGTGATGCGTTTGCATATCGAGAATCGGCGGGTAGTGCGAGAGAAAGAGTGAGCAGGGATAGCATGGTTCTTTGTGAGCTGGTAACAAATGTTATTGTAAGGTTTTTCCTCTTTTTCCTTGGTCTAACTTATATCTTCGCCTATTCAAAATCAGCTGCTAAGACTTGTACAATAGATGCGTGAAGAACACACCCTTCTTACAAGTCTCTCTAACCTTCTTTCAACTCGCTATCAGCGTCCCGAATCCTCCATTTTCGTCACTCTCAAACACTCGGCATGCTTTATCGTAGCTGGAACTTTCGAACCTGCATATATTATGACTATCACCGGGCTTCCATCACAAATGCAACCAACTACGAACAAGAGAAATGCATCATTACTCCAAAATTATATGGCCACTAGTGAATTATATGTTGAGCCAGAGCGTGGTATTATTAAATTTGTGCCATTGGCCGAGGAGAATTTCGCAACAAACGGGAAAACTGTTGCTGGTGAGATAGAAGAATTGGAACGAGAAGTTGCAAATGAGGCCTCGGGATTCCGCAACTTGCATTCGTCGGGAAGCGTCAAGAGTAAGAAGAGACAGACTGCAAAGTCCTCTAAGAGTCAGAAGTCCAGGCAGTTACAAACCCATGAAGAATATACTCCATCCGTCAGTTCGAGGGCAACACCACCATTACCGCCTATGCCAAATAATGACAATACATTGGATACCAAGTCGTTGAATGTGCGGAAGTTGGGGAGAAGAAAAAGTTTTATGGCTGCAGTTTTTGGAAGCAAGTCCAAGTCTTGAGGATAGCGAGATGGTATAGGTGAGAAGGTGATTCAGGTGAAACATCTTTAAGGTGGTCTAGCGACCCACAAAATTATAAAAGTGCTTGAATTATGGTTATCTGTGTAGCGACGGAGTTTCAGGGAATATGATACCTGCAATACATGGGTGGATGGAAAAGATCGATGCGATCCATGGGATAAGAGAATACTTTGTGAGAGGGTCATTGCTTCACTGGTTGGATACGGCGTCATATTATAAGAATGGCAAGGTGGTCTCTATGGATATCTTACAAGGGGCTTCTCTCATGTCGACTATGGGAATAAATTACAAGAGGGGTTTATGGGGTGAAGGTATGGATGGAATGGATGGAATGGAATAAATAATGTTAATATTAGGATTTATAAATTAAACTTCTCTTGGGTTTTGCTATTAGGCTTGATCAGGAGGTAGAATATTAATATAATTCAGGGGGTTACTTGAATGATTATTATGGCAGAATGAATTGTTGTAATTATTGTAGTGGATGGATATTTGTTGTGTGAGATGTGAATGTGAGATATGAATATGAGGGGTAGAAGAAGAATTTGCGGATTGATTTGGTTTTTGTGGTTGATTTTTGTAATTTTTATGTGTTTGTGTGTGTGTGTATGTGTGTGTATTATGTATGGCTTGGATTGAGATATTGGGATTAAGGGTTAAGATTGAGGGTTAAGATTGAGGGTTAAGATTGAGGGTTAAGATTGAGGGTTAAGATTGAGGGTTAAGGGTTGAGGGTTATAGGGTTTATGATTGAGGTTGAGATTTGAGATTTGAGGTTTGAGATTTGGGAATTGAGGTTTGGGGAGTTTAGGGAATTGAGTAACTGAGTGAGTGACTGAATGAGTGACTGACTGGTTGGCTGGCTGGTTGATTAGCTAGTGGAGGAGGGTGGAGGGAGGATGGAGAGAGAGGAGAGAGAGGGTGGAGAGAGAGAGAGGTTGTTTGGGTAGGTGGGTAGGTATGTAGGTGGGTAGGTAGGTAGGTAGGTAGGTAGGTAGGTAGGTAGGTAGGTAGGTAGAGTAGATATGTAGATATGTAGGGGAAGGGGGGAGGAGGAAGGGGAGAGATGGAGAGGAAGGGAATAGAATGAGATGAAAAGAGAGGAGAGGGATGGGAGGGGTGGAGGGGATGGAATGGGATGAAAGGAGAGGAGAGGAATGGGAGGGGGATGGGATAGGAAAAGATAGAAATGGATATTCCTAGTAGATAGAAATGAGGATGGGAATATGATAGAATAAATAAAGATAATGGATTTGATAGAGTTATGAATATGAATTTGAGAGTATGATTGGTATGTACTAGGTATTTAGGTAGGTAGGTAGGTAGGTAGGTAGGTAGGTAGATTGGTGGTTTGTGGATTGGATGGGATGGGATGGGATGGTATAGGATGGTATGATATAGGATGGATTTGATAGAGATGATGTATTATATGTGAACTTGAGAATATACCTATATATAGTATGATATGGTTATATATATATGTATATGCATATATGTATATATGTATAGGTATGTATATAGGTATATATTATAAAAGAATAGAAGGTAATAGGATTATAGAATAGTCCTTTATATATACTATAGAGAAGTTACTATAATATAGTGCCTCTAGTAGAGAAAAGGAGAGGAAGGCTCTATAGTACTTTATAAGATATATTAGAACTCAGGTAGTAACTAACTATCGTTTCTAAACTATTATATATAAAGAAGATCTATTAAATACTACCTAGCTACAGAAAGGATCACGTGACCATCACTAAGTTTCGCTCATAATATATATCTATATGGGAAGTAGTGGAGCGGATTGGAGTGAATTAGAGTAGAGTGGAGTGAGTGAATTGGGATTCTTGAGTACGTAGGTATCTAACTACCTAGTAGGTGGGTATGGTAAAAGCCTACCTACTCTGTAGATTGGGTTGATAGGAAATTGTTATGAATGATTAACTACTAATAGGTATCTAATAGGTCTCTGTTTAGTAATGTTATTCTTGTGTTTTGGTGAAGTGTGAAGTGTGAAGTGTAGAGTGTGAAGTATGAAGTATGAAGTATAAAGTGTGAAGTGTAGAGTGTGAAGTATGAAGTATGAAGTATAAAGTGTGAAGTATCTAGATGGGTAGTGGGTAGTTGGTGGATAGGACGAGAGTGGATTGAGAGTGAGGAATGAATTGGAGTAAAGAGTGAAGAGTATATTGATTACGTAATGTAAGAGCTGGAGTGGATGAGTGATGCTGCTGGCGGCCCCGGGGGTGGTGCAGGTGGCTTTAGTTGTGGCTGTGGCTTTGATTGTGGCTTTTGGGTTGTGGGTGGGAGAGCAATGGATGCAGCTGGAGGTGTCTTATTAGATAGGGACTCGACTCAAAATCGTAGATGAATAAATGAACCTGGAATCCTGATTTGATGGGATATAGTGGGATGAGCATGAGAATGATTGTGAGGGTGAGGGTTGGGAGGCTCGGATTAGTGGAAGGGTGAGTTGGAGTGAGAGAAGATTTCTTTTAAGATGTTATTTATCTAGGTAATATATATATATATATATATACTAGGTATGTATTTATCTAATGGCTACCTATCTGGTAGATATTCTAATAATGATAGCTAGTAGTGACGACTAGATGGATTGAATTAAATAATTATAAAGATGGAAATTGGAGGTCTTTATTAGTAAGTAGTGTTTTGAATATTATTGATGAGGTGGATGGAGATGTAGATAGATGAAGTTACAAATGAAGATATAAATAAAAATGTAGATAAAGATAAAGATATAGGTAGATATAGATGTAGATATAGAATTGTTATTTAGTATAAAGTTTTAATTTTACAATTTCTATTCAAATACTCAATTCAATTCAATTCAATACACATTCAATTTCTTCTCGGTTGATTACTTATTATCTATCTACATACCACCTACTCACTACTGGATGCATAGACCAACCAACCAGAAACCAGAACAAAACATCTCCATTTCCATCTTCCCAATCATCATCAAAAATTCTTCCACGACGTCTTTATCAACCCACGACAATACGCACTTCCATTTAAATCCAACCCAGTCCCATCCATCAATGCCATTGTATCCCTGAGCAGTTGCAGTAATCTTGGACCATCAAAAATAAGGAAGAGAGGAAGAATCTGAAACAAAAGAAATATTTAGTGAGTGATTTGTTCAGCCCCCCCTGGGAAACCACCAGCCACCACCTGGCATACCTCCAGCTCCAGCTACGGTACCTTTGGTGAGATATTGACATGGCTTGATTGATATGACAGCACATCTTTGGTTTGAATCATTCAATACGGCTTTGCAAGATAATAGACGATCTAGAAAGGTGTAATGATGTCAAGATGTCAAGATATCAAGATGTCAAGATGTCAAGATGTCAAGATGTGGCTTACTGATTGGAGATTTGGTAGTTTTTTTCAATCCTCAGATATCAGCCTCAGCAAGTATCTCAATCCATTCATTCATTCAATTCAGCAAGGGATCTTGGAAACTTTGATTCCTCTCCACCCACACAATACATTCATCCATACAATACATACATACATACATCCATACATACATACATCCATACATACATACATCCATACATACATACACACCACCCATCCACTCATCCAACATTCCAGCAAAAGACAAAAACACACACACACACACACACACACACATACACACATACATAAATACACCACCAGGAATACCAATAGATTCAATCTATCATGGAGGTATGAAGAATTTTACTTATTATTATTTTATATCATTTTATCCTGTTGACTCCTATTTTTATCGTATTTCTTTCTACCCACCTTCTATATTTTACATTCTCCCTCGTTCCTTTTTCCCTCTTCCCTCTTCCTCAAAATTGAAGTTGGGTTGTTGGCATTCTTTGCGCTTCCCGGGGGTGTGGTTCTTATCATGAGTGGCACCAATATTTGATCTTCTCTCACTCAGGCCACGATTTTTTGTCTCTGCTTTTCAACCTTGGATTGAAAATGTGACGAGTGTTGGCTCCACTAGGTACCCCTTTGCATTTTCTCTTTTCTTCTGTAATGCCTATTGTTTCCTTCTTTCTCTTCTTTTCGCCAATCTGGTGGTGTGGTAGTACACATCATTTATGTATATAAGGAAAGCTGAAGTTTCAATGATATCAAAAGAGTTGAGATTCATTATTGTTGGCTTTTCTTATTCTATCATCCTTTACATACCTACCTACATTGGAGTGAAGGATACATACTCCAAGATTCATATTCTTTTGACCAGTGTCACGCAAAGGATTTCAAAAGAATCATTCTCGTACCAGAATTCTGTGCATACCCGTTTCTAGATTCCTCTAAACAATCTCAAATTTGGAAGACCGAGTACAACTTGCTACTTATCCGAGACTTTCGTATGAGTGCCGGTCTTTGATGTTGGACAAACAAACGGTGGAAGTCGACTTGGAGTTTTTTATTTGTACCTTGGCAAGGCTGGTGGGATTTATCAGGAGTTAGAGTTTGAATGATTGTTGTGTTCTAATGTTCCTTGGGTTTTGATCTTTTTTCGGCAAACAACATCTCACCACATACAAGAAGCAAATATTGGGATTTCATTCAGCTGATATCACATTATCTTTTTACGACTTTATGTTATCGCATCTTTTCTATCGCCTAATCACTTATTTCTGTATTACTCATTCGCAAAGTTGCACTGGTTACTTGTACGATATTTGTTTTATTGTTTCTTTTTAATATTAGTCAAATGTCTACTTCTACTTCTGTTTTACAAATAGGGCGTAGACGTACCAAGGAGAATCAATCCTATAACGGTCCTCCTAGAATGGGTCCCGTTCGATATATTAGTCCAGCATCACTAAATCTTGAATTTCTTCATGAACAGAATCGTGCCGCTCTCCAAAAGAAGGATGCTACCAAGGTAGTTGATCCAGCACCTGGTGTTGCTGCAAAAGGCAAACCTAGATTATTATTGATGGGTCAAAGAAGGTAAGCTGTAATATGAGATATTAGAGTTGAAGAAATTGTTTACTAACCTTCTTCAGATCTGGAAAGTCCTCGATATCTAGCGTGGTATTTCATAAGATGCCTCCAAATGAAACTCTCTTTCTCGAATCTACCGCAAGAATTCAAAAAGATTCTATGCAGTAAGTTATCATCGATTCTGTTACGAGTACCTACTAACATGCTCAAGTTCCTTTATGGATTTCCAGGTTTGGGATTTTCCAGGTCAAATCGATTTTCAAGATGCTCAATTCGATGTTGATGCGATATTTGGTGAAATTGGTGCTTTAATTTGGGTTATCGATGCTCAAGATGATTACTTGGAAGCCATTGCTCGTCTCAACAGCACCATTTACAACCTTCATCAATCTTTCCCCAATATCAACATTGAAGTATTCATTCATAAAGTTGATGGTCTATCAGATGATTATATGCTCGATATTCAACGCGATATCATGCAACGAATTCAAGATGAACTCTCGGATCAAGGAATGGAAAATGCACCTGTCAATTTTCACCTCACATCTATCTACAATCATTCTATCTTTGAAGCTTTTAGTAAAGTCATTCAAAAATTGATTCCTCATCTTGCTACACTCGAAGCTCTTCTCAATGATCTTTGTCGCAATTGTCGATTCGAAAAAGCATACCTCTTTGATGTTCTCTCCAAGATTTACATTGCAACCGATTCTTCCCCAGTCGATATGCCTTCTTATGAAATCTGTAGCGATTATATCGATGTCATCGTCGACGTCTCTGAAATATATGGATATCAGCGATCACCGGAATACATTACGAAATTAGAAGGACCACCATGGAATAAGAAATTGGAAGAGCAAATCGCGTGTAAGGATGCGGAAAGTGTCATTGTACTTACGGCGGACAAGAGACCCATTATGTTGAGGGAGGTTAATAAGTATTTGGCGTTGGTGGCGATTATGAAGGAGGGGAGTTATGAGAAGATGCCGTTGGTTACGATGAATGTGGAGACGGTGGTGGATGGGTTGACGAAGGTTTTTGAGATTACGAGGCAGAAGAAGTGAGGGTGAGTGGGTGGGTGGAGTTGGATGGAAGGAGAGTGGGGTTTGCGGGGAAGGGGAGGGGGAGTAAAATCCTATGGGATGTTGGGTTAAGAGTGTGTGAGAGAGATTATAGCACTTGATATTTTTTGCTCAAAGAGTAATATTTCGACATCTTGTCTTGTCGTGGAGGGAGAAGGTGGAGGTGAGGATAGGATAGGGGAGAGATGGAGAGGATAGGGGATAGGGGGGATTTTGTAAGGATAGTGGAGAGATAATGAGGCATTAGCAAGTGAAGATACTAGATTTATTTATTTGTATGTGTATTTGTATTTGTATGTGTATTTGTATTTGTATATATATTTGTATGTGTATTTGTATGTATTTTGTATTTATATGTATCTTTGTATTTGTATTTGTATATATATTTAATATTTGTATGTATATGTATATGTATATCATATGTATATTATATGTAATTATATGTATATTATATGTATATGTATGTTATCTTATATGTATATTATATGTATATTATATGTATATATTATATATGTATATTATATGTATATTATATGTATATTATATGTATTATATGTATATTATATGTATATATGTTATTATATGTATATTATATGTTTATATATGCATATTTGTATGTGTATATATATATGTATTTATATGTCTATGTGTATGTGTATGTATATGTGTATATCTATATATGTATATCATATGTTTATTATATGTTAATCATATGTATATAAGAGATGATTTCCATGATTTTTTATCAAGACAGGATAGGATGGGAGGTGTGGATTATTATTGTATTAGGTATTATATGGATAAATGGATGGATGGATGGATGGATGGATGGATGGATGGATAGATGTAATGTTCTTCTTTCTGGATGGATGGATGGATGGATGGATGGATGGATAGATGGATCGATAGATCTAATGTTCTTCTTTTTGGGTGGTGGTGGTTGGTGTGATAGTAGGTTAGACTGGACTGGATAGGGTAGGGTAGGGTAGGGTTAGGGTAGGGTGCTTAAGGGTAATTTAGAGGGATTTGGAGGGATTTAGAGGGGGTGGTAGAAATGCAAGGGAGGATGAGGGAGAAAAGGGGAATGAGAAGAGGAAAGGAGGAGGAAATGAGAGAGGGAATGAGAGCGGGAAATGAGAGAGGGCAGGGGAAAGGGCAGGGGAAAAGGAAGGGGGGAAGTAGGAAAGGGAAATAGAGATAGAAAGGGAAAGGGAAAATAGAAATGGGGAAATGGAAGAATAGGGGATGAGGTGAAAATGGAATAAAGAGTGAAAGGGATGAGAGGGAAAAGGGAAGGGGGAAGGGAAAGGGAAAATGAGGGGAAAAGGAGCTGGATAGTTACTAGGTAGAGTGGGGTTAGCTTTCCCTGTTCTTTCTTTTTGTTTGGGGGAGCGGGGGGAGGGGGCGGGGGGGATTTTCGGAGGTGGATCAATAGAGGAATAAATAAATAAATAAATGATATGAATAAATATCTAAATATCTAAATATTGATTATCCTATCCTAAGCTGAGCGAAGTAAGTATGGTATCTAACATTTAAATAAGTTATGTGGGATATAGAATAAGAAGGTGGATATAAAATAGATAAGGGTGTAAGATTTTATAAAGAGAAGTGGGATATATTATATATATATATGTGGTATAAGAGATGGGAAATGAATGATTTGTTGTATATAGTGTTGTGTTGTGTTGTAGGAGAAAGAGGAGTTTGATAGAGAAGTGATGGGAGGGGAGGGGAAGGGAGGGAGGGGAGAGGAGAGGAGGGGGGTGGGAGGAGGGTGGGTGGATCTAAAGCTTTTGCTGGGGAGTAAAAAGAGAATAAAGAGAGTGGAGAGTAGAGAGTAGAGAGTAGAGAGTAGAGAGTAGAGAGTAGAGAGTAGAGAGTAGAGAGTAGAGAGTAGAGAGTAGAGAGTAGAGAGTAGAGAGTATAGTAGAAAATAAGAGTATAATATTAATATATCTATATAATTTATAATTTATAATAAAAAGTAACATGATAAAAAACAGAGATGAAGAAATAAATAACTTAAAAAATAGGTATAACAAAACGGAATATAGAATTAGTATTTTATTATATTTTCTTATGTATCTAGTTATTTAGTAGGTGAATATCTAATTTAAATATAGTTTTTATATATAGTAAGTATGGAAATGAATGAATGAATGAATAAATAAATGAATGAATGGATGGATGGGTGGATGGGTGGGTGGAAGAGGTTTGGATTAGAGAATTGGAGAATTGAGTTGTAGGATTCTTTGTATGAGGATTGTGTGAAGATTATATGGAGATGGAGGATAGAGGGGGAGTGGATGAATGATGAGTTGATGGGGATGAGGATATGATATAAGTGAGTGAGTGAGTAAATGATAATTAAGTAAGTTTATAAGTCTATATATATAAAAAACTTATATAAATAGGTACATATACCCATCTACCTAGTATATATAAACATCTATATCACCTAAACCCCATTCCCCTACACAGGAATAAAATCACAAAATCACAAAATCATGATATTAAGTATTAAATATCAAGGGTTTGTTTTTATTGCCCGTTTTCACGTCGCGCAGCGCACGGCGCCCGGCGCCGGCGCCGGCGCCGCCGCGGCGCCGGCGCCGGCAGCCGCGCTCGCCTTCCTTTCCTTTTCGCTCTCCTCTGCCTCGTCTTCTCTTCTCCTTTGCGTTCCTGGCCGCTTGGCTGGGGGGAGGGCGGGGTTCCTTAATATTTGTATTTTATATTTTATATTTTATCTCTACCTAGGTAGGTATAAATAAAAACAAGTAAGCATAAAGACTTTGAAATTTGAAAACATACCTAGTTAGTGAGTGTTAATGTTAATATTAATTCGTTTGTGTGTTTATGTAGGTATAATATTGAATGCGATGTGATGGTGATTGAGTTAGTGTTATGTTATATTTATATGTTCATTTATATATTTGTTTGTTTACTTGTTTAATAAGGTTAATCTATTAGGATAGGATTAGAGGAGTGAGGAGTGAGAAGTGAGGAGTGAGGAGTGATCTAGATGATATTAAAATCTCCCTCTCTCCCTCCCCCCTCTCTCTCCAAACAAAGACCCATCGAGGATTAAAGAGATCCATTATTTGACATGATACATGAAATGATTAAATCAAAATACAAATTCTGAATACATTTCTGAATACATTTCTCAACATTTATAGATACCTACCTACCTATACTAATCATAAATCCTAGCTTCTTCTCATCTATCTATCTATTTATCTATCTATACATTATCGATCGCGACTAAGCCCTAAAGTATATAACTTATTTTGAGTAATTGTTTATTTGCTTATTGTTTATTGTTTGATGGGAGTATCAAGTGGTTTGATGATATGAATATAGATAGGTAGGTATGTATCTATGTATCTATGTATATTTAAATGTTGTTGCTTGGAGATGGATATTAGAGGGGAGTATGTAGTAGGAAGGTGGTGTGTAGTAATTTTGGGATGGGAAGGCATTGTAAATATCTCGGTTGTGTGTACGTAGTGTGTAGACTGGAGGTGTTGGAATAAATTTACGTTTACATTTGCATTTACATTTATATGATGGGTGGTGTACATTTAGGTCCTATATCAATTAGACATAAAGTGTATCGAAATCTTAGTATGCACGGATTATGATGTAAGGTTGAAGTTCATGGCTACAGCTATTACGAGTTTATGGTATCAACACTCTACATCCAAATATTCAAATACAAGTACTGGTAATTCACAAACAGCCATGTATATTGACTCCCAATACTTACTGGAATAAGAAATTCGCTTTTCATTATAATAATCTAATGATACTGCTTTTCTACTACTGAAAGATACCACTCTCATACGTAGAATTTCCATTTCAATCTCCATCTTCAGTCCGCATCTTAAGGATCATCATACCAACTTCCAGAGTAAGGCTTTGACTCTTTCAAATCCGAGTTTCGAGTTTTAATGATATCATCTAATTCGCTCTCCTTCATTGACTCATTATCTCACGTCTCAATTGACAGAACGTCAAAAGTCCTCTTCATATTTATAGTCCAGACAGTGTAGCGCGGGATGGATTGAGAGCACCTTTAGTTCAACATAGCATCCGTCTAGTGAAGCTCTGGAAGTCTATAACGTTTACTATTGTCAAGACAATGTTGTACCCACAGTTCATGATCCTTTTCCAGTGTTTCACGAATAGTAGATGGTAGATGCCATTTTCTCCGTTTCTTTCCTGAATGAGCTGATTTGAATTGCTTCATTAAATCATTTCCCCATTCCGTTTCCCATTCCCACGTAGTAGGACCTGATGAGTTAACAGTTGCAAGTCTCTGATCTTTCATCGGTATGTAAAAACGTAGATACTCTAACAGGTGATGTATAATCAACCCACTTCGTCTCATATGGCCTTCCTCGAATGTGATTGATAAGATGGGAGCTGGATGACATTCATACTGGGGTTTTTCTGCTAACTTTTGACGATATCTCTCGAAGCATTGACGGATCGTTTCGAGACGCTCAGCGTAGCTCACATACATATTGATCGATTCTGCTAGCGAGAACGTTGGGGGGTGCCTTCTGGGCAACGGCCATGTGTCCACAAGTGAGAAACACAGTCTATTGCTCGGCTCAGGAAGAAATAGATCAACAGCTTGCAACAGTCCTTCTCGCTCCGTAGCCACTTGCTGGTCATGATTCAACTTTACGTAACTATCATCATGTCAGAAATTGACACATTTCAAAACAATTTCGAAAGTCCAACAGTGCTCGCATCAAAACCAAAGACACAAACTCACCGTACTTTCCGCAAATTTATTCTCATTCGTAGATTTTGAACCCTGCGCAAGAACCCCAGTCCATAAGGGGGTCTAACAACTCTCCAACGACTCAACGCATATTCGTTATGCTTGTAAAAGATTGGCAGAGCCTCAAAGTATAAGCCACAATCCCCCCTCAAGGCTTTGAGAAAGTTTGGCGGTTTTCCGTGCCAAGAATCGTAAAGGGCGTAGAAGAAGATGATGGCTCGCACCTTTGAGGGAAATTTCCACAATCCATCAGAACGATGTGTTTTTGTACTTTGGGCTCTTTGAATACTTGGAATTCGAGGCGTTGAAATAGGATCCATCTGCCTTCTTCTTTCCACATTGCGTGAAATAGAGAGTCCCATTTTGAATAAAACTAATATGATAAACCTGCAGATACAACTTTGATGCTCGGCAATATAAATAAGTTATGAATGTCTGAAGTTGTAATGTGTCAAAGTTAAAGGATGAGAAAAACGAACTTACGAGCAACTCTTATTTAAATGGTTACACTAGTAAATAAGACGGGGAAAAAAGAAACTACAAAGTTAGGTCAAGCTACCATGAAGTTGGAAAGAGCAAGAGCGATGGTACTAAGCACGCAAAGATCACAACTCCATTCTCGTCAAAATTTCAAGAAACCATTCATTAGTATCATTAATTTCATTTCCACACATATACAATGCAATCCATCATTCATCCCCTCCCTATTATAACCTACACAACATCATCTTCATCTTCATCTCCAACTCCTCTTAATATGACACCCCCTAGCAGTTCCCAAAACTTTCTCCGATTCTCCCCCTTCCCTTTCTCTCATATTTGATTATGCTTTCTTGAAACGCCTTTCTTTCGAATAAATGCCAAATCAATTAATAACCCACTGGAAATGCTACGTACAATAATGACATCCATATCCTGAAAATGGAAATAGAATTGAATACTAGTCATCTGTTGGTAGTGCATATTTCGAATTTGGCAATAAAGCCTTTGCAACTCCAGACCATAACTCCCGGGTATCACAACTGACAATGCTTTACCCATTATACGCCCCATATATACACAGTACTCACGATATCTTCCGTACACATGCGTATCTCCAAACTCTGTATCATACCCAGAAACATCTATGCACCATCTCTTCCCCACCAAAGTCAAACACCTTCAATTCCAAACCCAACATCCCCCTCCCCATCAACGAATAATCTCCCCTCTCCTCTTTCCAGGCTCAAACACCAAGTCCTCCAGCAGGACCGTGTCCCCACTCCCCACACTCTCCGCATACACCCTATCCCTCGCCAAACGATCATTCCTCTCACTCTCCTCGAGAAAGACCTCTTCTCCTTTCTCCATCCCCTCATCACTATCCGCACAGTCCCAATTACTCGGAAGTGCAGAATGATACTTATTCCCATTCCGTCTATCGTATTTAACACCCGGTACGCGTCTCTCAGTCGTAGGATGCGTTTCTTCTCCTTCCGGAAGCGAAACTGCAAGTCCATCCGCGAAGGTGACTTGGAAGTTGTTATCGATGTCTACGTCTTCCAGGTTTGAGACGTACTGCAAATCTCCCTCTGAACCGCGCTGAGAGGGATTTCCATACATTTCTTGCTGCAAGGCCCATTTGAGTGTCGTTCTCGACTTCGCTAAGGTATCGATGGGACATTCGAAACCTTGATCGGAAAGCCATTTTGTGAGATGATTTTCTTCTCTTGGTTCATGATGGATTAATGAACCTCTTTCCTGCTCCCCCTCACAGCGTTTCTTCATGCCCAACAGAGTTTTCATTGAAACCGGTCTCCACATCCCCTTATCCTCGATATCTGTCTCATCCAACAAGTTAGGTAAGTCATCTCCAATCCCCTGTCGAAAAATATCTCCATTGTTATGTTGGAAAATCTCCATCGGCGGTCGATTCGCCCCTGTTCCCGGATGCGGCATCGCGAAAATAGAAGTATTGCATTTCGGACGCACACCATACTCACACGAGCGAAGGAGTAGAAATTGCCAGATTCTTCTCGCGTCGTGGGACATCAGATCGCGCTGGCGCATGGCTGCGGCTTCGGCGAGACTGATTTCGATTCTCGCGGGGCTTTTTCCGTGGTTGCCCCATTTGAGAACGCGGCCTGCATCTTTGCCAAGGTGCTGCCAGATCCAAGATGCTTTGTGGCCGGTTGAGGGGGATTCCAGATATCCAGGGGTGCCGAAGACGGAATCGAATTGATGGATTGTCCATTCGACAGTATGACTATATTTTTCAATCATGTAAGCTGCCCATGTGAATTTTAGGGTTAGGAGAGAAGGACAAGAATCGGCGGGACCGATGAGATCGCAGATTAGCGCAAGCCATTGGGTGCGACAGCCGCTGTTGATTGTGGGTTCGACGTGGAGATATGTAAGGTTTTGGGCCATGCGGATGATTCGGGCTGTACGGTCGAAGGTTGGGGAGGTGGAGGGAAGACTGTGGGTTTGTTATTTCATGCTCGAAATTGTACCTACTGAAAAGAATGGAGATAAAGTGAAAGAAAAGATGTAGAAAATACGTACCCATCAATAGGACCCGAAGTCGAAGTCGAGAGAGGAACTTCAACATGTATCCTCCGGAACGTCGACGCCAACGACACAACTCTTATATCCATAAATCTGACTGCATCATTCTGAACAAAATATTTCCCAAGCCAGTAATTTTTATAACTCAAGGAAAATGTATTGGTTTTGTAAAAAATAATCAGCGCTTCTTTATAAAGTCCCACATCTGCGCGTAATGCGGCTAGGAATGTTCGAGCCGTTCGTCGACTATCGGGTTCTTCCCATGTACCTCGGAGTAGGAGACAATAGATCATATGGCGAAGCTCGATTGGAAAGGTGCGAAGAGATTTAGGAGATGTTTTTTCTTCGAAGGAAGCCATCTTTGCTGTTGTGGAGAGTGCCATAACTAAAATGTTGTGGTTGATGTGAAATGTAAATATTTGATGGTTAATATGTTGTTGATTTCGAGGGCGGTAACAAAGGTCATCATGGGTACGGTCGGGAAGAGAATAGGTAGTTGGACCTGGTTATAAGCCGAGCCAGTGACAAAATTGCTCATACTAAAAATGATAAAAAATCCAGAAGTGAATAAGTGAGTGAGTGAGTCAAGCGTATATTGAGACGAGAACAGTCGAGGCGATAGTGAAAGATGTAGTATTAAAGCGGCTTGAATAGCCTTATGATAGGTGATAGTTAGAAGAGAACACAATCAACTTAGATTGTGTTTATATAAATGTCATTCATTACTCTCCCTTGACTTATTGTGCCTTCTTGATATCCGCAACCTTTCCCTTTGACACTTGATTATATCCTTGCCCTCTCCAAACCCTCAATAAACACCATACAATCCATAAAAAGCCCAATGAAACCACGCTAGCGGTTCCAATCTCCACCCAACTACTCTTATTTAAATGTAAGACCGGAACAGTAACTGCGTTCATCAATCTACCATCAGGTACGGCGACTGGCGAGACATGATAGAACATAGTTTGTGGCCCAAATAGGCCATCATAACCTAAATTGACCCTATCAAAAGGGTTACCCGAGAATTTGCTACCTTCATCTGCTGTACATGCCCAGAAGACTACAGGGTGAGGAGTCTCTAATGATGTATATCCATTTGTGTTGTTGGTAGGAGATAGATATCGCAAATGAAGAGGAATCTCTGCTGTGAAAGATTGGGTAGACTCAGGTGGTGCGAGTTCAAGTAAAAGAGTAGAACCCCAGATATTCATTGCATAGTCTGGAGCCTCAAGATCGACTGGGGATGTAACGTGGCGAAGAGCTTTTAGGTTCTTAGATGCAAGGAAAAGAGGATCTGATAACTGATATTTATCAGGAAAGACGGTACGAGGTAAAGTTAGATGTGTATGTAATGAACATTCTCGGTCTGAAACGGGTGGTTCGCTGGAGCTGAGCATGAGTTGTAAAGTAGGATGTAGACCAGAGGGTTCCATGAATGAAGAAGTGAAGAATGTGTCTGTCGTATGGTGTCTAGCTGGGAAAGCGAACAATGTAGGAGATGGCTTCGAATCTTCGCCGACTACAGTTAAGAAGCCACCTAAGGAGAGTTCTTCAGGCTGTAAAGGTGTTTCGACTGAAAGTATACCGACCTCTAAACGATGATTTGAGGCTGTGTTTGTGACCTCAAGCTCCCAGGTTTGAGGTTCCCAAAATGCAACTATATTCAGCGCATGAGATATTGTGTCAAAATCTATGTCAACATAAGATGCATAGTCAAGACGACCGGCTCTTGAACGGCAATCTTTATCTGATTTACCGCAAACATTTTGCTGTATATATTCAATGAGTGTTGTGAGATCCTCAAGGGGTTGATAATACTGTGTTGCGGCATTTGAAGCAAATCGTTCCACAGATAATTTGGTAAAAGACTCCTATAATTATTTAGATAATTTACCATAGTCATTGGCAAAGTAGAGCTTACTTTAGGAGATACACAATCAAGATTCCCAAATACTTTCTTCAAAGCAGGACATAAAAGATCACTACACAATTTTAGCATATATGATGGGTGGACAATGTAAACAAACATACGGGCTTTTGCTGTTTCGCTGCGGACTGTAAAACACGTGAAGACCTGGAGAAAGTCTTGACAATAGAGGCGAAGCTGCGTCATATTGATGTGGACTGACCCATCGAATATGAAGTTCATGGGATGCTTTTAAAACTCCATATATCTCCTCAGGAAGCTCGCTAAAGCTAAAGGTAACTCGATCCTCTCTCGCAGCTTTCACCCGTCCTGCTGTGAGAGAGTCTTGAGAAACTTTGATGAATTGAGGGTCAACTGCATCTTGAGGCTGTTGAAGGAAGGTTATTCTTTGCCGCATGATGATTGATGAGATTTGTGTGTATGTTTTGGGACTTGAAGTGAGGTCTAATAAATATTGAATTTATATACTCGGATTAGGTCTCATATATGTTGAGTTGGCAAGTGCATTCATTCATGTGATTCAATGTGTTTCGGCAGTATAGGACCCCTGTTAGGCGGTGAGCCATCTTAGCGCAAGGCTGATTGATATCATAACTTCCGCCACCAAGGAACCTAGGTAACTTGCTCATTACACTTGCCTTGAATGAATATCTATGTTGATGATCTGTCCTTTCTTGCGAGGATTTACTTAATCTCGCATCGCTTGATACCGTACTTCCTTCTTCAAATACCATGAGAAACAACTTTCAAAAGCAACCAAAATAATTACAGTAAAAATGCTCTTTTTACCATTTCTTTGCCCGGCTCTGCTCACCCTCCTCACATTTACCCCTCTCACCACGGCCGCCTCCAAACCCAAGAATGCCATCTTACTATCAAAAGTAAAAACTCTCACTCTACGCGATAATGCCCAAACATCCCATCGACGAGTTTCAGCCGTTCCACAGCTATCATGTAGCGGCCCTGGATGTCGACATTACAAGGTTGACGTCATGCGTTGTACCAACCAAGGATCCGATTATTCTTCCGAAGATATTCAATGGTCCTGCACTGCGAATCTTCCTGAGGAATTCAAGCTAGGAAGTACGGATGTTATATGTGAGGGATATGATAGCAAGGATGATGAATACGTGTTGAAGGGCAGTTGTGCTGTGGAATACAGATTGTTATTGACGGAGGAGGGCGAAGCAAAGTATGGAAGGAGCTTTTGGGACGATGGAAGTGGAGATAGCTCTGTAGAGAAGGGAATGGGTTTATTATTCTGGTTGATATTCGTGGGAGTTTTGGGATGGATTCTTTACTCGATGGTTCAAAATTGGAGACAAGGACCCGCTAATGGCCAAGCGGGAAGAGCCGGGGGAGGTGGGGGTTTTGGAGGATGGGGAGGAGGAGGATCAGGAGGACCAGGCGATGACGACCCCCCACCACCTTATCCAGGAACTGGAAAACGATCCACAAGAAACTATGGTGCTACTGAACAAGCTTGGAGGCCTGGATTTTGGTCTGGTGCGGCGGCAGGTGCTGCTGGTGGTTATTTTGCAGGAAATAGGGCGAATAGACAACAAAATCAAGGGGGTAGTAGCTGGGGCAGCGGAGGTGGAAGTGGCTGGGGTGGAGGTTCTAGATCTGGAAGCTCGAGCGCAAGCTCTCCCTCTACCAATACTCGGTCAAATACTGGATTCGGCTCTACATCGAGAAGATAGTTACCCTAGCAATCTGGACGAGTCACCTCACCTCTAATCGCCCTACTCGCCGATGAAAGGAAACGATTGAAGAATAGTGTGATGAAGGCTGGCGTCTTATACAGTAGAGCTATCCAAAATTTACCTCTTCGGAAAGTATCATGATTACTTTTGACTCCACAGTCTCCTATCATTGATCCCATCCCGACCGCGCTAGACATACAATGCAACTGATTGACTGCAATGATAATTCACTTTGAAAACATAGTTATTTCTATTAGAGCTATTTGATCTGCCAACTCTGCAGTTTTCCCACTGCATCAATAACCAAGGGAAAGAGCATGCCCCTGCCTTGGTCAATCGATTTGCTTTCTTAAAATACAAAGTCCATCGCTGTCTGCTTCTATTTCAGGAATTTTCCGATTGAAAGAAGAAAAAAGGACTTCATCACATATAATGTGAGGGCGCGAAAAAATGGTATACATGCGGACAAATTCCTTTACACTTAAGCAAAAGCCAGTCATCGCTCAAATGTGCAGTGCGGCACTTCGTCACACTTCCTGAAACAAAAATCATACAACTTCCCAATAACCTAAATTAAATCCTTGTCTTGAATTCGAAACCATCATATTACATATGAGCGGTCATGACATCCAATTTGTCGAAAGGTTTAGCGCAATTGGGACACTTCCTCATACGGTTGGAGATTCGATCATCCACGCATGAATTGCAGAAGAGATGCCCACACGTCTTTAAAACAGTGTTCTTGAAGTTTGCACGACAAACGGTACACAATGCAAGAGTCTATACTGTGTTAGTAACAGATCACGATAAACAACAATGATTGAGACCTACTCTGAGCATTTCCTCCTCACCAGATTGATTGCTCAAGCTCTTTTGTTTCCATGTATCTCGATCTTTTTGAACCTGTTCACATCGAACCCGAAGCTGTTCATTCTCTAGCTCCACCGCGTGAATCTTTTGTTTGGTACCAGAGTTCGCGGAATCCTTGGATTTAAGAAGGTTGGTCAATTCTGCTGCTTGGTTCTTTAGGCTTTCACATTTGCTTGTGGCCTCTCTACTCGATGCCTCTAACTTCTTGTTCTCAGCCAAGATAGACGCATTGGACTGTCTCATATCACTGAGTTGCTTCTCCAAATTGCTCAACAAACTTCGATCAGATGTCTCTACATCCTTGAGTTGGGAGATTATCTCGGAACTTTTGGCGTTTTGATTCTTCAAAGTTCGAACTTCCTGGAGGCGAATATCCATATCCTTTCGGGCCGCGAAATATTTTTGATCAGCCTTGCTCTTTTCGGCAGCCAAAACCGAGACCTTTTCTTCGAGAGCCGCGAAGTCCATTACTTTCTTGCTCGTCAGGGCCTGGACTCGCTTGTACGCGGACTGGAGGGCAGGTAATTCTTTGTTGATCGAGTCATAACCTTGTTGAAGAAGATCATACTTGACACGCAATTCTTCAAGGTTTAATGAATCTATCTCCGGTCCTGGTGTGGGTTGGCATGATTGCTCGGCGATTTGTCTCAGACGTTCGACTTCAAGTTCAAGAGATGTGATACGATCATCCTTTGCTCCAACCAATTCTTTCAAGTGCTCGATGCCTGCATCATCATGGTCCTGTTTGGCCTTTCGCACGCTAATATCAGCAACCAACTCATCTCGGGTAGAGCGAATTCTCGTCAAATCGGCATCCAGGCGTTGAAGTTGACTTTCTAGTTCACCAGTGGTCGTTTCGGCTTCGTTTTCTATCTGTATACGATATGCAGTCCGTTCGGCTTGTAATTTCTCGGCTTCCTCTCGCAATTGTATATTAGTGGCTTCGAGATGATTGATACGTTTGATAACATCCTCATGTTGAATACGGAATTGTTTGAAAAGCTCAGTCCGAGCATAGTCGTCGTCCGAGGGTGCTTGCTTGATACTGGCCGCGGTAATTTGTTCTGTTAGTGATTTATTCTCCGCAGCCATGGCTTCAAGTTGCTCCTTTTGCTTCTCGACAACGGCTTGTGCCTCTTTATATGCTGATTGATTGGCTTCCTTGTCTTCTGTTATCCCATTCGTCATTTCAGTGTCCACGCCATTTTCGACTTTCGCGCCATTAGCAGTACTGTGAAATAATGCCTTAGCCTCTTCTTTTCGAACCGTATCACTCCTCAGCCTATCTAAACGTTTTTCGGCTTTAACATAACGCAGCGATGCCAATTCGAGAAGCTCATTCAGTTCTTCTTTCTCGTTGCGGAGTCTGTCTACTGTGACAAGATATTCCTTCTGAGAAGCAAGCATTTTTGTAACCTTTGCTTGAAGATCTTGCAAGTCTGTCGAGGGTTTGCCATGAGCAGCTGCAACTGCAGTAAATATTTTATGTAATTTTGATTTGATTTCTCTGCCTTTTGATGCCAGATGATCCGAGAAGGCTTTGATGCCATGAAATTGTAAAGAAGTCGAGAAAGATACTATCATGCGTCAGCGTTAATTAAAACTACAGCCTGCAAATAACGAACTTTCTGGCTTTTCCGCATTTGGAATGTCATTTTCTGCGAGCAGGGTCACTTCTTCTAATAACTGTTACCCGTAATCAGTATCGTGTCCCAAATGACTGATAAGGGGGTTATCGTACCTGTGTCCACCAAGCATCAATGATTCTCAGATGATCATCATGATCTGTAGACTTCTTTTGTATTGTCTTCAATTGTGATTCCAAAGTTGCCTTCTCTCGTTTGTACTCGAGCATTTGTCGATAGATCGCATCTTTTTGGTATTTCTATAACGTGACATATCAGCCTGCCATTCCAGCCAGTTTATTCCTTGTTCGTAAAAGGGAAGGTGTATTGACTACATTGATGCGATGTATTGTGGGAGTGCGGGTATAGGCGTGAAGGTATGCAGGCTATCCATGCTGTTCACAGCAAGCTGCGCATTAGCAACAGCCACACAGATTTCAAGAGCAATCCCTAGACTCTTGTATGACGTTGATAGATGAGAGAATCCGACAAAATATTGATGCAGAGCGTTTATGCGAAAGGAGATATGTCATGAGACTGATTACATACCTCTATATCTTCAGACCAAGGCGCAGTATTCTCAGAATCTGCAGAGGCCTTTCCAGCACCGTTGGTGGCTTGTCTCTTGGTAGGGGGTGCGAGATCATCGGTGCTTTGGCCAGCTGCCCTCTTCCTGTCCTCCATCTTGATGAAGGAAGGGAGAGATGGAGCTGATGCGGCGACAGGCGTCATCAGATTGAAGAAGGTGAATGGTTCATAAGATCAAACACGATAGCGGATTCGACCAGATATGGGTATAGCGCAACAATAGGTAGTATCGAATGTTTCCAAATGTGTGGTTTGATTGACCTTGTATCGTCGTTACGGGTTGTAAAGTTGAGAAAGTAAATGGAGGTAAAGGCGAAAGAAGTGAGAAGTTGCAAGCCGCCAATTCCGAAATGGACTAGCGTCAAAATTTAGTCAGAGCGGGAACCGGCTCCAGGTCAATGGAAATAATTATTTCAACCACACTCAGCATACCTGGGGATACTTTCAAAGGATTCTCATTGTTCAATCAAAGAGAAGGCCATATTTAATTTTCCCCTATAATACTTATTCGACATATGAGCAATCAGTACCTTTGAGAGATAAACAAAATTATACCGCGACTCGAGCTACATCCTTTGGATCTCGCCCATCGGGCGCAATAAATTTCGTCAAAATGTCTTCCATGCTTAGAAAAGGTGGAAAGTCGTTCAAACCAAGTGCTCGCCCTCGACCAAATCCTACCAGACCATCTGCGTCGCAACCTCCAGCAAGACCAAGTTCCGAAACTCAATCACAAGCACCAGTATCTGCGACCCAACCATCCATCCCTACACCCACATTGACTGAAGATGTTGTGGAGAGAGAACCACCCCAGACTATAATTTCGGAACCAATTCAAGTCACCCCTCAATTACAACATGCTCCGCCAGTTCAACCTCAGATACCAATCACCGCATCGAACGATGACACTTCCGCGACCATTAACAATACAGCCAAAAGAAAAGTTAGAGAAGATGATGTCGAAGACACCCTTCCAGTTGAGCGACCACCTACAAAAGTCCAAAAGTTGACCCCTCCCTCGGATGAGGTGCAACATTCCGGAACCAATGCCCCATTACAAACTGTTCCAACTGCGTCTATGATTGTACCCAAAGAAGTGCCGGCACCTTCAAATAACCAAATTTTAGCGAAGCCAAGTCGCAATGAACAAGAAGTTGTAGACAATGAAGAATTCCCTCCAATTAGCCATATAACTACGAACAATGCTACAACCGCAAAAGCCATTCCGGCAAACCAATCTCAACCTTCGAATAATTCTATACCTGCAATTTCTACAGAAGTCCCGCGAATAAATACCACAATCGGCAGAACACGAGCACCTGCGTCTACTCCCACACAAGTAATCGATGGAAATTTACAAACCCCACCCGCATCACTCGAGGATGCCGATTTATCTGGAATGGGGGCGGGTGAGGCGAGTCAGACGTCTCATCTAGTCTCTACAGTAACACCAACTTCCGAAGAGACACCTACTCCAGTCGACGGAGAAGCAGCGCCAGCTGTCAAAAAGCCGAGAAAGAAGGCCGCGCCAAGGAAGAAGAAGGTCCAGGTCGAAGATGGCGACGAAGCTAGAACTGAAGTCGAGATCCAATTGAATAGGCCCCGTAAGACTGGAGGATCGACTCGAGAACGCAGGAACAAGGACGGCGAGGCACCAAAGAAGAGAAGAGATCGAGAAGGCACTCCAGAAGATGCGGAGAATGAAGTCATCGAACCTACGGTTATGAAAATGGCAGATCTTTGTAAAGATATTCGGATTGGCAAGAAGTTCAGTAGACATGACGAACTCAAGCTAAGGCATGCCCGAAAGAAGATTGATGCGCAATTGGCCGAACATCCTGAACTTGCAGGTCTAATCAATAATGCGCCATCTGAGAATAACCCTGAGCCTATTGAAGCGCCAGCTACTGTCATAAACAACAACGGATTACAAATGCGAGTTATAGACGGACAAATTGTACTGGACGACCAATCTATGCAAGTCGATCGACATAGGCAAGCACGAAATCCGGGTCAAGTGCTGGAAGAGATAGAAGAGAACGAATTCACAAGAGTGGTGAATTCCGGGCAATACATGAAGCGTTCCGCAGCTGTACGATGGGATTCAACTTCGAACGAATTGTTCTATCAGGGTCTTCGACAATTTGGTACAGCATTTGAAATGATTGCTGCGATGTTCCCAGACCGCAATAGAAGACAAATCAAATTAAAATTTGTACGAGAAGAACGCCAAAATCCAGCTAAAGTTGATCGAGCTCTCAAAGGGAAGACGGACGAGATTGATTTCGAAGAGTACACTCAGCTTACAGGTCAGAAATTCGAGGATTCAGAAGAGATCAAAGCAGAACAACAGCGACTCGAAGATGAGCACAATGCGGAGCAAGAGAAAGTTGAAGCTGCCAAAGCGGCGGCTGATAAGAGAAAGAAAGAAGCTATTTCCAAAGCCGGAAGAAGAGGCAATGGCGGTGCTAGTGATGGTGATGGTGAAGATGGAATAGAGTCACAAAAGGAGAACGCCGGTGCTGTTTTGGTCGGGATGGGAAGGAAAAAGTCAGCCAAGTCTAAGAAGTCTAACAAAGCTTCTATGCAAGGTGGTGGGGAGGAAATAGAAATCCTTGGTGAAGTATAATGGGCTGGGGTAAGTTCGATTGGGCGTTTGAAGGGTTAGATCAGGGACTGGATGTTCGATTTGCTTGCTGTACTCACGATAAATGAATGGCTGGATGGAGTTTGTTTGGTTTTTATACCCGATTTGCATTATCATACAAACTATAGAAGGGGAGGTCCTTCGGTCATAGGTCTATGGGATAGATCGGATCACTATGACTTTATAAAGATAAATCAATGAAGCAACGAAACTATGGAGATATTTTTGCCAAAATTCCATAATCCATAGTTGACTCTGAAGTAGTCGCATTGTCTATGACATCCATTTACTTTGAATACCACGTAAACCACCCACTAAGTAAACCTAAAAAATCCATTTCCCTACCCCTCCAATCCTCTCAGAACCCAATCTCCCCAGAATCTCACTCCTTCTTAATCAACTCCTCAAAGAGCGGTTTCAAAGCCAACGCACTCTCCTTGGGTTCTCGTCTCTGGCCCCCCTCATAATCCACATACGTAACACCAAATCTGGTCTCGTAGCCCTCAGCCCACTCGAAATTATCCATCAAACTCCATCCCAAGTAGCCGCGCACATCGGCGCCCTTTTCAACTGCGGATGCCATGGCGCGGATATAGTCGCGGAAATAGTCGGCGCGGAATGTATCTTTCAGGATGTCGGGGTAGGGGATGTCGTTTTCGCGGAGCAGGGAGGTGCCGTTTTCGGTTATGTAGACTGAGAAGGGGGATGGGTTAGTGGGGGGAAGATGAGGGATGAGGGAGGAATGGATGATGGGAGACGGGTAACAATGGAAGAAAAGGAGGTGGTAGGTGGCTTACTAGTAGGGAACCCATATCTCTTTGAAATCCACAAGATCAAATCGTGGAAACCCTGGGGATTAGGTCTCAACCAAACACTCTGGGTCTCGGGACCGATATTTTCCCCCTGTTTGTTCTCAAACAGCAATTCCAAATTCCCCGAGAAATCATTTTCATCCGGCTCCGTAGTCTTATGTCTGATGTAATTAGCAGTGTAGTGGTTCATGCCGTAGAAATCATTCGAGCCTTTCACCAATGCGATTTCGTCGTCGGTGAAAGTAGGGAGACGATCTCCGAGTTGGGCGCGCATGGAATCTGGATATTTGCCGTGGTAGATGGGGTCTGCGAACCAGGAAATGCTGAATTCGAGTTTGCGTTCGGCGGCTTCGACGTCTTTGGGATCGGAAGCATCCCAGGGGTAAACGCCATCACCTGGGGGAAAGTTAGTATGCTATTGGAGTAGGATTGGGGTAAATTAGACGTGGGGATGTATGTACCATTGAGAGTAATTCCGATTTGTCCGCCATATTTAGCTTTGAATTCTTCCCGGTAGATCTTAACGGCTGCGCCGTGAGCTATGAGAAGGTTGTGTCCTACTGTCCATGGCTCTCTGCTACTATCTCCCACATCACTCTTCGATCTATCACTCGTATGTCCGGGAGCGAACAATCCCGTGCTGTATCCCAAGATAGAGGAGCACCACGGTTCGTTAAACGTGATCCAATTCTTAACTTTTGGAATTGCCTCGAACAATACTCTTGCATAGTGAGCATAATCCTTAACAAACTCTTCTTTGTTCAACAATCCCCCGTATCGTTTATCCAGGTTATCTGGTAAATCCCAATGGAACAGCGTTACGAAAGGGGTGATTCCCTCTTTGAGCAAATCATCCACCAACTTGGTGTAATAAGCGATACCCTTCTTATTTACCGGATCATTGCGACCACCTAGGGGAATGATACGAGACCAAGAGATAGAGAACCGATAAGCTTTTGCACCGGTGAGTTTGAGAAGCGCAATGTCTTCGGAAACTCGGTGGTAGGAGTCACATGCCACGTCTCCGGAACTACCATCAGCAATTTTGCCGGGGATTTTGCAAAAGGTGTCCCAGATAGAAGGGCCACGACCATCTTCTTCTGGCGCTCCTTCGATTTGGTAACTAGTGTGGTGTTAGTAGGAGATATGGGTGTTGATCTAAGGATGATATACCTCGCAGTAGCGAAGCCCCATGTGAAATCCTTGGGTAGAACTGCTTTACCCATATTGTTCTCTTTCAAATTCGATATACTTCTGGTAAAGACAAAAGATACTAAGTACTTGTAGTATCAAAATGTAGAATTAGTTGTTGTGAGAAGGGGATCTACTCGCATATAAGTAGAAATAGAGCGGCTAATTGCAAATTAGAATTGTGTCATAACAATCAAACGGAACTAAGTCGTATCCCACCCCTCGGACCGTACAGACCGTGATATAATCATTTCCTAATTGAGTGACTTTGATATCTTCCGCCCCACCAGATTATGGCGGGGTAGCAAATGTTTGAACCGGTTAGACGGGACGAAATTCCGGCTGAATTCAATTGATCCAGTTCACGGGATTTGGTGTCGTTTTCGTGCCTGTGATTAGCTCGTGTGTATACATACATAGATGAATCTCGGATGTCAAGCGGATAGATGTGATAGAAACATCATAATTGATTGCAAAGAGCTATTTGCATTTCTTGGTATGGTAATCTTACATGTACAGTATTGGCACAGCCCATTATCTCATTTCTTAACAAACCCCCGAACTCCCGTTTGACATGAGAAGATAACTCTTCCGAGATTGTTGTAAGGATCGGCAACCTTGTTGTGAACTTGCAAAGCTCTCGTTTTGTGTCCATCCCAAACCCAAATCTCCATAAACGACATCATTTCTTGACTGCAACCCACGATACGAACCAAAATCAAACCCTTACGGTTGTACTTTACTAATTACCCCAGAGACATAAACTTGCAGATGCTATCCATCTATTGTAGCCCCTCCATGCGAGAACCTTCACCTGGACTCGTAGCATCCAACTTTCTCTTTCCAGTTATAGGTAGCTGCACATCGTCATCTTCACCAGTCCACTCTACAATCTCCCATTCTACCTTGATTCGACCATCGTCGGCAGTTCTTCTGCCTCTGCTCGTTTTCATTTTACCCAGTCGGCTTCCTTCAACCAATGTCTCAAACCACGGTAGGCCTTGTTCTCCTCTGCCGTCGTTCTCAGAGTGTGGTATGACAGTCTCGATAGTTTGTTTATCATTCTGTGCATCCTCGAGTGCTTCTTTAGGAAGTAGGCCTAATTCTTCGAGATCTCGCAGATCCGAAGAGGCCAATGATCCCAAAGTTAACGAAATATAATCTGCATGGTCTGCCGGTTCTTCCGTCCAAAAGGAGAGGGGTGTTCCACAAAAGCCACAGAAATGTCGTTTTGCATGTTGTTCGGATGGAGGAGTGTAAGATCGTCGAATTATGTTGTGCGATTCATCATCGAAGAAGGCGTACGTCGTTGAGTGATACCAAGCTAATGGCACACGAAGCCATGCTGAGAGGGGAGCAGCTTGTGATCGTCCTGGGTTTCTGATATTAGCAATCGCCTTTCCTTTTTGGTAAGGTAAGGAAGGGGATATCTCCAATTTACGTACGATGAACACTACTGCTATCAAAAAAGACTTGTGCGCCATCTGCTGAGTTTTGTGGGATTTGGATTGTGTATTTGTTGCGACCACAAGAACAGCCACCGTTAAGCTCACTCATGCTGCCGAATCTGAAGCTACCCAGGTAAGGACTCAAATTAGAAATTCAGATCAGACGTCGGCGAGTCTTGATCAGTTATTTAAAAATTGTACATTGATGAAGACGTTGCTTTTTATTGTATCAAGAGGAAGAAAGTTTAATCTGTTGTCCCGTGAATTTTAGAGTTGTATTAAAATTATGAAATGTAATTGGTTTGTTGTTGGAAACATCTAGATTATTCGCAATGTTTCCTTCCTTCACCTCACCACCTAACTCTATGACATCGCTAGGTTATGCAAGGTTTCTCCACAACAATCACACATCACATCACAACGACAACGACAACATTGACAACAACAAACAACATGAATACTCGATTGTGTGGTAATATCTTTCCTGCTATTTTCGTATTCTAAATTTCTCTATTGACAAAAATTGAAAACGGATAAAGATCGTCATGTGAAAATAATATTGAATCTCACGTGAGTTTCTAGACCATATGTCTTGAAGCATTCATCTACTGTCTTAACTATTGCAATCCACATGCATGCCAAAGTCTCAGCCAAAATTCAACGCCCTCATCAATGCACCATCCAAACGCCAATCTATGTTTGTTTGTGAAATTGCCTATGAGCAAATATGTCATAGCAATATCGATCAAACAGGCTCAGAGTTACCCGCGACGGGTTCTCAAGTCCAAATCAATGATGTCGTCGGTTATCAGCTCGATCGCCGTCACATGATTCGAGATTTCCACGGTTGAAGGTTCGTCAGAGTCTTGCAATACCTGGAGCTGTTGATACATCTCCATTAGGTCTTTGCGCTGGGATGCCGAGCTTTCTGTCCTTCGGTGGGCTCGATTAGCAGCAAGGATGTTCGAAAGCCGAATCTCAATAGGATCGAAGTACCGATGGCGGTCTGGATAACAGCTATATAGCTCTTTGAATACTCTCCTAGTAATCTCCAGACAATCTATCGGAATATACTCAAGCTTGAAGAGAGATTCGTCTGCTATGATGTTGCCATAATGGGCTGCCAGATTCCCCTCGTTTCGCAGCTCGCGGTTGAGCTCAGGGCGATCCCTTTTATTAATGACGAACTCTTTGGCTTGCTCGAGGAATCTTAATCTAACAGCAGCACCCACCAACATCAGCGGTTTTTTAAGATTGAGATCTTGCACCAGCTTGTTGACAATCAATTGAAGGTTTGCTTTCTCCCCTTCAGCCTCCTCAATCTGAGCTTGAAGTCTCATGTTTTCTTCCTTTGCTTCGAAGTAGTCCTTGGCATCGACTGCAAGCTCCAACTGGTGTATGAGGTTGTGTTTTGATCTTTGGTGCATTACGCACTTCTCCGTCTCGTAATCCAAGTCATGCAACAATCTTGTATTGTCGTGCTTGAGAGTGGAGTTCGTCTCGGAAAGAGCTGTTACCTCCGTCTTCAATTGAGCATTCTCTTGCTCCTTTTCGGATAGCTTCCTGCGGAGTTCATCCAATTCTTCCTCGTGTTGATCTTTCTGGCTCTCCAGTTCTTGATCTTGATCTCCAAGTTGTTGGGCAACACTCTTCTTGAGTGCCTTCACTTCCTGTCGAATAGCAGCAAAATTTCCTGCTGCCGTCTGGAGACGGAGAACTCTTGCGGTAGCTTCGCGGTTGGAAGGATCGAGTTTCTGCTCTAACCCGGCGAACATTGTATCTGTCTTCCGCCATGCCATTGCCATTGTTACAGCACTCTCTGGGCCGGAACTATCGCGAGCTTGTCTGTGACTTGCGTTCAGTCCGGAACTAGGAGTCTTGACGCTGGAAATCTTCTTAATCTCACGCCCAACGTTGGATTGGAAGGGCAGCATCTTTGAAAGTTCATTGGTATGCTATGAAGTGGATTCGAGTCGCTCTGGTGTTGCTGAATCTGATCTGATGGGTGATTATCGAGGTACTTGATTTTTTTCCTACGATATTTGGATAGAATTATTATGAATTACAAGAAACAATATGTTCAAGAAAGAAGCTCTCTGTTAATCGTGATATCAAAGATCATGAAATACTGTGTATTACACAGAAGGAATAGATGCTACAGGCAGCATCTTATAAACAAAAGGGAATCCAACATACGGCTGCTATTACAGAATTCGAAGAACACTAGTACCTACATTTATGTTGGTACGGTGCTGTCAGTCAAGTTTCATCTTCAGACTCTCGTCTAATTGTTCGCTTGGCTGAACGTCACCCCTTTCTCTCTGCTTCGGTTGCTTAGGTGACTAGATAGAGCGGTAAAGTACACTATTTGGTAAGATACATATATATGTCATGAATCGATCATAGTCAGATCGTTAAATAAATCGGTGATTATCACTTGTCTCTTGAGGCATTTTGTTCGGCTAGTCTCTGATTCCATCTTCTGTTCTGATTTTATCTCGTCACTCTCGCGACTCAGCCCTCGCAGAATACTAGTGCGCCCTAGCCCCACTTCTTCGAAGGAAGGTCAAGTAGACCTTCATGGACTAACTTCAATTGAATCTACTGGCCCTCGGATGAAGCTGGATATCGAGTAAACAGCCAATAATGCGATATTTTTGCCTTACGAAACTTCTGAACTTGCAGTTCACAACATTTGTCGTATACTATACAATGATTGATTCAGAATTATCACGCAATCTCACGCCAAGCTCTTCAAACAGTATTCTTAAATGTATTGGGCGAGACAACCAAATGACCACGTGAGGTCTGGGATAGAGGGCGGATGTAATGACGGAGATCTGAAATTGTGGAGTCACAATCGGAGTATATGGATGTTTTAAGTGTTATCAAGATTTTCTGCTGCTCCTTCTGTTGGAATAGACGTCGAGAATAGCAAGATTCTACGATCTTATAATCTAAGGCCTTGTCGAGAGGAAGAAAGAGTGTCTTAGATTTGATGAACAATGCACGCATTTCACAGACCACAATTCTCAAGACATTCACAAAATCACAGGATACACCCCGGTGCGAAATCTGATCTCATATCTATCCACGAACGTCTCTGTTCAATGCATAACATTTTCCTATCCGCAGTGACAGGTTCATCTCATGCTATCTACTCTGACATATATACATAAATTCTGTAGCAAGGTTGCAGTCCCAAACGCAAACATCATCCTCAATCATCCTGGGAGTAGAATTGCGTATTCATGATTGCTCTGGTCATACTCTATACAGAATGTGTTGATCAATCACCCATGGTTCCCTTACCCGTATTTTTGTGCTGATCACAGGAGTATCCCTAACATAAGTCTTGCGTTTAACTCCACATATTCCGTCCCGCAACGCAGTTCCAGTTCTAACTTTCTCCACTTGGTATGGTTATCTCGATATTTGGATCCTATGAAAAGAGTGGGCTGTGGAGGTCACCTTATCTGCGACGACGACTGGAGCGTTCTAAGTCCACTATCTCGTCGGTTAACCTTTCCAGTTCTTCAATCAAGACCCTGTTTTTGTTGGCCGGGCCGTGTAGAATTCTATTCCAGACCACGCGCCACTCCTCACGCAGAGTCGCCGATACACTGGATTCTTTTATTGAAGACAATGTTGCTTCGCAGTCAATTTGTCTTTCGGAGATTCTGTCATAGTATGGGTAGTCGCTTGATTCATGGCTGTATAACTTTTGGAAGATCTCCTCGGCCTCTTCTTCGTACTCCTCCGGGATAAATTTGCCCTTGAATAATGCCGCATCGGCAGCCGCATTACCCCTGTGAGCAGCAACATTACCATTAGTTCTTAAAGCCATGTCTGCCTCACATCGGGAGATATTGAGTGCTGTCTCTCGTGCTTGGTCCAGAAAACGTAATCGTATATCCGCTCCTATCTTCGCCAATGGCTCTCTGATATCATGTGCCTTCTTCAATTCCTGGTAGTTCTGTCGTACAGCATCACGGCTAGATAATATACTCGCATACTTAGCTGTCATCTTCTCGAGGCTGGCCTCAACACTTTCCAATTCGTCTCGATGAGCGTTTCGCTTTTTTCTGTAGTACTCCACTTCTCCTTTGTACTCTTCGCGCTCGCGTCGGTATCTAGCTGCATCTTCTTGGAGCTCGTTATGCTCATCCTCGAGAGTGTAATGGTCAGTCTTGAGGTTCTCGTACTTCGTTTCTAGTTGTTGCAATCGATTGGAAGTTGAGGCTGTCCGGGACTGCTCCTGTCTGATCCTATGATTCTCAACCCTTAAACTCCTCACTTGTTGCTGAAATGTCGCACTATGTTCTTGTACTACATCTAGTTTGAGTCTGCCGTCTGTGACGTCTTGTGCTGCTAGTTTTAGCGCGCGGAATAGAGACTCTGCCGATACTTGAGCATCATTCTTTTGTGTCTCTAAGGTTGAGATTTTCTCCCCAAGTCTCACCACTTCCTCGTTCATTGCCCCCAACTTTAGATCCAACTCTCTTCTCTCCGTTCGAACTGCTGAGTTCTTCTCCCTGACTTTCCGTAAATCAGTGGATGCTTTCTGTCGTGCCGCTTGCGCCTCCTCGAGATCCAATTTCATCGCTTCCATCTCCTTTTGATGACTCTCATTGAGTTGATCCAGTTGCTTTTGCATTTCCAGCCTGTGCTTTTGATTCAGAACCTCAATCTCGGCACGCAAGGAATCAGCTTGTGTCTTGGCAGACTTCAAATCACGCTCTTGTCGGGCCATCTTCTCCATCAATTTGATGCTCGGCTTTGAATCTGGAACTGTTGATTTCTGGATGGTGGTGTTGCTCGTCATAATTTCTGAAGATCGAGAGGCGCACACGAGACATGAATTCTCGAAGGAAGTCGTCGACTTGATCACTTTGATATCCTCGATGTCACTTCCACGAGTGACTTGCTCGGCTATATCGCCAGATATTTCCAGCGCAGTCTCCGTACTCTCTGCGTTGGTGGAAGACTTTTTCAACTTGACAAGTGGGCGAGAGACTTCCACTTTTCCATCTGAAACCGTGGGTGATTTCTCTCGACAAGCTGCCACCACTGCCACCACTGCTGCGGATGAAGCTTGAGACTTCTCTTTCTTCATCTTGGCTTTCCTAGCAATTTCCGCTCTCTCCTGATCTTCACTCGACTGCTTCTTATTCTTCCCCCAGCCCGTCGGCAGAAAATCCATATCATCATCGAGAAAACCTTCACTCCCAGAGTCTGCATCGGAGCCCCACCCAGCGCACTTTTCATCGCAGCTTTCATATTCAATCATGGGCCCATGCAACGGCCATGATTCTTGCTTTTCTTTGACTTGTTGAGGGTTGAGGGATAAATCTGCGGTTTTGCGCTCTAATATTAGTATATTTACGTGCTTGGTTGAGGAATTGGCTTACCTTCGTTTTCCGCAGACGGCGCTCGATCTTCTGCCTTGGAGGCCGGTAGAGAGACGGTTCCTGCTGGAAGTCGGGATGTAGAAGCTGCAGTTGCTTTTTTCTTTTTGGCTGCCATTGCAATGAACTTGATTTCTCAACCTAATTATAATGAGATTCGTGAGACCAATTCGATTGTTTCCGAGACGAGGCGCGTATTTTTCAGGCACAGTACTCCAGATCGGACGATATCAAACAAAAAATTGAGTAGATGAGATACCTAGTTACAGCAATTGGAAAATTCAGAAGGGATAAATGACTTTGTCATCTCTGTCGGGGAAATATCCAAGCTGAAGGTGAGAGAGAGGTATTACTGAGATGTTCCGAAAGTGAGTCGCTTTACTTGTATATCGGAGAACATATAGATTGGTGCTTATTCAGGAAAAGAAAGTCAATTTTTTCATATCCCATCATAGTTCAACGCGTGAGATATATGCCTACTCCGCTGGTGGTCCGGCGTACACTTGTAAATATTCCCGAAGGTTTTGAGGACCTGAGAAGTTTTGAAGGATATAGAAATTGAATTTTATCTTGACTTAAGTTGTACTTTGTACATGTACCATTGAGCTTAAAATCATCACTCAATCTTAAAGGCTCGCCATTCTAGCGGAGTTTCGGGGATGACTAGGAATTGATATATGGAATATCTGCAAATGATACCTTTGAAAAACGGAAGACTTTTAGCAGTCACGTGTGTAGATATCTCGTTGAAGATCGCATGTATACATTTGATCTGAAATTGGTACATTATAAACATGTTATTACCTACAGCTAGTAGCGAGCTTCCCACTCCGGTACAATAACAATTCATATGACTTTCATACAAGCGCCAAGCAACTATTTCCTGTCTTCTAATGTCATCCACCACACTGCGTGATTTGGCTTGCAACCATATTGTGATCCCCAGTACATATGTATTGAATTTCTCGTGATATTCTCAAACAACCTCCGAGACATAACTCAGGTCCGGGGAGGGGGGAAGTGTTATAAACTTCAGCTAAATAAATTCGGACGATGTGAAGAAGCGGTCCACTAGGAACTATAAACCAAAATTAGTCATTATTTAGCGAACATAAGAATTTCACACTAACTAAGTAGTTGCTGTCCAATCATAAGCGCTTTTCACAGCCCAGTCGCTAGAGCCTGCCATATCACCAGGCTCTACAGCAGCCCAGTCACTAGGCTCTCCAACGTCCCAACCCAAGCCCCTCGTATGACTCGCTCCTCTTTCATCCTATATATATAATCAGTCTGTGGTCACAATGATTCAGTGAACATATACTCACAGTAGTATCCTCGACATTGCCACGATACCCAATGCTTCTATCAATCCTTACAATGTCTTCCTCAAGATCTTTTAATTGAGATAGCCAGCCTGTTACCTCCTCATTTGCATCGAATACATCTTCTTGGGGATTTGCGTTCCAACAATCAATAATAGAAGAAAAAAATTGCTCTGCTTCTGTGCGAAGCTCTTGAGAAGTGTTACTATCATTGATGGCTTGAACAGTTTGGATACTAGCTTTACTGTCTATTGCCTGGCGTAACTTGTAGGGGTATTTCATGGCATTTGCGTGTGAATCAACACTGTAGATATTGCTGTAAAGAGCTTCATTGGTGGAACCTGATAGATAGAAAAGTTTGAAAAGCGCTGCGTCAGTCAAGCAATATGCTCGGTGGCAGCGATCGTTTCCCTCTTTAATAATCTTGTAATCGGGACGATTGGGTATCTCATCCGATGGGACTGTATATTTAGCTTGCTCAAAAAACCTTTTTCTGACTGCCACTCCGACCTCGATAAGGGGCTCTAGTACGGCACGCTCCTCCTCAAGCACTTCGACTTTTTCTTGTAGCTCATGTATCCTGGAACTGAACCGCTTGGTCTTTGATTGCTCTTCACAAAGAGCTTCTTCGATCTTGGCAGTTTGGCGCAATTCTCCTGTCGCTGAGTTCCTAAGTAGTGCTTCTTTTCTTTCAAGAAGCTTGCTATTATCTTGCGTCAAACTGTATACTTCATCCTTAAGCTCGCTTATCGTCGACTCTAGGACGTCGAATTTCTTCTGCATGACTTCCTTTTCTCTATTTATAGCGCGAACTCCAGGGGAACGCTTCTTGATATTTAAAGACTTCTCAAGCTCTCTTATTCGATCCTTGAGATCAAATGTCTCTGCTTCGAACAAGATGGCGGATTTCTCCATTTCCAGCAAAGACGCTAGGCTCTTTCTATTAGTTTCCGCTGCCTGATGAAGCTGATCCCAATACCATTGACATCGTGTGCGAAGGATGGCATTGCTCACTCGAATCTTCTTCATGACCTTGCACAGCTTCCTCGCACCCTCTGACATGTATGGGTAATTCGTGATGTCCCAGGATGATTTGCCTTGCAGGGTCTTGAACACAAATTCGAGCCTGGTAGAAGGCTTATCTTCATCTTCTTCTTCCTCTCTTCTGTTGACTATATTATAAGGCTTGGGTATCTTCTCGTAAGCTATAATGTGGCACTGGTTGCGTATTATAAATTCCAACTCCTCCGCATGTCCAGCTACAACATCCGGTAGTGATCGCGATTCTTCCTTTACCGATTTAGATTTCAGCAACTGAATTTCCGCCCGCAGTTCAGTCACTTCTTGGTCAAGAGTCGATGACTTCTCACACAAGATTGAGTTCTCTTTCCGAAGCTTCTCCAGCTCTTTGTTGCGGTCCGCCTTCAGATTTTTGTTTTCAAACTTGATTGCTTCGTATTTTTTTGTGAGATCCGCCAAATCCTTGCGACACTCAGCTTTTAGGTCTTCGACCAACTGCTGCTTTGACTCTGCCAGTCTCTTGATACATCGTAGATCTTCGATCATATACTGCCTGATGTCTTCCATCAGCGTCGCTGTCAGCTTTTCTGGAGCCTTGTCCACCTTGAATTTCAACACTGCCTGTTCCATCTCAGAAAATGAGGTTGTGACCACTACTTGATCTAAACAATTGTTTCCAGCGTCTGATGGGGCCATAAGTCGATCCAGCGTGGAACTGGCCGGTGATGAATAGTCTTTTGCCATCGGAAGGACCAAGGTTGGACGATGACTGGTCTCTATTGTCGTTAGAGTTGCTTCTTCTGCGGAATTTCCAAATGTAGTCTTCTTCTTTTTGGATTTATTCTTCTTCTTCTTCTTTGGCTGAGAAGATTCATCACGCTCCGCTGTAGACATTTTCTTAGCACAAATAGTATCCTTACCTCTGTGTGATTCATCGTCCGCAATCGAAGATCCATCCGCATTGAGTGGATTCTCGTCTAAATTTGTATTCGGGAAAAGGCTCAGTTGATTATCGGAGTGCCGAGTAATAACATGGTCGGAATCTTCTGATCGGTCAATGCTAGATCGAGAGCCCGTAGTTCCTAGATTGTCATCCAGAATGGAGTCCTCTTCTTGACGAATGCCCAACCCTGTTGATAAAGAATTAGCTCAGAGTGTCATTACATTTCCTGTTGAGAAGGTAGAATCACTTTTGGAATCCCGAGGAGATATACCTGCGGGATTTGAAGCATGTTGTATACTGGAGTCTTCAACATATGCTACGATCTTAGATAGCAGTTCTGGGTTCCTCTTGAATTCATTAATTGCCACAAGTCCGAACCTTTCGATCGCTGAAGTGATAGTTCTAGAGCAACCCAAGAAATTCTCCAAGTGTTCCTTATCTTGAAAGATCTTAAGGTCTATATGATCAGTAAGATGACCATTCAACTTCCAGAGTATTTCTTTGACTGTCCAGAGAGACGCAGCCTGTTGCCATAAGAATGGATTTTCTTCCATATAAGTCTCTACATGTCGGATTGAGCTCATGATTTCGGGTAGTTCCGCCGCGTTGCGTGCAGAGGTCGACATCGTTTCCAATGTCGCAGAGGGTGAAAAGGTTGACTTTGATTAGAATCTGTCAGCTAGTTGCCTTTTTCAAATCTCAAAGCACTCTCTGAAATTGAAATTTCTTGGGAGAAATAAAGATTGATTGTAATAAATTAGTATAAGTTGAAAGGGCGGATGAGATGAATACTATTGTATGTCGATAGACAATTCCATGTCGATAGACTATTCCAAAGTCTTTGCGACACAAGGAAACTGGAATGATTGTCGTCACACAAACTTGATTGATTGAAGAACACCAGATAGACGTCTTGAAATCAGATTATCTCATAGAAATATTTTGATGCTTGAAAGAGATAGTCACATGAGACAGAGCTTCATTCGACCATTAAAGTTTGTGTATGTGATAAATTGTTGTTATGAAGTCAGGTTCTAAATTTCCAAAGAAAGAAAACTAGTGGTCCGAGGTTGAACTGTGCTATGCTTAAGCGGCATCCGCCCTCTTCAACATTCACTTCTACTAACGTCGCATATGAATCCAAGCATATCCAAATAAAATTCCACCAAACTTTCGTTGAGCGACAGATATGGGGCCCAGTGGAAATGCTGCATCATCCCAGTGATAAGCTCAAAAGCAAGGAAAGCGATTTTTCGATGGCAGTTTATATATAATTGTCATCGACATGGCCTATTAATGTAATTTTTCAATCTGAAGACCTAATATTGAGAACTGTCTCATGATTTGCTGAGTGGCAAATGTATTGAGCGGATGTTTTGAGCCTGAAAATCTAGATTGTTAATGGCAGTATGTCAATCATACCTTTCTCGAAAATTGCGGTCTTCTTGCTTGGCTTGCCGAAAACTTTTCTTGCTTTAACACGATATCGTGCTAATTGAACATTGGGAATTGACACCCCAAGCAATGATGATTCTCTTCACGGAAAAGTAGAGACTGGAAAGCCCCCAGCCTCTTCTCGTCTTGATGTGACCGTTGTTGTCTGAGTTACCAGATCTTCCAGATGCTTTCATCATAGAATAGCTCACATAGTATTCAGGTGATACTTGCAAATTGGAGCGGCTATTGTTGTAATTCTAACAGTGGCGCTTCTTTGATCATCGAGATTAGGATACGAAGAGGCAAGAGCTATATAGGAGGAAAGAGACCCAGACATGAAGGAGACCATATAAGAGAGATTGGAGGAAGATGAGGATACCGCATTCATTTATGTAGGTATTTGACAAATGAATAAACACTTTGACTCGATTCAGTCATCACTCGAAATCTCCTGTGATACAATGCTATGCATTATGAGGCCCCTAAGAGTTTAGACTAGGAATATTATCGATCTGTCAAATCTCATATCTTCATAAGAAGAAAACCTTGCACAGTAGATCTTTTACGATCACGTGATAGATGCCACAATTTCGGTATGCTTTTGTTCGCAGGAGGTAACCACATTAGATGGAAAACTATCTCATTCATCAGAGAGGCCTAGTATTTGATACAAAGGCTAGACTCGATTCGCGGCTCTCCCGGGACGTATGAAGTTCGAACTACCCTTCCGAATTTCGAATTTCTTCCGAAAGCCTGTTGTATCAACTCGTCAAAATGCTAATTCGGAGCCCGATAAGCAGTGAGATGTGACAAGTGGGTAGTAGGTAGCCGATCCAGGGTCTGAAACAGTTCAAAGTACGCTACTGATCTTTCATTTCTGACACCGGTACCGGGATTCCTAGAAACAGAGAGATACCTTAGTACTTCAGCATAGAGACTCTCCATTTAGGATACCAGAAGGTGTTCAGGGCCCATCTAATCATCCCGTCTCTGGAAATTTAAGGGTCAGCTAAGATTTAGAAGAACAGTTTTAAATCCTGGCGATGGTGTCAAGAATATCATTGCCAAGGCCGTTGGAAATGAAGTTTGGGATGGTTGTATTTGCCGCAAATGATTGGTCAAAATGCGAGGGGTAATTCACATTCTTTGCTTGAAGAGCCTCAAAGTTGCACGTTGTCTTACAAGTTCTTGATGGCTGCATGAGCTGAAGTTTGGCGAAATTGGAAGTCTCGAAATAGAATCCAATCAAAATGCATTGTAACCACGTGACCTTAAACAAATCCGGGGTTTAACTGGCTCGCTAGTTGGTGCAACCCACTCTTTTATCCTTTAAAGAGTGATAAAGTATGGAGTAAGAACCCAAGCCTGACATCAATATACTCCAATATTGGGGAAAGAAAGCGCCAACACACCACTACCAGAAGCTGTGGTGGTGATTCAACCCACGTGGAATATTCTGATGCATGAAATGTAAGCCTTCGGTAATGACATGGATTCTGGCTTGTGGCTTTCTGGGCATCCCTTTTCCGACAAAAATGGGGTTGAAATATTGCTTTTCAGCATCTTGGCTTTCCGATAATAGGTCAGGCTTTCCTGTTGTCCCCAATTGAGGGCGTTGATACACTCATATATCATTATTTAGGCAACGACTTTTAGTTCATCGACGGATGATTGATTACATGGGAATCATTCGTGAAATTTGTAAAAATAGCATGAGCAGGAGGTTGTGATATTCAATTCTTATCTTTAAAAGATAAACATTGGGTGCTTACTATGGAAACACTTCGAGACGGGCTAACCCTCCCGCCTTGTAGTGTCTGTCATACAGAGCGTATATCAATATCATGGGATAAGTCAGCCTCAAGCCACCTTGGGTATTCTCCATTTCAATGGGTTTAACCCTTGCTCTAAGGGTCTCGGCATCCATCCATCTTTCTGTCACAAAATTTCGAATGCTAATTCTTCTCTGGAGTTGTGGAAGATGCCGGGAAAAGGATTGCTTGTGTTTCAAGGAATCTTTCCTTAATAACACCAACTTCTCGCATCAACTGTTCTGTTTACACGATTGAAATGATTTCTGCAAAGCCTTACTGACGTCCTTCTACCTCTCATCACAAAGAAATTTATTCATCGACGCTAGTTTGTGCCTGAAAGATTTCCCATTATGTCAACGTCGGTAGATATCAACCATCATTTCGATGGACAAAGGCATTGGTTCAAGCAGTTTACCTACACCAACCCTACCTTGAGGGATGCAGAGAAGGCAGGCCCCCTCGATCCAGCACCCACACACTTCCACAGAGATGTGTTAAATCGGGAGACATGGCGACCTCGAGATCTCCTTAGATATATCTCTCCTTCCTATGGCAAACCATATCATATGCTTGTACAAGCCGCTTCCAGTCCCGATCTCCAACCACAAGGAGAATGGAGGCGACGAAGTGTTGGAGGAAATGCACCCACACTTTTGAGGGTATCTTCATGGGCCATCGGAAATGAACTCGACTCGGCTCAAGATATAGCCTTGGCTATCGGAAGATCTATTCTTGTCCTTCCTATAATAATATGCATTGTTGTATATGGGATTACCAATGGCGATGGGAAAAACAGTGACAAATACACCAAGTTCCCTCATAAATGCTATGAGTATCCGAAGCATGCTCTGAATCAACTAGATGCTGCCCCAAATGCAGCGCACTCGATCAAAGGACAGCGCGAAGATGACGGAGATAAAACCTACATAATCAAGGGTGAACAGAATCGCCTTCTTCGACCTCGTGCCTTAGTTGTACTCCGTAAAAACAAATGGGTAGTTGTCGAAGATGGAAGTTTCTCTGGTCCATACATCTTCATTAGTTTTGCAGCCGCCCAATACCAAAGACCTGCCCCAACGGATCAAAACCCTGGAAACACTGAATTAAATAAAGAGGCCATTGATCAAAGAGCAAGAAAACTCACGTTGCATCATGGAATGGAGGCATATTGGGCAGACTTCCATGTAAGTCTTGATACTAAATTAGCGCAAGAACAACTACTGACTGTGTGTTAAAGTGCAGAGCGAATCAACAACCCGAAACCACTGACGATGTTCATCGATTCTGTGATGTCACCCGTGGGGCCCAGAAGGTCTGTGTTGTATTACCCGACCGTTCTCCACAAGCCCTAGTGTTCTTTGGTCAACGTCTCTGGTGTCTACCTGAAATCCTACTTGCCCGCGATCATAAAGTTAGTATCTGCACACCCGACTTTCAGAACAAGGACGATGTCGATAACATAGAAGTTGTTGATATCATGGAGTTCACGCATCGATCATGGGCAAGAATGCTCACCCCAAGCAATGAAATTATCCACGACGGAAATGACGAAATTTTCCGTCTGTTGGCTGAACACTATACTGGTTCTCTGACGTTAAGTCGGCTCGAGCTGATTCAAGTTGCCCTCAAAGCTTTGAAGTCTAGACAGTTTACAGAGTTTCAACGTGGTGATATTGCCTATGCTCTCATGACACTTCTCACGAAACGCCCCCGTATGGATCCTACTGATACAGAAGAACAAGCTCTTGCCCGATTGTCACTGGCCAACGATAGTGATCAAATCGTTGAGCGCATGGCTTGTATGGATGGCATTCGAATGACAGGTAAACCTGCGTGGTTCAATCTCGAAGATGATCTTGGTGCCAATCTATGGGATATTCAGCCTCTCTGTCAGGTAGCAGGTGTTTGCCATGATGGGTCCTTGATTCTAGATGGTGCCCATGCAATCTCCATTCGCTGGAAGGACATTCCCAGAATTTATTCTCTCAGAAGAAGATCTTGGAAGAAGCTGGGCGCTGATTGGGCGTTGGCGTTTGGACCAATTTTTTTTATTGCGGGATGCGTTTTGGTGGCTCAAGGTGGCTCAGTTGGTGGACTAGGGGCCTTCTTCTTAGTCCTAGGACTTATCATCTTGCTCTCAGCACCCTTTGCTGTGCGAATTCTCTACGGAGGGAAAGTTTGTAAGTAATATTCTATCTTCTTGACCGTCTGATACTAACAATAAAATAAGGGGGTGCCACACCTTGGCTTGTCGGCTTTGAAGGAACTCTTCCACTTGATCAGATCGAGACTCTGACTTTCGGAAACTCAATTGGACGTCTTCAATACACACCTTCCAGCGGTCCATACTGCACTGGTAAAGCAGATGAGAGAATCGGTGGGGAACCTCACTTTAGTGTTGCGGATCTTCCTCACGGTCATAGATTGTTCACATTGATTGATACCGTAAGTTTTTACCATTCTTCGGGTCTCAAACGGAAAACCAAGCTAATCACATAAATCTCAGGGCACAATGACTGTTACTGTTTTCTCCGCCGAGCGACCTCCATCTGTCGCTTTACTCGCGGGTAAAGAAGGAGGAATGTTACGAACGATACTGTGCTCTTACGAAAGATCTAATAATGGATTGCGTAAAGAATGTGTGCTGAGAATGGAGACCCCAATGTGGGATGCCAGCGATGCGATGGGGTGGGTCAAACTCACGTAGCGAATTGCGACGCATAATGACTATATGGTTTCTTTGTATGATAGGATATTGTTTTGGACATGATGGAAAATTAATTCTTAGGTTTGTTTGGATGAGCTTGGTGTAATGATGGACGGATGATACCTAATCAGTAATAATACTGTTGTTTTTGTTTTGCTTGCAACACTTGACTCATCAAACCCATGTTTGACGATTGACAAATTTCTCTTTGTCTGCTCTTGTAAATGCCAAGCAGTGAATCAAACAATGTACCTGGCAATTTTTGATTTGTGCAATTAGACACCAACTAGCCTGGTAGCATGAATTCTTTCTTGTGAAGGTAAGATCTTACAAACTGTCTACATATACCTAGGTGCAAACTATTAGAGAATGAATTAGCATAGAAGACTGAAGGAAAGTTCCAAAAATTTATTCTAGACAACTTGTTTCCTGTCATAGACACAAACTCGGAAAAGTTCATAAGAATGCGATAATCCTGTTTTCTAAATTAACAGTCAAAGAGTTGTATGAACTGCCACTCAGATTCACCAGCAATTATATATCAAATCAAGTTTTTTACTATTAAAAAATGAATAGTTTCAATTCACAAGATGCTACTACAGCAAGTGTGGACTCTCGGGGCGAATGTAGGCCGAGCGAATTTAGAATTAGATGAAACTACTGGAGTCGTTAATTTGACGCTTATATTGCATTAGAAATCTCATTTGCATGTACTGTACCCTGTTTTCAAACCTTGTTTGACAATTTACGTATAAGAGTATAGAACAGTTTAATTGCACCATCTTTCCAGAATCAAGGAACTCAAGTACAAAAGCAAGCAGCAGTCTTTAAAGTTGTATTGTTGAACTATTTTTTCTGCTCTCCCACACACAACCACAAAAAGAAACTACATTTTCACCAGGAATATCTTGGGATACATACAATTCCCACTTTACAATTCAAGTCTCCCCGAATTCCACTCCTTTTACAATTCAGCTGGCCTTGTAATGGTCACCTTCGTCGATTCCGTCTACAGATTCAGATTTTATCCGCGCCCCTACAATAAGATCTTATTTCAATCTAGACGACCCATCTCACCTACCTGTATCACTTCTTTCATCTCCAAGATCGCCACCAATGTCTACTCCTGTAGATTCCAGCCATGATGCAGATGAGGCCAGATTCCGCGCTCAGATTGTGAAGGAGTTGAGAGAGGAGATGCACGCTATGTTCATCTGTACCCAATGCCGAACCAAAGGAAACATAGTGGTAGTCACCGATGACACACTGCCAACGGGGGAGATACTGCCTGGGGATTCCTGGGCTTTAATGATGATTAAGCAAAACACTCGCTATGAGATGCACCCTTTGAGAGAAGAGCCAATCCTCTCGGGAAACGAGTCAGCTGCCCAATTGAGGAGAATACTGCAATCGACACTCGATGAAAACAGGGATTTAGAAGCACAGCGCAGTGCTGCGATTGAGATCATGGAACAAATGCGGAGTGATCACCATCAAGCAATGTCCCTGCAAATAAATGACTTTCAGGTGAGCATTAGAGAAATACAGGATCAGATTCAGAAAGAGAGGGATGCGACTACCGAGCGCTTGAGTCTAACAGTTGAGAAAAATCGACTGCTACAACAAAATTCTGTTTCGCTAGACTCAAATCTTGATAAGGTCATCGGAGCCTTGAAAGAAGAACGGAAGAAGAATCTTGGGCTGGTGTCTGATTATAAAAAATTGAGCGAAGAACATCAGCAGCTACAAGAAAATTCTGTTTCGCTAGACTCAAAGCATCAAGAGATCATGGGAAGCTTGAAAGAAGAACGGAAGAAGAATCTTGGGCTGGCGTCTGATTATGAAAAATTGAGCGAAGAACATCAGCAACTACGCTCAAATCACGAAGCACTCCAAGAAACCAGTGAGAGGGTCAAGCCCCTTCTAAGCATTGGGATAGCCTTGAGACTGAGGTGGCTTGAGAATATACACTTTATGTTCGAAGGTCACAATGGCAGAATGCTAGATGGACGCATTGTGGAGTCTGGTAATATCGCAGCTCACGACCCTAAATTCGAAGTGAGTAAAAGAGTTCCCATCCTTCATTAAAGAGTACACGATCACTAACATCCAATACAGGCGGACTCGTTACTGGTGCAGCACGCTGGTCTTTCGATTGAATCCATTGAGCGAGTCAACGAAAGTATGCAGCGAATATATGGGAAGAGACATGTACCAACATCAGCAGACTTATCGGTTCCGCACACATACCCTTCCGCTCTGATGTTTGTGCTGGACTGCAAGACCGCGGCTGCAATTCATCAATCTCGCGAGTTCCTGGTGGACTACCCATATCACCAAAAGCTTCGCTTGATTTTGAAAGAGATGATGGTTATTTGGGAGCGCGCAGAATCCCGCGAGAAATTTGAAAGCAGCACTAGGGTGGAAGAACTACGGAAAGAGGCGGTTCAGATCTGGGAAGCTGTGAAAATTGCATTTAAGAGTAGCAAGCGGAGAAGCCGGCCCCCAGATTAAGTGACCCTAAGATCCAGAGTAGGCAATAGTTTGAAGGATTAATTTACTGAATTTTGTACCATTATCTCAGGTTAAAATAGCGAATACAGTTTGGATTAATGTCCCTGGTGTTTCTAAATGAAGTTCATGATATGGATCTTATGTTTTAGTGCTAGTCTCAATGTGAAAGAACTATGTTTGAGTATCTCCCGCTGTCACATGTCATGTTCTTGTTCAGATAACAATGCGCGTTGAATAGGGTCTGAGATCAAAATAAACATTGTGTATTAGGCCCAAAAGTGTCTACTGTTGTTTCAAAATTTATAAGCTAGTACGCACCAGAAAGGATTGTTTTTTGAAAACCATAATCTACCATGCAGCACGCTCTTATTAGTCTAATCGTGGCTTTTTCCTCGTCTCTAAAGAGACGAGGAAACCTCTGAATGCATGCAGCACCAAATATTACGAATAATTTGCAATTTAGATGCTCAATATTCTGAATAACCATTAAAAAAGCTTATACTGTGTCAGGCGTTATTTCAACTCTATGAATGTTGCAACCCTATTTGAACTGTGCGTGAATTATATGGAAAGTGTATGGAAATCATATGGAAACTGTATGCGAACAGCTCAAGCTGTCTCCTATATATGTCTAACCATTTTTTATTCTAATAGCTCCTTTTTCATTCCTGCATCATCATTTGATACTCTAACCACATCAACAGAATATCAAACTATCTTCAAATCTTCAACTTCGAGACCATGTCTTCAAACAATCAAAACCCAATTGTCCCAGGGACAGTCCGAGCTTTGACAAACAAATGGCAAGCTGGAGGACAATCCAATTCACAACAGGCTAATCTCTCGTTGCTAGATGCTCTTCCTGATCGGAATTGCAGTCTTGCAGCCCAGCCCGTACCAAGCCCAGCTCTTGCAGTTGCTATCAACCGATGGGAGAATCGGACCGCACCCACTCCTGCGCAGCAGGCTCTTCAGCTGTTAAAAGCTCTTCCGGACCGGGAAACTGCCCTCATTTCTCAAAGCTCCCAGTCAAATGCTGTTGTTCGAGCTCCTAGAAGATCAACAAGTTTTGCGTTTTCCAGTTTACCTCCAGAGATTCGACTCAGGATTTGGAATTTCGTCATGTCGGAGCCTCAAACCATCAGAATCACTGACAATGCGATGAGACACAACAGAGCGCATTCCCGTCAGAACCCAGCCATCCTTTATGTAAATTACGAATCTAGAACGGAGGCTCTCAAGCAACTCAAGCGACTTTTCGGTGGCGTCAATGGCAATGGTTATCCTGCACAGTTCAAGTATTTCAATCCAAGTTTAGATTCTATTTTTTTTGATGGTGGCGCCACCCGAGTCTTTGAATTTCCACCTACTATCCTTCCCCCAGTTGCGGATCTCACTCACGAAGCACCGATGGCACAGGCTGACAATGTTGTTTCCATCCAAGTTGATGAAGATCAGATGGATCAAGCAGGACCCGCTGCATATTTCCGAAATCTCGAATGCTACAGAATTCAGTACAACTATTCTCGCCTCCCCGGGATCATGTTCGGACCTCCGTACCCAACAAACAATGCAGGAAGACAATTATTTGTACGCGACATACATAGGCAGATGGCTGCGGATACAAGAATGGCACGCGGGTGGTTTCAAACCCGACTCACTGCCGGCTTAATCAGTAGAGTTCCTAGAATCGAGATTTTGCTTACGCGGACCGACCAGCGCGTCGTCGATTCGACTGGTCAATACGCCATTGACTATTTCCGCGACAATCCCATGTGAGTAATACCACACAACGGTATTCATTTTATTTGCATGCGTTTTTCTTTGATGATTATTAACATATCATTTTCTTTCCTATTTCAATACAATATTTCTTTCACTTAAACCCCCTTATATCTTTCTTTGTCAAGTGACATTCATTCAATATCCCCGCAATTCTTTCGCTTGTAGTATTCCTCATGCTACAATTCATCTTTTGATTTCCACACAGTCCTTCCACATCGTCTAGATACCTTCGGTTATATAATAACAGATCCAACAAGTCTGTATGTACTCCTCTACAACTCAAGTGATCATATTAAACCGCGATATATCAGTGCTCAAATCAAATCCCTTCCAGCGATAGCTAGTCGTTCAAACTTCAAATTCTGTCTACAAAGAATTGATCTCTTCTCATTGACGGCTAAGGTAGCGGAAATTCTATATGTTCGTTCAGTAATGTCGTGTGAAGATTTGTTTTCCCTTAACCACATATACACAAAGGAATACATACATGCACAGAGAATTAATAAACGAGATTAGTACGCTCAATCCTTCACACTGATAATTCAACAGATCAATCGCTTCACTTATGTTGCAAAAATCCTAAATATATATATCTATTTTATCTACCTCATTTCTGTCTACACTCTCATTTTAATCTTGTTTTCAACAACCCCGCCGTCCCTCCACCTCTTATCATATCTCTTCAAATCTGCAACTTGCGGGACAGTTAAGCTCGCTGCTCTCTCTTCTCGTCTGATCATTATTTACAGCTAGTTCTATCCTTTGTTCTACTGGAATTATATTGGAACAATACACGATGATTCCCCAGAACTCTCTACAGAAACTTCATTGATTGAAAACTATCCTCAAACTAGATGAGGATAACACATTATGATTCACTATATATTAATGTATTTTCGTTAATGATATCCAGATTTCTCATCATAAAGCAATTTAGATAGACAAACACATCACACTACTATTTAGATACCTAGATACCTAGATACCTAGACACCCTACTTAGCCTTTATCCAAGACTATCTATCTACCTAGCTATCATGTCATTCTCCATGCTTCCTCCCGAGCTCCGAGCCATAATCTGGGAATTTGCACTTCCTAAACCAAGGTCACACATCGTCAAATCCAACCAAATGACGACCAAAAAGAAAAAGATTCCGGTTCTCTTTCAGATAAATCACGAATCTCGCGAGTTTGTTTTGAAACATATGCAACTTCTTTTTGAAGGTACTAATCTTGCTGGTTGTGAAGATTTTCATTTCATTTATTTCAATCCAAAGATCGATACGCTCTGTCTTTATGACATGGATGTCAATTTCAAGTTTTTCATCGGCCCTCGTAAGTTTTCCCAAAGAGGAGAGCCACACCCTGACACCTGGGAAGTTGCACCCATAAAAGAATGCGACATGGTCAAATCCCTCGAAATTAAAAAGGGGAGGAAGGCTACGCACTCTCTACTCAGTAAAACAGGGTATTTTCGAAACCTTGAAAGACTAGTCGTACGCTTTCAAAAATCTTTTGGAGAGTCTCTTTACCCACCGTTCTACTCAAGCCCAGCTCATCGAGCAAACACGATAATATTTTGGATGACCTCGTGGGCCATGTTTTACTACCGATTCTTTTCGCTACAGGTAACACGCGGAAAGATAGCCGCAATACCAGATATTGTTTTCATCATCACAAAAGCCGATGCTCGGTTCATTTTGTCTACTGGCGTATCAACCCTTGAGTTCTCTGGAACTCGGACTGTCATGAATAAGGCTGTTGAGAATAGGCTCAACAAGTGAAGGTCTTATCAATCCTACAATGTTTTGACTGAAGAGAGCAAGTAGTATTCCTAGTACTTTTCTTTTTTTTTGAAAAAAAAAAACACAAAAAAAACACAGAAAGCCAAAAAAAAATTGACGAGTACTTCGATTCCGAGCTCGAGTGAGTAACTCAGTCTTCGAGACGACCATTTCTTTCTCTTTCTAGCAAAATTAATAATCCTACTTTACTATAAACCCTGACCCCCTTTATACTCTGCACCAAGTGATACCTCCCTCTTGCGATATTTTACATCTACATTCATTCCATTGCGTAGCAAACAACCACACCATCACCTAATTACGTGTTACTTGTGCTCTTCTAGGCCTAATGTGATATCGTTGGCAGTCCGCCTCTCATTGGAAATGCCTTCAACCTTCTATTGTATTTTAATCTTGTCGAAATTGCGCTTTCTTAAACATAGAGCTTTCCACCATATACTCGCTCTCACTTACGTGATACATTCTCTCGTGATTCGGTTATGAAGAAATCTGTACTGCGAATCTGGCTTCGCAGTGTACTCTCTAACACTTTAGCACTGACTGATTCGTGACGTGATCTGTAGATGTAAAATTGAATGATATTAGCAGATATTGCGGCCATGGTAAGACAGTAGCTTTCCTGAAAACAGGCACACTGTCTGTAGAATGATAGCTATTTGTGTCTATCGTTCACTCATAATCCCAAACGATTGCACATATTAATCTCAAGAATGAGGTGAAATATGAGTAACATTTCCGATAGTTGTGAATTCGAGCATATGGGGGACCGGTGCTAGTTTTCTTATCTAGTTAAGACAACGGGTTTTTTCTCGAGTCATTGGACAATAGAAACCGGCTCTTTTTTTCAATAGGTTCATCTTTTCGTAATCATGTAGTAGTCAGTGCCGTACAAATTTGGAACTAGGTGCTCGAAATTTTCTCCTTTGACAGTAATGATTAGAGAACAACCCTGTGTGTGTCTCTTTGTCGTAGGCTGTTTACAGAAATAATTTTGAGAGTTCTGAAAGACTTCCCTCAAGTTCTTTGTGTGGTTGGACATAGACTTATAAACAATGCCATTGTTTCCGAGGTCGAGGATTAAACTTTTCAGTGCATCACAAAGGCTAACACACAATAGCACTATTCTGAACATCAAAAATTGTGCCAAAACAATTGATAGCAGTGTAGTATATATCTGTCGAATATATCACTTGATTATTTCTCCTCCAGTTCATTCCAATCATCCTTAGTCAGTAACAGCATTACCAACAACAGCCTTACTTTCCACATCTTTCCAGAAGACATTCCAAGAAACATTTCGAAACTTTCAAGTCTCGCAATTCCAACTTCTTACATCATGCCTTCCAGCAACTCTCAAGTCAATCTCACCATGGTCGAGGTCCGTCCAGGTGAGTTTAGACTCATGCCAAAATTCCCAACTCCAACTCCATCGACTCCTGAGTATGGAAACATCCCGATCAAGCTCGATCAATCCAACTCCAACAACAATGGCGGCAGCCGGCGTTAGGTTTTGGATCGAGGATCCGGGGACGGGAGATGAGGGTAAAAGGTCTTCATGAAGCTGGACTTCATGGACTTTGAGCCCTAGTGGTGCTCGCAACTCGAATAAAATCAAACGACTAGATGTCGTCTTTTCTTAATATCTTTAACAATTCCCAATTCAATATCAAGTGATAAAATGCCCTTCTCTCTTTTCTGCCATGCTAATATGCTAGTCTTTAATCGTACTCTTTCAAACTAATAGTCTTCCTCTGCTTTCTTCTTATTATTTTTACCAGTAAATTTGGAGCAAAAAAGGGCAAGATCTTACTAACAAATCGTCCCAGACTCAATTTGTGCTTAGTAACTCGATGTCAAAGCTAGAGAAAATGAACAAAAGCACTGTTTTCCTGTTCTTCCACTCACTTGATACAGATCATCCAGTTGAAAACTCACCAGCTATTATGTTATATCAACACTCCTTGTAAAGCTTGACCTACCTCCTTTCCACGTGCGAAGTTCGAATACCACCAACAACGTTGTTAATACTACCTGTCCAAAGCCCGCACTCAATTCCACAGAGCCTATCTACTCTGCGAACTCTTCGATACTTTTTCTGCAATTTCCGCCGTGCCATTCTTGAATGAAGATTGATGATGACAGGTGAAGTTTCTCGTGTGACAATCGTACTTCCGCTTTTTCGTTTAAGCTTCTTTAGTCTGTGGCTGTTATATTACTGTCATGTCATATTTAACCTCCAAACACCTTTCAGATTCTTTTTAGCTTTTATTTTTCTAGGAAAGAATCAATCGTTCACATTATAACCAATCTAATACTTTATCCGGTGTATATGACCGTCTGATACCTATGTCGTCCCAAGTGTTCGGCAGAGTCAAAGAAAAGTCAACGACAATGACATCAAATTGAAAATAGCTGATAAAGTAGCTCATGTTAGATCCATGAAATTATATCTCTGTAATTTTGATAGTCTTCCTTACTACTTGAATGTGTATCCTGTAAGGGTGAGCGCAAGGCAGAATGAAGAGTATTCTTGGTGCAACTATTTTTGCTTTCTGTATCCAAAGGAGAGAAAGGCTGTGGTTTTAAGAAGGCTGGGATGAAAATACATGCCTCTTTTAAGATTTCAAAGTCTACCCCACACGACATAAATATTATAATAATAGGTATATACACGCGTGTGAGGTCCGTTTCAACACAAACATTAATACCCTTCATAATAATGCTTTTGTTCGGTCTATAATTTCACAAGTGCGCAGACTCACAATCAAAGTCGACGAAATCTCTATCCTATAAATACATAGTCGTCTGGTTGCTAAGATTAAAATGGACCCAGCATATTGGATAGAGAGATGCCAACAGCTGGAAGCGCGCATAATTGAGCAAGACCGGGAGATAAAAGACAAAACACAACAACTAGAGGATGCAGACGAACACGCCAAATTCGTTGAGACCGAACGAAAGGCTCTAAAGCAAGAAATAAATGATATGAGAAACGAAATGGAAATCCAACGAAAAAACACAAACACATTGACTCACATTGGCGTTGCTGTACGGGTTCGTTTTCTTGAACATGCCAAAGCTCAGGTTATGGGTCTCCACAAACACAATTTCGATGCCAAATTTATTCGAAGAGGAAATGATGCGGCCCATAGGGCGTACGGCGCCGTAGATTCTGCTTTATTTACTGGAAACTATCTCACAGACCGCGAAAAGAGACAGCTGGAAGAGGTTTATGGTCTCATTTACGACGGCTTATCTCCTCAAAGTTATGGGAATATGCCACCACGCATGCTTCAAGCCATTGATCATCAGGGTAGTATTGTTTCACTTTATGCTTTGAACAATGGGTCGATGTCAATTCGGGATAAACAGGCTGCAGGCGATAGCATGGAGTTCTTGAAGAATAAGCGCATAGAGCTAGGAGATGAGGCATTTGAGAAGGACGAGGACGTTGCACGCCACTTACGGAGACTTGGAGAGTTCGCAGAAATTATCATCGCAAAATCTCGACGGCAGGGTGCTTTGACACATGGTGCCAACCCAGGAACACCTTCCTCTAGTTATGGACCTCCTCAAACTCCACCATTTTGCCAAAACCATCCCAGCCCTCCTCATCAACATCGTGGCAAGAGACCTAGAAGAGGTTAGAGTCCGTTAACTTGAGCTCAATGTGAGTTTCTACTTGATTTGGCTCCATGTTCTATTGAATTTACTGACGAGGTGATTTCAAAGAGTTCCAATGATTTCGTCATCTTGTCGCAATTATTACTCGATTAACAAAACACCATCACCACCACTTCTTTAAATATGCTTGTTCAGTCTCTCTCGATTTCGATTGTATATACAGTCAATTGGATTCTGAAGTTTGCCAAGCATTCAAGAAGGATATGTGCGAGTTCAACTTTGATCTGATAACATAAATGAGGGAAATTGCACCTTTCATAGAGAATCTTTGATTAGTATTTTGCGGAGAAATACTGGATGATTTCCCATTATATGTATTCATCCCAAGTTCTAAAATGTTATCATCTGAAGTGGGGAGTGAAGTTAGAAAGGGGCCTCGCTTAATCACTAGCATGGAGTGAATCCATGATTCATTGTGATCGAGGGTTGGTCAAACTTTTGACTGGCTCAAACTTTCTAATTTTCTCATTCACTCTTTTTGATACAGCAATGGTTAGATGGAGATAAGGTGACATTTTACTGAACAAGGATTTTGCACTTGTATATTAGTCTAATTGACATTGTCTTTTATTCTGCCTCACAAAGTTTGTTTGTTCTTGGTAGAAGTTTAAAGATAAAAATTGATTGTTATTCAGTGATGTTAAACCAAAAATCATGAGGCTAGCGGAGAGACATCCTCTACCTAGGTAGGCAAGCTCTCCGGGCACAGATCTTTTTTGAGTCTGATAGGGATGTAAATCAAAGAAGTGAATCCAAACGAGAATAAGTAGAGAATCACATCGGCTAGGAACAGTGACGTGTATGAATTATGACTATTAACAAGTAAGTAGGGTAGATAGCCTGGAGCTCGGACCTAATCTGCTCAATACTTTCTCTAGGAATCTTTCAACAAGCAACTACAACTTCAATTTCTCTTACCTTAATTATATTGTCTTAAAAAAGGCTCCAGATTTACAAGGCACACCTACTCATAACCCATAGCAGACTTGCCTTATCAACCAGAGTCCCCTTGAACTGACCAGTTCCGGTATCATGATTTCCGACAGAGATTTGAGAAGAGACCATGAGAGAGACAAAGATAAAGTTGTTGAGCTCAATAGACAAAACCAAGCGATTGAACTAATCCAACTCGACAATTTTTATCGCATGAAGAGTGGTGCCGTAAAGATTCACGATGATAAGTATGGTAGCAAGGAAAGATGGAGCAACATGATCATCGTGAGTTACTGGACAGCTCTGTATGGTCTGAAGATCAATGACTCACATATAATATAGGACGCCTCACAGAACAGTAATCTCTTAGCGCCGGCTGAATTTACAATCCAGGATAAACACGGCAAAAGACGTACAGTTAAAATTGGGCCTAAAACAAGCGCACATGATGTAAAGAGGGCTATTGATCTGTATGATGCGGCAAAGTACGAAGAGCAGAAGAAGAGAGAAATGGCTGATTGGGAGCGGAGTAAAGAGGAGTTTGGCTCTCGGTTGCGAGTAGGTTTTATTGTTATCCTTCCTAATCGCTCTATACTGATGATCTGTACAGGAAATTTTGAGGGAAAAAAATCACATTCTAGGATTCAGTCCGAGAGATGAATCCTTTGACGCATGCTTCAGTGATTTAGGCTACAGAGTGCACACAACCCCGGCGGATGTTACCTACCATACATCCTTTCGCCAGCCTATGCCAGACTTGAAGCTCGAGAGGGAAAATTCTCGACTGTCGGATCAACTTCGTGCTTCACAGAGACAGCTCACAGAAGCTAGGGAAGAATACAGAACCCTCGAATATGAAAATTACAAACTCATCCAAGAAAATGTAGAGGTTTCTGAATCTTTGGATTCAACACAGAAGCTTTTGGAACAGATTGCAGAGAATAGAGACGAGCATGTCAAGACAAATAGAAGGTATGCTGAAGAAAATAGAAAACTTGAATCTGAACTGGAGTCAGCCCAGGCACAAACACGAGCTCAGACACAACCACAACCACAGCCACGATCGTGGTGGCCATCAGCACGCAAAGTTACCTTCGATGATACCAGCGAAGAGTTGCGGGAGGAGGTCAAAAAATTGTCTAGGTCCTTGGAGAATATGAAGAGTGGTAGGGAGCCACACAACATTCTCCGAGATGTCGGAGTCGAAACTCGCCTCGAATTCCTACAACTTTCTAAGGCGCATGAATATCCTGTCATACGCCACCATACTCACCATAGAATTGTTTCCAGAAGTTCTACTCCAGAGATTAATGTGGATCTTGGTGCTAAGAGTACAAGTATTGATGGAAGTAGTCTATACGGAGGAGATATTCGAGCAGATGCGGCTCTTCTGAGCATCAACTCAAGTCATCGAGTCAAGTTCGAACAAACATTCAAAGACATTTACGGAGTTGCATTTAGCGAGGTTATAAAGGGCTGCTCTAACAAGTATGCTCCACAATGCAAGGTTACCGAGATGGCAAACTTGAGAGGAACGATGGCACACTTAGGATGTTTTACGAGACACACGCCTGATAAGGATGCCGACGATAGATTCTTGGCTTTGTCGGTATATTGTCAAGAAGAGTACGAAGACATAGATCGAAGATCAACATCAGCCCTCCAAGCGGCCAAGACATTCAGTAGCGATCTTAGAGTCATTGAAGCTTGTAACAAGATGAGTAGAATATGCGATACCCTTGTCGAAAGAACCAAGAGTGGTGGTCATCGTTCGATGTCATTTACAGGTGGCGGTGTTAGTGGTAAATACATTTGAGAGTGGGGCGGTGGAGGACTTAAGGACCGGAACTGGTGTCAGCAGTGGTAGTGGCGTTAGATAAAGGTACACGTATAGATCAGGAATGACGGGCAATGATTTTGTGGAGCAAAAGTATAGAGTAGCATGATTTGAGTACATACACTGTGCCAGAGCTGATTTTACGGTGGATAGCGATTAAAATAACCGGTTTCGTCTAATTCCACCAGCATAAAAGCGCATCAAGGTGCCATCCAATGACTTGAAAGTGAGAGTAAAATAAATGGAACTGCGCTAAAATTCACGATGGAAGTTTGAAGACGACAAGGTGATTTTAGTTTCTGAAAGACATATTCCTGGTCTAAATCTTTTGTCTTCATCATCCATGCATAACTCAGCAAGACTTATCACGCCATGTCTTCTCCATCAGTGCAATCCAAAGATCCCGCCAATCTAAGTATCAGAAAATGCCTATTATCAACTGTGTTTCGAATGTCAAAGAAACTTCTTGGAGGAGTTTGCCTTTATATTTGGAAGCTGCTGACTGCCCCTCTTTGTAAAGTTGTAGTGAGTTTACTATCCCAATTTTCCACTCATAAACAATTTGAAGGACGATAGTTGACATATTTTTGCAACAGAACTGCATCATCTCTCGTTATCACAAAGTCGCCGATACTGAAGCTGCAATTCACGCTCTCAAGGCACAACTGGTTGCTCAACACGGCAGCTTCGAGCAGGAACGCAAGACTTACAAAGATAGAGAGGCAATACTACAACAACAGCTGGACGAGTACAAGTCCAAATTCCTGGAGCTTGAGCGGAAAAGACCATTTCTAGAAAAGTTAGCAATAGTAGGCGCTGCTGTTCGTTGCCGTGCTCTGGAGCATGCGAAGGGCCGTAGGATCTTTGGGGAAGGAAAGGATAAGTTTACGAACATTCGTGGAGAGGTTGATGTGGAGGTTATTAAGAAGGGAAATGTCGCTTGTCATCGGGGGAATATAAAAGCGGACTACAGTCTCTATCAATTGGGATATAAGCATTTACAATCGTATGGGGCATTGTTTCATAGCATTTACGCGCTTAAACTAACTAATCGCATCATCAGATGTCTTACATCCAGTGAGGTCACAGAAGCTCTCGATCTACGAGGTACAATGTCATTTTGTTTCTCATTCACAGATTCAACCAGATCTACAAGCCACGATGCCCGCTTTTCTTCCTTGTCTCGGGAGTTAGTAAATATGGTGATCCATGCGATGAATGCGCATACCAACTTAGGATTACTTGATGAAGATCTCAAGGTAGAAGAGAATCTGATTTCGATGCGCAATATTGTAGATGAAATCAGCATATTAGATAAAAGATGGAGAAACAGTCGTCGAGATATCGAATTTAGCTTTTGAAAAGAAGGTCTTCATCAATCCATCTAATCTCATGTGCCCACATCCTCCTGCATTGATGATACTTGTGTATGTAGAACTAACGCGTGAATAGATAACATCCATAATGTTACTTTTACTTTACATCAAACAATCGAGATAATTCACCCTCAAGTAACCCCCGAAAAGTGAATGGAGTAGATTGTGATTCGATTAACTTGAGGGTGGGGATACTTATCACTTCGTGTGTCTTTTAAAGTCTTGAGCAGGACAACTCCAGTTCCCATTTTCCATCTGCATCTCATACTCTTCACGATGATAGATCCCGATCTTCCTCAAGAGGCCCTCGCCACCTTGAACGAAGAGGAAAGTCAACTCTTGAAATTGCACGGCAAATCCAATGCTCTCGATGTCAATCTTCTACGCGCCAGCTACGAGCACCAGCAGAAACTGAACAGTTTTGCAGCCAGGAAGGATAGCTGGCACGAGAGTGTTAATCAATTGTTCAAGGTAAAATTGATTACAACAGGTCACTTCGATAAAGTACTAATTATCTTCAAGAGCTTTCTAGGATTACTTTCTGGTGGTCAAACACAATTGAATTTGATAAAAGTCACACATGATAATATCGAACTTACTCTAGGAACGCAAGATGATGAGCATATTATCAACAAAGCATGGGAAGAAGGCATGACAAGTCTGGTCGAGAGTCTTATGGCCGAAAAGTCTAGAACTATTTCTACTTACTGCGAGCAGAAAAAGGTAAGCAAGTATCATAAAAACTCTCATAGCTTGATAAATAATGATTGCTAACTGGCGGTCCATGAATCAGGAGATCTTAAAAAGTATCGAAGTCCTTCTAGATATCCCAGAGTCTTTGATCTCTACTATTGATAATAATACTGAAGCTTCCACCGATCACACTCATCAGTCATTAGTCACCGTCTTAGCTGAAAATGCTTCTCTCAAATTAAAACTTGCAAAGGCCGAACAGGAATTATTACAAGCTCAAAGCAACAGATCCGGGAATTCCGCTACCTCATCACAAGAACTCTTAGACTTGAAGCAGAGATTAGAACAGGTTGAAGACGAAAAGGCTGAACTTGTGTTGGGACTTTCCGCTACCGAGGATGAACTTGAATCGACACGGGCGTCGCTTGCGGATGCACACACAGAGATCGAGAGCCTAGAATACAAGCTGAATGGGAAGAATCATCCAAATCATGATCTTCGTACACTTGCTGTTAATGTCCGCCTTCGCTTTCTGAACCAAGCAACTCGACGCAACAATCATAGCAACTACACAGCAGTACGTGGTATTAAAGTCACCGACTTGGGCGCCATTGAGCGCGGCTCAGCTGCTGTACATGGTGGAAATGTTCGAACTGATGCCTTTATGATTCGAAATAACATTCACAACAAGTTCAACGATGGCTATGAATCGCTGTTCTTGCGTGTATATGGTGTCTCTGTTGACGAGGTTTCTCAAGGAAGAGATGGCAAATATTGTCTTGGCTCCAAACATGTCGAAATAGCGGATTTGAGAGGCACAATGTCACACTGTTGTTCGTTCTCCGAACTTACACACAGTACGGAAATGGATGATAGGTTTGATATTCTACGATCTCTGTGTGATATCATTTATCAACAATATTTCGCACAATTAGGATCGACAGCTAAAGCACAAGATGCATTCAATGAAGACCCGACCGTCGATGTACACCTCATTGCCATGCGAAATATATCTGATCGCATTGTTGGCTTGGAGAAGCAAAGACTCAGGAGCGATGAAAGCTTTAAGGATTGGTTGTTATCTGAACAGAGAATGGCTCTGATTGGTTAGCCAAATTAGGATGAAATATGCAAGCCTGTGGAAAGCTTTGGAGCAAACACAGATCTGCGGTTGCATTATGGCGACGGCAAAATCAAACACAATCAAAACAAATCATCGCTCAATATCTATGTGACTAATTGCAAGGGGTCTCTAATAATACATGTCTGCTATTGAATAGTGTGCTGCTACTACCATGTCCCTTCCAGCTAACGGATTCAATTCTCCATCTTTACTCTTTCCAGCTAATCCCCAGCCTCCAGATTCTCAAAAGTCCAAGTTTGATTTGGGCTCCACTGTCTCTCGACATTCTACGGTCTTCCGAATTACCTAATAACTGATCAGCCTATACGTTCGCTGTTTGCATGAAGATTGCTTCAGGTACGGTCATAATACTGCTGCTATCTGACAGCCGTACTTGAAAGCATCAAGCACTCTGTAGTAGTGAACTATTCATCCCTTGGGTATTTAAGAACCATGCAAGACCTAAACCTAACTTCATATTTGTTACATAACCTGCGATACCAGTCCATCAACACCAATACACCGGCACCAAAATATCGACATCACCACGTCGACATCTGTACTTCAATCACAAAAAACCACCACTTAAAGTCTTGCTACCATGACGTTCCTTGGTCCTTCTACCACTAAGAAAGTCAAGGGCATAAAATTCTCTATTCAAGAGGATATTAGAGTAAGTACTATCTCAACCTCATCACAAGATCACAAATTCCCAATCTATAATGCTGATCGTTTTTTCAATCTAGCGACCACTCGGCCTCCTTAGTCAAAATATTAACCGCGCAAATCCCACTACCGAAAGCTCCAGCTCCTACGTAACCAACGAATCCAAGAAAGCCATATCCGTCTTGATAAACCAGCATGAGCAAGCCAAGTCGGAGCTCGAGAACCACAAATCATCCGAGTCGAGAATGAAGAATGAAGTCGAAGAACTGCGCACACAAATCCAGGAGCTTCATGATACCATCAAACATGACCAGGATGATCTGAGAGAATTGAATCAAATTATCGAGGGGGGCATGCAAGGATCCTCTACTGTTCCCGATACACAGGAAGCCCTTTTCGAAAAGCTAATCGCCAGAGAAACTGTTATTGATCGAGAAATCTTCAATCTCCGGGATGATAAAGTTATTTCGAGAGCTGAACTTTGGTTTGCTGCTGTGGGGAGAGTAGACGAATCAGTTGAACATCTTGATCAAGCTAGCCGAGATAGAAACCTAGCAATGCGCAAGGAAATGTACATTAGAACCAAGCGTTCTATTGCTCAGGACACAAGAGCTGCGCTATTATCAACAAAAGAGGATATTCGAAAGCAGAAACTCGAGATATTCCGCAATGATAATGTCGAAGGTCACGTACCACTTGCTCCTCCTTCGGCAAATTCCATGGATAGCGATCAGGTCTCCTTTGTAGCAGGAACTCCACTTGATGATCCTTTTGTCGAAAACGCTTCGCAGAATCGAGATGACTCTTGGGCTACAATCGATGGGGGAGAATCCTCTTATGTACTGAGTCGCATCTTTAGTGAAGACAATCGGACAGTACAAGACAGTCGTAGAACAACTATCAGCAGAGAACAATCTTCCAACGTCCTGGGCGGTATATTTGGTCAAGACACGCAGACAGTAGAAGATAGTCATAGGGCAACAATCGAAGAGAACAGATCTCTCAGACTCCAAATCCAGACTACGGAGCGAAAAGTCCAAGAATGGGAGGGAAATTTCGATCGCTTCAAACTCGAAACTCAAGCCAAAATTCAAAGACTAGCATCTGAAGTTTCTTTTAGTGAAGGCTCTCTTCAAGAGTACAAGAACGCTTTAGAAGACGCTGATGAAGTGCGCGGACAACTGGTACATGATCTAAAACAGATAGAAGAAGACAAAGACCGACTTTGTGTTATAGTCGAAGAGGTCGGCCTTCCTATCTTAGCACGAAATGCAGAGAATATGAAGCGAATCAAGCGCGATGGCGCTTTTACATCACTCGGCAACAGTCATCTTCCATTCAACGAAACTCTTGTGCACAATGGAAATTATGCCGCAACTGGAGGTCACATCGATGCACATCTTTCGTCTATTCTTCTATGCGAGAAGGAAATTGTGAGCGGTCCCGTCATCAGCCATGAAATGTTTCTTAACATGTATGGCGTTTCTGTTGGTGAATACCGTCACTTGTACAAAGTATCTGAAAGACTGGATGAGATGTTCAATATGCACGCCATGCTTGTAGAATCTGGTTCTTTTACTGAAAAGACACTTTCCGAGACTCGAGACTCTTTATTTCAAAACTTGTTTACACAGGGTTTGCTTCAATTCGATGCGATTGAGGCACCTAACGCGAAGGAGAAAGGTCGTATTTTCGACTCGCAGGATGGAGAGGACCAAATCCAAACATTCAATGAAATGTTGGAGATTGTGCAGGATATCAAGCGAATGCAAAGGGATGCAAAATTAGAACCGGTGCCTGAGCAATTGGTTTCTGAGGAACCGGGTTCTGAGGAATCAGGTTCTGAGCATTCCGCTTCTGGACCGGCTTCTGAATCCTGATCCAACTAGCCTGAGAATATTAAGAAACCTATAGAGAGGTCGATTAGATTCTCTCCGATCGATTCTTTCAAACGGTAGAAGTTGAGGTTCTGATCTTTTTTTGACAGGGGAAATGAAGGATGATGGCTGTACCAGCAGAATGATAAAATAAGATCTTCTAGAATGAGAACAACACTTGACTATAGTGCGCATATCAACTAGACACGTGAATATTTCAATTGCAACTATGGGTGACTCTTCTTCAGCCCATTTAACTACCTACTTGAAGCTGAGACGGTAAGGCTGTCAAACTAAGTGATAGTATGTCATGTCTCCATATGTAAATTACCCCGCTGTTAACAATCAACCAAGGATCTACATTCACTAAGCAACAAGGCAACAAGAGCACTATACACTTACCACGGAAATATAACTAGTATTCAACCAAATGAGAGTTTTCAGCTTTACCCCCAAGATAAAAAGGGCGAGCGCTTCGTCTTTGAACATAATAGGTAGCATTACTTAACCTCAGATAAAATTCTCGCTTAGCATTTTCTCAAAACTATCGTATATCCCACACGCGACTTCGCAACCAAAACTGTAGGGATATCGATCATGTGATCAAAAGATGGCACTGTATTAACTAGCGTATACGCTAGCACTTCACTATATTAAATACTAGCTTCCCATAGATAATAATGATCAAGAACGAATACAACCATAATGGACTAAAGTACTTACACTTATCAATCAAGTTGATACCAACAAAACATTCTTTCCTTTCCTCCTTCAACAACTGCTGCTTACCTTTCATTTTCCTAAAATCCTCAATTCCCAAGATCACCGTGCCGTTCCGCGATCATGCACAACACTACTCCTGCTGCTCTTGCAGTGATTAGGTCCCATAAAACAGATGCTCCTTCTGTCATAAACCTCGCTGAGGAGTTTCAAAGACTTCAGCATGAGTATGAAGATATCAATGGAGATAAGTTTGAACAAGCCATTCAGAGCAAGCTTCTCGAGCAGAGAAAAGCTTTTCTTCACCATCTTGAGTCTATGTTCTCTGTAAGTGGAAAATTCACTGCCCTCTTCGAATCGGCACGTTGATTCCTTTGCTGATATATTTTGTAGGAAATCAACGACTTTTCCAATCGAAAAATTCAAGAAACAAACGCCAAATTCGGTTTCACCTTACCACTTGAGGAACTGAAGAAAGTTTCTTATTCGAATATCGCTGAGCACGAGCGGCGATTTATTGCCAAAGAGAGAGAGTGTGCTGCTGTCCAGAAGAAACATTTGAAGGAGCGCTTAGAAGTAAGGATTGACTCTACAACTTTCATGATAAGTCCAATACTGACTTCGATAAGGAAATCAAATTTCAAATTTCATCCGCACTGGGGATCACCGTCACTGCGAATCCATCCTCGCTCACCCAAACTACCCAAAGCCCCGATAATACAATCAAAATCGCACAGCTTCTTGAAAGCAACCGCTCTCTCCAAAACGAACTCGAAGTCTCAAAACAAACCGTGATCAAACTTGAAGCTGAAAAGAAGCAAGACAATAGAACCATTGTTAGATTACAGACCCTCAACCACGAAGTCCGACAGGAAAACGCCACTCTCAAAGAAGAATTGAAACAACTCAAAGAAAATATCTCACACTATGAAGTGGTCGCAAACTCTTGTTCTCGTGTCCGTGCCGGGTACCACAATACTGGACACGTTTACTGCGACGGTGACGTATTCTATAACATCAAAGGCCACCCTCCAGCCAACAGAGAGGTGATCGATCGTCGTAACAATGCTTGCCATCAAGGAGACATCGCGGCCGATTATGCGTTGTTCAAGATCGATCCAAATCGTGCTGGTTGGAGTACTGGAGGGGAGCGCTATATGGATTTCACAAATGCGTATCGCGTGACACCGCATCAATGGGCGAAGATTCTCTTAGTTTCCAAGGCGCGCCCCGATCGGGTTCTCCTTGAAGTTCTCAACATGCATGGTACGATGTACCGTTGTTACGCCAACACAAAATACACCCACAACCCCCAAAATGATGTAACTTTCAATGTCCTCTTCGCAAAGCTTTTCAAGAGATACAAGGATCTGTTGGCAACTGCAAACCAACTCCCTTCGGCCACACGATACGAAAACCTTGTCACCTTTGTCAAGCAAGCTGCGAACGATCGGGGGGAAATGGGGGAAATAGTTCGAAGAACTGTTGCTCACGAGAAAGCTCGGTGCTTCGAACAAGCCCGGGTGGTTTCGCCATACATTCTTCCAAGAAGAAGCCAATACAACGCGGCCAGTGTAGGCAATAGTATTCCCCGTAATCCGTATACGGGTTAGTTTAGTGGTGCGTATCAATTCTTTTCGAAACACATCCGTATGTGGTATAGAATACAATACTACTGAAAGTATTCAATATCATTTACTTATTCAATACTACTAGCAATATACTGAAATACTGGAATTCATTATAAAATATCCATTCCTATTCATTTTAGGCTATGGAATGGCTATTTTATATAGCTTTTACTAAGGGATGAACATTCCATAGTCTAATATGAATAGGAATGAATATTTTATAATGAATTCCAGTATTTCAGTATATTGCTAGTATTCTTTAGATATATAAATGCATACGAGAGTGGTATAACCCCCTTTCCAAACGTACTAGCTGCAATATCAATATACTAATACGCGCCACAGTTTCACTGTAGTATACTAATGCCTACACTGAACGCGGCAGGCTTTGAGTCGGCGAAGGGAGGACAATCCTGGTGGTAGAAGTTGCTCGATACATTCCTATTGTACTTTCTACCTTTTGTTTAAATGGATAGATAGTCCCTGGTTCCGAGGAACCCAACCATTCATTGCAGCTAGCATGCAGAGGGCATGCGTTTTACCACATTAAATTGTGCCAAATTAGTCAAAGACTAGATAGAAAATCAAAATTCATTCATAATGAACCTGCAGCCGGCTGGAAACTCCTGAATTCCCAACACACGTACGCTTACGCATACATCCACTCATAACCCCCCCACCCCACCCCCATCCCGTCCCCAACATCTCATTCATACCTACCGACCTACCTACCTAATACCTACCTAACACCCACCCACCTAATACCCACCTCTACCTAGTACTCGAACTCCAACAATAAACACATTCCAACCATATACCCAAGCCCAATCCAATCCCGCTTCCCTTCCTTAACTTACCCACGTTTGTAAATACAACAAATAGATACCATACTTACTTCATTCCAGTACACCCACCTACCTAATTTCTACTTTTCATTTCCATAGTTGCTCACACCTGATTGATGAATGAATAATAAGCATCGCATCCTGCTAATGGATAGGTAGACAAACAATATTCAGAGGGAAGGCATTCATTATATTCTCCTAATCACGAATACAGAACAAGATCGTATATGATATACCAAACAACAAGTACCGTAAAACATAATCATCTATCATACCGAATCAATACACACAGACAAACAAACAAGCTTCAGCCCTCACATTCTTTGGGGTAGCTTATACAACAAAATACATCTCCTTATGCTATCAATTGTTTGCTCAAGCAACCCTGTAATAATAAAAAGACCTATCGAACGCCATGCTTAATTTTCAATGCATCCAGCCTCTCAATATTCCAACCCACCCCTCGTCGCTAATATCCGGTATACGACTCCTATTGAGTCGAACGTGGTGAATCGGGGTCTTCTTGACTTGGTTTGCCAACCTTTTGCATCGCCTCGATATCCAATATTGTGTCATTGAATACTCTGGTTAATCCGACACATATTGTACTTCTGTTCCACTCCCCTCTCATCTTCCATATGTAGTCCATTAATTCACGATATATTTGTTCCAATTGTTCAATCGAACAACCACTTGATCCGTCGGTGAGTTTGTCCAGTAGTTCATTCGCAAGAAATTCATTGAAGATATATGTCTTTTGAGAAGATGATTGCGTAGAACTGGCTTCAACGAGCGAATCATCCGTCACCCCATTATCTTGGGAATTTCGTGAAGGAGCATTGAACGGTGGTACAGGCGGTTTGTCTTGTGAATTGCGTGTACTTGGCGTCTGAGATGGAAACCCAAGATGACCACGCGCAAGAGCATGTGCTTGTGAGTGAAGCCATTCCTCGTTGCTACTTCTTTCTCCCTCGGCTACATTTGTGTTTTGCGTGCTTGCGTTCTGTGAGTACCTCTGTGTGTCCAATAGATCAGCATCGTGTCTCTGCCCATCTATCGGACTTGAGGCGCCAGGGCGAGTCCCGTTTGTAGCCTGCGTACTCCAATTTGCCGAGGTTCTCTTTGAAGTCGTTGCCTCTGATGTTTTCTTTCCAGAACTTGTTGGAGAAGCATTGTTCACCAATGCGCCGATAGACGTGTCATGTGAGATTTCCTGCCAAGCAGACCGCTGAGAATTGAATACAGTGGCAACGTTCGACATGCTCGAAGGTGCCATTGCTGATTTGGGTGGCCATTGCTGACGTGGTAGAGCAGGAGAACTCTGAGAATAATCTGAGGCATTGTCGTTTGTCCCACTCATCAAAGAATCCTCGCCACTTGCTCGAGATGGCACAGAAGATCCGTTGATGAAAGATCGTTGGATGATAGCATTCTGCTCACTGCTTCCTTGAGTGATATCGGGGTTAAATGCTTGGAAAGATGGAACAGCAGAACCAGGGCGTCTGCCAGGAACAATTTGGTTCAAGTTTATTGCTCCAGGAGAATTTGATCCCAAGCCATATTCCTCCGAGAAGATATCTGAACGCACTAGATCCGTCCCAACGATCCCTTGAGCCTTCTTTCCATATTTCGCCTCCATTTCCTTGGTTCGTTGTAGTTGACGACGGTATAAGTTCTCGCAATCTGCAAACTTAGGATCTTGCTCGTACGCGTAAAGATCGACTTCAACATTAGCAAGCATTTCCTTAGCCCTCAGAAGACGGTCTTTGTCGCCAATAGCCTTGGCATCTCTAACAAGTGTTTTGATATCGAATACAAAATCCTTTGGTCGCGCGTAAAAACCATTAACTAATCGTTCCTCGATCGTAGTGGTATCTAAATTGTAATATATCTTTCCACTCGCCGTTTCACGAAGACATTTGTTTCCTTTTTTATCAACAGCTAACTCAAATGGTCGGAATTGAGGTATATCTGGTTGGACGTAGTTTGGATCTTGCTCATCAAAGAGGTACTGGAACTGACTGTTCTGAAGAACAGGCGTTCGGAACTTCCTGTACTTTCTATGGATTTGATCCATGATAGGTTGAATTTGTACCTTCAAAAGATTCAGTATGTGGAGATCAGCCTTCAATCGTGCCTTGATATCTTCTTTGGAAGGCCCTTTTGGTGGCGGCGGTGGTGGAGCCAGCTCGAGCGGTTCAAGCTTACGCTTCTTACGATTGGCTGGATCTGGGAATTCGTTTGGTGTTTTGCTCAAATACGAAATAATGCTCTGAAAGAATTCCTTTCGTAACTCCTGTGGATTTCATTAATGATTTGCAAACAACAGGCATACAATGTCACTTACTTTCTGTGGTCGATCGATGGTGAAGCGGTTGCGTCTTGAAAATCCAAATATATCACGCAGCATATTTGGATTATGCTCATCCGAGCCAGTGTTTGTTATACCGAGAACTAACACAGGATCTGAAGATGGGATCGCATTGAGTAGACCAAGGAATGTGGTAATAACATTTTCAGGAAGAGTGCGATACCAAGTATCAATTGCTGGCAGGTAGATAACGCTTGGTTTATGGCGTTTGACTTCTGCAAATAACTGAACGATAGCTGTCTCCGCGGACTAATTTTACGTCAGTATACAAATCAAAGCATACGGAAAAGAATGCATACCCTAGTCGAATCTAGATATATAGTTGGAAGGTCAAAACTCTGAACATGTAGTCCCTCGAAATGATTCAATAAAGCACCCCCAATATACGCTTGACCCATGCCAGGCTCACCGTCAATGAGTAATCTTGGGCGGAATACTCGTGACTTCTCAAACTCTTGGGCCATTTCTTCTCTACTAAACCCTCCATCTTCGTCTTCGTATTGTTCATACATTGCTTCTTCCAAGGCAGTTGTCTTCTTCTTGATGGGTATTAAATTATCAACAATGTCTTCGATAGACTTAAGTTGGTCTCGAAGGAGAGGCTCAACATTCTTTGGCAATGGTTTGGCTCCCGAAGAAGTTGAACGCTCAGACGATGGTACAATCTTCTTGACGGAGATCATAAAATCCTTGGCCGTTACCTTAATTTTCGAGGTGTCCACCTTGAGCTTATCATTGGAAGAATAGATTTGAGGATATGAACGTTGGATAGAATTGAGGGCAGCTTGTGTACACAGTGCACGAAGATCAGCACCACCATAGCCCTTGGTAACTTGGGCTAAAGAAGTCTTGAAACTATCATCGATTCCCCAATCCTTTGTATGAATGTTGATGATTGATTTTCGACCCTCGATGTCAGGCAATGGAAAATAAAATTCTCGATCAAATCGACCTGGTCTTCTCAAGGCTGGGTCGATGTTATCGGGTCTGTTTGTTGCTCCAATGACAATAACTTGTCCTCGACCATCCATACCATCCATAAGTGCCAAGAGGGTAGAAACAATAGAAGCATGGATCTGCTCTTGCTTACTTGATCGAACAGGTGCGAGACCATCGATTTCATCAAAGAAAATGATACTTGGCTGTGTTCTCCTCGCCTCTTCGAATAACAATCGAAGCTGTCTCTCGGCTTCACCAACCCATTTACTTAATGCATCAGCACCCTTCCGCATGTAGAATGTGACTTTCTGACCACCTGATCCCACGGTCGCTGCTAGAGCCCTTGCCAGAAGTGTTTTACCAGTACCAGGTGGGCCGTGAAATAGTACACCACGGGGAGGTGTTACGTGGAACTTCTGGAAAAGTTCAGGATACAACAAAGGCATTTGTACCATTTCCTTAAGCTGTTCAATGTGCCCTTCGAGTCCACCGACTTTGCTGAAATCAACGTCTTGATCGACGCCGAGAGGATCTGCATCCGCGAGGGCTTTCTGGCTTTTGACTCTTCCAACCTGTGCACCAACGCCGATTGGAGTCTGATCGAGTTGATTTGCTTGCGGCATAAATGGGAGTAATCCATGCCTTGCAGAGGTGGGTGTCATCGCAACGCCCGGAACAGCTGGATGTTGCATATTCTCGTCATCGCTATCATCTGAATCAGCGCCGATAGCACCGCTACCCCAAGGGCCACCAATGAGCGGAGCTGGTCCAATTCCGCCTCCAAAAGGACCATAAGTTGCATGTAAATTATGTTCCCATGGTTTGCTTGCACCACCACGAACGGCACGACCCCTAGCAGAAGGGGCTGGCGCTGACTCTTCTAAATCATCATCTTGAGCATATATCTGATCCATTGGTTTGATTGTATAGTCCACTTGCTTCCGTTCACGGCGCCCTTTTGGCTCGTAGGCAATTTCCGGTTCGCGATTGCGACGTCTTCGAGATGGTCTTAGTTCTTGAAGTTCATCTGCCAATTCTTCTGCATCTAGCTCATCGTCCTCATCCGATATATTACCACGTCTGCGAGAAGTACTCTTCGATTTTGCTCGCCTTGCATTCCTTCCGGGTCTCGATGAGCTCGAGTACTCGCCATCATCATCTCCTCCCTTCTTCGGCGAGGCATTAGATGCAGACATCTCTTCCTCGGAAGCTTCACCTTCGGGTGTAAAGTCACTACCATCATCTTTATTTCTCTTCGAACCTCGAGTTCTTAGGCGTCGAGAACCACTAGCTAAATCTTCGGTCGTTTCAACTACTTCTGCTGCATCCTGTCCCGCATTGCTTGACCTGGACGCTCTTGCACGAGTTCTTGTGACAGGTTCGTCATCATCATCGTCATCATGGGTGGCTGCAGTTTCTACCAGGACCCCGTCAACAGCGAGTTCGTCCACCATATCGTCATCTGCCGGCGCACTGGCAGGGGGATTAAATGACTCGGTATTATCGTCCTCTCCGTCGTCAGTTCCAATTATCTCAGGCTGCGGTTGCATTATTATATCCTCGTCTTCGCCTTCGGCATCTAGTTGCGGGTCTTCATATGAGCTCGTCTCGTGTGTCTCTTCTTTGATAGTAGAGGTCGCAGGTTGTTTGAGACCTTTCGCTCCTCTGCTGGCCCTCATGCGACCGATCGGTTCAGGTGATCTCGAAGCCCGGATTACGTGTCTTCCAGAATTTGATAATGAAGGGAAGTCTTCGCCTTCCTCGGTACGAGCGCGAGTGCTTCTTCGAAGTCCAGCCGATGTAGGTTCCGCGCTTGCTCGAGTTCTTGCAGCACTTCCTGCCCTTGTATTTCGAGCGGGCGTGTTCCCGGTGGGCATCTTGAGTTTTAGCAGAAACGATTTCTTTTCCAATTTCTTTTCCGATTTCTTTTCCGATTTCTTTTCCGATGCCTTTTCCACTGACTTATTGCGCTTCGAAATGGGTTCTACGATCTCGTCTTCGTCCTCCTCCTCACCATCATCTACCACGCGCGTTCGCTTATTCGATTTCCTTGGACGAACTTCTTCCTCGGATTCCTGGATCAAATCTTCCTCGCTTTCACTCTCTTCGTAAGTGACAGCTTTTTTCGCAGCCTTTCGCACAGCTCTTCCGGTCTTTGCGTTCATCTCAAAGTCCTCTTCTTCTTCTTCTGATTCTATGAAAGATTCTTCCGACACACTTTCATCCTCGTCATCAATGTCTGAATCCCTGTATTTAGTCTTCTTTCGTGGGCCACCTTTCTTTTGCGGCTGGGACCTTGACTTTTTCGGGGACTTTCGTGGAGGAGCAGCTTCGGTAGGAGAGAAATCGTCGTCGTTCGAGTCGGACTTATTAGGGTCAAAGGTTTCGAATTTGCGGTACTTCGCTGGCATAGCGGTGGACCAATCTTAAATAAAGCTTCGAAGTCGGAAGGAAACCGTAGAGAAATGGCTTAGAGCGATGGTGATTCGACGGAATTCACTGTTTGTTAAAACATTGATAGTTTCGCGCGCTGCTGTAAATAAAGTTCCAAGTAATGTTCAGTTAATGTTGAACAGCACACGACAAGATTGACGGCAGCGAAGATTCAATATAGAAAAGATTAACGAATGATGAATAAACTTTTCTATGAAGTTATTCTCATGGAATTATGATGAATGAATTGATATGTTGAGTTAATGTTGACATCTTGAGGGAAAGCTGATTTCTCACCAAGCGCGTTTGGATCCCAAGGTGGTCGCTTAGCTAACCACGCTAATAAAGCGCCACACCCAAAAAGTGACCAGAGCCACCAAATTGAGAAAATCATCGGGGATGGATCCATCTTTGAAACCGCTTGGGGAATTGAAATGGATCTTCTCAATCTGAATCCATCAACCACCACGCTTTGTAAATATTCGGCAGCAGGAAACTTTTCTCTCTTGCTTCAAAATGAGATATCCACGATTTGTATATATCATCGGAATAAGATGAAATCCAGTGGGAAAAAAACATGATTGATGAAGGAAAAGGAAGCAGATTTTTTGAGGGAAAGAAGAGAAGGTTGAAGATACTCACTACCGATCTTTATTATATACAGTAGTTTCCATGCGGCTTAAAAGCTTATCTCGATTAAAGACTGGTACCTTTTTGGACCCCTTCTTTTGAGAAAGTATGGGGAAAACATGTGAGGTCTCGTGTCTTGGTGTCACGTGATTGAGATCATCCGAGTCATAAGTGCGGGCTGAGGACTTTGCATCGTTCTAACATTGATCTAACAAAGTATGTGGAATGGATACTTGAATTTGTGGATTGTCCAGACTTTTCATATTCTCATAGCATTCATTTTCACTCGTTTAGGGTTATTGAAGTCAAGAATCTACCTAGGTATTCATTTGCTGGAGATGTGGTTCTCATGGTTAGACGTGCATAAAATTCCAATCAGCTCTAGTAGAGCACTGGTATACGCAGAACTTTTATATTTACAGTACAGATTCTTTTCTCTTTAATAGTTCTGTGTTTTTCTGAGTACGTTTATATAGTAGACTCTATGCTTCCCATTATGCTCTATGGAGAATCATAATCTTAATATCGTTCTTGTTTTATATTGCTACTCATGTCAAAATCGAGGAGTAAATGTATACATTCTTTAGAAAATAGCATAGCTTAAGAAGTTAGAACTCATAAACAGCCATAATCTGCACCCGCTTCCTTCCCTTCCCTTATAATGTCACAATTTCACAATTCCATTCTTTCATTCTCCCCACAGCTTAACCCCTATTCTCTCCTCCTCCTCCATCTTCCCTCACAACTTCGCCTTCCCTTCCCCAACCACCTTCTCCCCCCTCACAATTTCCAAGTCCCTAAATTCCACCCCCAAAAACCTCCACATGAAATGAAACCTATCACTCCCAAAAAACGGTTCTTCCTTTCCCTCTGCATTCCTCACCCACATCCACGGCGCCCCAAATGCTCCTTTCTCCAACGCATCTTTCGTATTCCCCAACAGCTTATCCTTCCACTCTTTCTCTGTTGCTTTCTGCATGATTTCCTCTACTTCTTTTTCATCGAATGTTCCTAATCCATTCAAGAATTCTTTAAAGATCTCCGGAATCGTGATGTTCTTCTGTGGAGGAACCCACAAAGCATTAAAGATCTCTAACCATGTTTTTTCAAAGACCTCTACAGAGTAGCGAGACTTGATAAAGCAAAGAGCTCTTTGATTCTTCATCCAACGTTCAACATCAGCTCCAAGTTCTCCCATATCCATCCATTCATTCATTGAGAAACGAGGAATCAAAAACCTACAAGAAGCGTGACCGGTGGGAAAAACTCCGACGGCTGTAAATTTGGTAATCCATGATACTCAATCGTCCTTGCAGAATCAAATTTACCATAGTTCGCCTTTGCAGGAAGAGTCCATGGTGGTTTATTCCCCGAGCCATGATTTATACCCCCGAGGAAGACGGGGATGAGACTTTTGAGGTGGGTTTGGTGTTAGATTTCATTCTCAAATATGTATATATGTATGTATGTATGTATGTATGTATGTATGTATGTATGTATGTATGTATGTATACATCATAAAACAAATGAAAGCAAACTCACTCAATCGTAACATCGTGAGAAAGTAGAATTTCCCGATTCTTGCGAAGATGAACTAAAGCTGCGTAGCTATAGAATGAAGCTTTGATAAAGGGGCTTGAATTAGCACGGCATCATAATGTGGAGATAGAACATGGGGAAAGCTTAAGGAAACAATTTTAGATAGACTTACAGCAATCGAGATAACAATCTATATGACCCGGCATGATGAAGATATTAAAGTTCCGATTGCAATGAAAGTAACAAAATGTCGTGATTTTCGAGATATTAATATAACTACCTACCTACATATACGTTCAAGTAGGTAGTGGTTAACTTTGCCGCTCCGCTCCAACTTTCATGTGCCTCGGCTTAGGAAACTCGACCCCGGAATTCTTGATCACTAAACATATACACATACATACCTAGTACATACACACATGCATCATTCCATCTCTTACTACGACTCGGACAAACAAACTTCCTCATTGATCACTAAACCATAACTTCTCACAAGTTCTGAGATATGTATTCTCGAATATATATTGTTCCCAATGATGGACTGAATACCTTGATTTCCATTCAATCAAAATTTCCAATTCATAGGCAATTAAATCCAACATGCCATCTCAAAAGGTAGCTCTCGTAATCGGCGCATCTCGAGGAATCGGTCGTCAAATCGCTATTGATCTCGCAAAGAACGGATATGCAGGTAAATCATCATCCCAACTCCCTCCTAATCCCCTCACTAACCAACCTAGTAATCGTATCGGCCAAATCCACCAGCGACGCCTCTACCACCCATCCTTTCCCCCCAAATCCCAATTCATCCGCCTCAACCATCTCCACCGTCTGTCGAGAGATTCTCGAAGCCGGATTCACCGCTACCGCCATCCCCTGCGATGTTCGCTCCCACGCCTCCATCTCCTCTCTCATATCCCAGACCATTTCCACCTACGGACGCATCGACGTACTAATCTACAATTCCGGCGCTATCTACCATTCCTCCGTGCTTACCACCCCTCTATCCCGATACATGCTCATGGAATCCATCAACCCCAATGGTCTCTACGCCACCATCCAATCCTGCATTCCTCACTGGAAAGCCCAAGATTGGAACGCCCGAATCGTCGTCATCTGTCCACCCATCTACTCCCGATTTTTCCGCGGCAAAACAGCCTACGCAATGGGAAAAGTAGGAATGAGTGTTCTAGTCCAAGGTCTCGGTATGGATTTCTCCCGCATGGGATCATCGGGTCAGAATATGGCGATTACCGGTCTCTGGCCCGCGGTTGCCATTGAATCTGCAGCGACTGCGCATTTTTCTTCCGCAGATGAGGATTTGAGACATCCGAGTATATTTTCTGATGCGATCTTATCGATTGTGAAAGCAAAGACTGAGGATGTAAATGGGAGTTTGTTGTTAGATGAGGATTACTTGAGAGAGCATGATGGAGTGAGCGATTTTAGTAAATATGCTTTAGTTCCCGGGACTACCCCGAGGAGGATCATGCCGATGAAGTTTCCGGATTTGAGAGTTGAGGAGCAGGATGATGAGGGGGTGAGAATGGATAGTGCGAAGAAAGAAGAGAGTGGAAAGTTGAGTAAACTATGAGGGGTTGATGTAGTAGATCAAGTCAGATCTATACTTGCTTCCATTACCAGATACCTTATTTCAGTTAGGGTGATAAATGACTGTCAGATCATATGGGTCAATTGCATTCCAATTTTAAATGTTATATCATAACAATCTTAACAATCTTGGATTATATAACTAATTCTATCCAAAGATTATGTATGGACAAGGGAATTCATTCAAGGGAATTCACTTCAAAGGATTCACTTCAATACAAAGGCAACTGTATTAAGGTTATTAGGCGAAAGCGAAGGAGACTAGCTCTTTCAGTAGTGCCTATATAAGGCCTACTATTTCCCTCATTTAGCTAGCTCCTTAGATTGAATACAAATAGATATTTAGGGGCCTACACATAGTGGGAACCACGTCTTCCGTATCTCTCTCAAACCAACAGATTAAAACCAAAAAGACTCAGATTATATAAAAGTACAATTATACAATACACCAATTAACACCAAGTAATCAACTCTACCAGAAGAAATAAAGTCACATCATCCATCACAACATAACCATCACACCAAATCCCCACCTGCATCCCCAACATTCAGTTCCTCAAACATCTTAAATCTCCTAGAATATCACTCACTAAATCCCATAACCAATTCGAACCTTCAGAAAGCATCAACTCAATCTCGTACCTGCCACTGCTTTCTCTAGCATCCATCCATCCATCCATTTATTCTCATCACACTTTCTCCCACATCTCCCATCACAATTATAATCACAATCACATAGAATATAATAATTACATACCTATCTTATATATCCAAAAAAAACACCATTCAGAAACTCCTCTTCTATCTCTTCCCATTATCAACCCAAATCAATATACGTTCTATACTATATCTCTATTTCTATTCTATTCTATTTCTATTTCTATTTCTATTTCTATTTCTATTTCATTTCTATTTCTATTTCTATTTCTATTTCTATTTCTATTTCTATTTCTATTTCTATTTCTATTTCTATTTCTATTTCTATACCCATACCCATACCCATACCCATACAAAAACCCATCCATCTCCTCTCCCTCTCATCTCCTATATATCTCCGGACCCAATCTAATTCAATCCTTATTACATCTCTCTCATCTCTCCAACTCTCCAATTCACCAAAATCTCCCACACTATCTATCATACTACTCTATCCCCCACATCTCAATCCTAATCTAAAATCTATACATACAAGTTTTATCACCCTCTCTTTATAATAATCATTATTATCTCAATTCTCTACTCATCCCAATATATCTCAACATTATATCTCTCTATAATCCCATTCAATTCTTTTTAATACTTGATAAATATAGCCTCTCTTATTTCACAACCTTCATCTTATAATCATCATTCTATAACCTTCTCTCTCATCCCTCTCCCCTCTCCCCTCCTTTCCTCGCTTACTTACTTTTTAACCGAGTTATCTAAAATTCCAAAATTCCAAAAACCTATAATTCTAGCATAGCATTAAACAAAACATTAAACATTATATCATTACAATAATATCGACCTCAACCTTAATAAAAACATAAACACAAATATAAGCATAAACCCTCACCTAAACCTAAATCTTAACCTAAATCTTAACCTAAACCTAGATTATTTACTCCTCCTCTCCTCCTCTCCTCCTCTCCTCCCGAGGTCACTCAAGTTAATTCAAGTCAAGTCAAGTTTATTCTTATCTTCATCTATCTATCTATTAAATTAAAATCGAGGAGAATTTCAAAGCTCAAGAGAAGAGGGAAATAAAAGTAGAAGTAGAGAAATTAGAGATAGAGAAATTATATATATATCTATTATCTATTGTTTATTATCAATTATTAATTATCAATCATCTATAATAAATCAATTAAAATCCATCTATCTAGATCTTCACTTATTCCAAAATATATATAATATAATATACATCTAAACTAAACTAAAATAAAGTAAAAGATTAGATGAAATTAGATTAATACTTGATCTCTTCTCTCCTCTTCTCTTCTCTTCTTTTCTCTCCTCCCCTCTTCCCCCCTCTTCTCTTCTCATTCATGTCTATCATTCTATTTACTTATTCGTTTATTTGCTTATTTATTTATCCATTTACAAATCTACCTATCATCTATCAACCTCTCTAATAATTGTAGTTGAATATCAAGTAATCATGCTATACTATGTATGTAATATCTATATGCGCCTGCCCTGCTATGCTACATACATCCACCCACCTAATTCCACAAAGTGAAGTTTATCCACAAACCAAGCCATCTTTTGGTACTTCCACCGTTTCCGTTTCCGTTTCCCCTTTCTTCTCCCCCTCCCCCTCACCCACAACCTGGACTTCAATCTTTCCTTCCTCCTCAGAACCAACCCCATTAACACCCTTCTCCTCCACCTTCTCCTCCACCTTCTCCTCCACCTTCTCCTCCACCTTCTCCTCCACCTTCTCCTCCACCTTCTCCTCCACCTTCTCCTCCACCTTCTCCTCCACCTTCTCCTCCACCTTCTCCTCCACCTTCTCCGCCACCTTCTCCCCCTCCCCCTCTCCCTTTCCATTCTCCTTCCCACCCCTCTCCTTCCTACTCAACGTCAAACTCCCCTTCGCCAACGCCTCCATAGGCAATGGTCTCACATAAGCCTGTACCACCCACCATGGCCTCTTACATCTCCTCACCGTTTCCAAACTACTTTCTTCAAACTGCACTTCCCCATTCCCTTCTCCATCACCATTTGTTCCTCCCCTCCCATTCGCCCCCTTCCCACCCCCTTTCATTTTCTCCTCTCTTTCCTTTTCCGCTTTCTCAACCTCTTCTCTATAACTCTCCCCGTTAGTCCTCTCATACTCTAGAATTCCCTCTTTGACAACCTTCTCCGTCATTTGAAGAACATTTTCAAAAGCTTTTATATCCCCCGCTCTACTTTTCGCCAATGCATCTCTGATCGCATGATGTTTCGAAACCAAGGGTCTAAGAAGTTTAAAACAATGTGGTTGCATGGCCACCAAACTAGGACTTGTAGTCCTCTCCTTCTTTTCACTCTTTTGTTTCTTTCTCGGTGGGCCCTCTTCCTCTTCTTCCTCTACTTCTTCCTTCATTTCTTCTGGTGGATCCGAAGATATAAACAGTGGTTTTCTCTCCGGCGGCGATACTTGCAAAACGTATTTATAGATAATGTCCAAATATCTCCTCAACACAGCATCCATTCTCCAACCCCCCATCTTTCCATCCAAACTCCTCCAATACTCTCTTCCTTCCTCTCCTGGAGCTGGCGCATCCGAAAAAATCGTTGGATCATACAAATTTCCCTCCGCGCTCATTACACCATCCGCACCTGTCGCTTTCAAACACTCATCGATATCTTCCCTCGCCAGAATATTTCCATTCACAAAAAGAACCACCTCCTTGGGTAAACTCTCCCTCAAAAACCTCAACATCTCCCAATCTGCCAGCCCAGTTTTGTGACCCTTCATCTCCCTCGTTCTTCCATGTACCGTCAAAATACTCGCTCCAGCACTAATCACCATCTTTGCATAATCCAGCGTCTTTTCCCTCGTATCCAATATCCTAATTTTCGCCGTAACAGGCACATCCAATTCCTTATGTAATGTATTGATCAATCTAAAAATCAATCCCTGATCCTCCTGCAAGAATGCGCCATATTTTCCTCTCCTCGCGATTCCCTGCGGACATCCTAGATTCAAATCCACAGCATCACAAAACGGCGCTACATACTTCGCTCCCTCAAGTAACTCTTTCTCATCATTCGCGCAGAATTGTACAAAAAGAGGTCTATCGAAAGCCGGATTTCCATCGAGAAATAGCTCCTCCTTTGGGGTATTCGAAGATGAACCCAGCTGAGAAACAAGCGAGCTTTTCATCGGTTGAAAGTGCGCATCGCGGAACTTTGGAGTTTCAGAAAACATGCGCGCATGAAACATAGGTGAGTATGCCAGAAGGGATTTGTTGGTTTCAGGAGACATAAAAGAGCGGGAGAGCATGCGCCAGGCCTAGAAGGATTCAGAGTCAGTATGCTAAAGACGGAGAAGAGAGGTGTGTCGGGTGCTTTGCGAACATACAAATTCAGATTGATCGACCATTGGCGCGAGTATGAATTTAGGACTACCGATACTTTCATAAAAAGCACGACCATGAAGTTTCTTAGCTACATTGCTGGAGCCGTTTGCAACCTTCTCGGATACAATGGCATCTGGAAGTGCAGTCTCAACGACTGGCAAACCGTTTGAAGCAGACATGATTCCTCGAATTTGAAAGGGTAGAAATTGGCGGGTTCCAGCCCTCAGCCTCGAATGAATGCGATTGATGATAGTAGCCACTATTTATATCGGATCAATCAAGAATGCAGTGATCAATGCATAAAACTTGTCAGAAAGGGTTGAACTTGGTTAATTGTTTAAGCAAAAAAGTTTTAGCGGGGCGAATATAAAACGTTATAAACACAAGGCTGCAGACGATAATGCAAGGCTACATTTTTTTGTCTGTATGGAAGCCACCCCCCTGAAACTACACATCTGAATATCATGGGATGAACCCACATCCAAGCTTGAAGTGTCAAGGGAAAACTCTTTAACTGCCGGATGGATCAAGTTTCTATCAGATCCAATCGATGCAGTTTCTTCTAGGATCAGGATTGTATCCAAGCTTTTATGTTGACGTGTGCATTCAAGATCTAGAATTTTCAAGGTCCATTGTGAAATTTTAGATTCATCGAGAAATCTAGAACCCCTACTGTGATATTTAGAACACAAAATTTGGTTTCAGACTTCACGCGATTCATGCATATCCATACCACAATCTTCACGCAGATTTTTCTACTTCACAGTCGTACTCACTCATAGATTCGTTCTAGACTTTTTGAACTGGCAACGATTGCTTGTATTGTATCATTTGATTACGTAGAATATGCCTTCCCCATTTCTCCCCTATCTTTCCCCCATTCTCAAACATAATAACAGACGCTGAAGTACGACGATGAGGTGACGACGAATATAAAATAGACCCTGACCGACCAATGAAGAAAACGAAAATTAGACCATGACATTGCCCGAAGTGCAGATCTCAAAAACCCTAGAGATCAAACAAACCCACAGAAACCAACCGAGATCGAAACTTTTGGAGTACGAGTTTGTACTGTCATCCTTGATAGCTAGGAGAAACAAATTACCAGCCTATTGGACAATTGAAACTCTTCTCTTTCTTTCACATCTTCGGAAAGCTTCACAGCACAACATCTTTCATTTCCCAAACTTCTACCGTCGCCCCCCTTAGTACCCCTAATATATCCTCCCTCATCTTCTTCAACATTTATGCTCGAAAAGAGATGGCCAACACCAGTCTATGAAATAATATTGTTTTCGATCAAATCGCTCAGATGTGAATGAACTCCTGTACACCAATAATGCGAAAGACCGCTTTAACGCCCTAAAAGTCTTGAGTGTATGCGTAACTACACAGTTGCCTGCAGTAGCAGAAGAGCTTTGTAAGTCTCGTAACTTGTTTTTAAACAAATAGAATAATCGTGGTTTCATTAGAAGAAGTGTGTATAGATCTTAGAATTCTCATGAACCTCCATTTCCTGTTTTTGATTAGTGTGTGTTCAAAAGGTTGAATGATGAATGACGTACCATTTTGAAAGTATTAAGCTCTTCCTTAATTTGTTGGGCGAGCATTGGAGTGAGTCGATTGCAGGTTGCAATTTCACCCCTGCGGTCGTACTCTTGACTTGGCCAAGTGTCGTGAAATTGTATCCGAGGACTGAAAGTAGCGTTTCTTTTAATGGTACCTGAAGGTGTTCCAGGAACACTCTTTGAATCTCCTCCCCTGAATCTGAGCGCAGACATGAAGTAATCCTCTCCTCCTAAAGTGACCTCTTGTTTATGCACTTGGTCATCATTTGGTGTACTGGGGGCAGACGAATTCGGTGAATCGTTGTTGACATTGGGGATTTGGGGTAAGTTGAAGTTTGCTGCTCTTCCATCTACTGGAAGGATTACCGGTGACGAATTACCAGAACCAGTACCAGAGCCTAATATCCACGTGATTAGTAAATCATTCATAGATTTGGTCATGAGCAACCTACGTTTGAGGATTCCCTTCTTGACAGCGGCCAATACTTCAGCACGCTCCTTCTCACCACCAACAATACTTCTTCTATTTGCAGAGTTCTCAGTATTGGCACTGCCTAGACGGTCTGTGGACGCTGAACTGATAGCTGCAGCATCGAGAGAGTTTCTTTCTAGTCTAGGAAATCCTGTTCCGCCAGAAGCAGCATCGGCCGCATTCGCGTTCACATTGACCTTCTCTCTCTCTGCCTCAACGTTAACCATCGAGACCTGTGCTTGACTAGCTTCAGGCACAGCTGCATCAGCTGCAGGTACACCAATGACAGACTTTGGTCTAAAGAGGCCGACGAGAGATCTTGTTGACTTCTTCATTCCCTTACCCATCTTTCGAATCATTACAGAGGCGGAAGAAGCAGTCGATGAAATGGATAAGTTATCGGTCGAACCAGTGAAGAAATTGCCTTGCCCAGAGTAAATATTCGATCCGATACCAGCAGCTTCTTGTTGCTGAGCAATCTTATCTTGTTCTGCTTCTTGCTCATGTTGATATTTTTCCCTTCGTAACTTGGAACGATCCAAAGCATCATTGCCACTCCTGCTCACGAGATGGTTTTCGGCAGATGCCTTTCTTAACTCAGCAGCAGAGCCAAAAGAGAATGCCCTCCTCAATCTCGATGTCTTACTCTTCTTTCCTTCCTTATCGTTTAATGCAGCCAATTGCTGTGCAGCAGGGCTGATAGCATTTGAACTCGTTGCAGGCTGTGCGTTTGTAGATTTGGATTGAGCTGGTTGTAGTGCTGCATTGACGGCTGAAGCAAACGAGTCCTTGGACTTAGACGCCGACGAATCGGCACCCATCGTCACCGGCTTCGATAAAGGAGATGGGCTAGAAAGTCTTTTCGCGGCATCGGTCGAGGATGCACGAACTGGAATGTTCACAAGTCGTGGCTGATCATTCTTGGAAATTGCTTGATCTTTACCATTGAAGGCGTTCGAATTTGCGACGGAAGAAGTCGAAGAATGAGCGGGGCTTCCAGTTGCCATTGATACACTTGTTGCTTCTCGCTTGTCCGACTGAAATAAGTTAGTGTGCTGCCGATTTTAGTGCTACATCAATATGATTGGTGTGGGTTAAATTGCGGTGACGCCGTATGCACGATAAAGTCCCGTGAACCATGAGTGGGGGGAGTGAGGACTTGATCCAAAAAGAAAACAACTTGAAGACTTACCGAGTTCGGGCGTGAGTGACCGCTACGAGTGGACTTGATGCTATCGGTACTATCATTCCGTCCATGAGAAGTTGCTGGGCGTACCGTAACAACTGGTGAACTTCGCAAGGGGTGTTGCCCGTGTTGCTCAGGCGGCTGATCAATACGACCACTAGCGCTGTTCACTGGCCTTGACCCCTGCTGTAAAATTCCAGGGCTGGGACTAGCGTTGATGTTATCGTGAGCATCGATTGTATGTATGCTTCGACGTCGATATCTCTTTGCCTGTTCCGAGGTAGTACGCTGATTCAACTGCAAATCATCAGCAGTTGCACTTGGTTGATTTTGTTGTGGCATCTGCAAGTTGAGTGCTTGGCTGTTGACAGCTTGTGTACTGGCACCATAAAATTGCATGACATTTGGCATCGTTGAGACTGAAGAGCTCGAAACACCAGCCTGGCTACTGTTCGATGAATCGGCACGGCGAATTGCAGGGCGACGATAGCGATCAGGGACGGGTTTTGCTGGGGACGCCATAGGAGGAGCTAAAGTTTGATTGTGCGACGTGATGATGGTGGAATGTGGGCGGGGAGTTCTTGTTGCAATTCGAGCTGTGGAGGTGATGGCCGAATCATCTCTTGTTCCTGACCTTTGAGAAAGTTCTGATGATGAGGATGAAGATGTGGTTGATACAGATAGAGCAGCAGGGTATCGTGAGCGATTTGGAGCAGTCGTCGAGCCCCCTTGCAAGGTAGGGACTATGGGGGCTGATGCTGTTCTCTGTTGTTCTGGCCTTGATTGAGACCCATTTGGTGTTTGTTGAGCTCCTATCGACATGCCGGGTGAAGTAGTGAATGCATATGGTGCAATCGGGGCCATCGAACTATGACCGCGGTAACTTGATATCGCCATATTGTTGTTGTTCAAGCCATGAAAGTTGTTTCGTTGTTGAGGGTTGATAGAATATTGATGATATGCCGCTTGATTTTGCGAAGGTTGTAGAGTGCCAGAGGCAGAGGATGGTCGAGTTTGAAGCATAGTGACCGTAGTTGTCTGTTGTGGTAACGTCTGAACAAGAGCTGCCATGCTGTGACTTGGCTGATTTTCGAGGTTGTTGTGAAGCAAACAGCTATGATGCCATCTACAAGAAAAGGATCGTACTCAATATAATTTTCAAGTGAGTAGAGTTTGGAAAGGACTATGATGAATGGAATGTCAGCAAATCAAAATAATCTCCATTTCGATATGAAGCGGAGGTACAAAGCTTTGGCAAGAAGGTTACACGCGCGTTCTTGAAGGGAGATGGAGTGAATTGGCGTCAACGAACCTTCAATGAAAAGTAGAAGTCTTGATGTAGTTGCTAGACAAATGAACAATTATTATGAGAGTTGTGTTTGTTTGAAGGATGAAAAGTCAAGTCGAATTAACGGTTGACCTTTTCTCAAAGTTTATTGAGGTGATGAAAGGGTTTCTGGTTTCTGAATCGAAGAAGGAGGTAGGGAGGTCGCCGGCGGCCAGATATTTGGTGGAAGTGGAATCGGATCTTCTCTTTCTCTCGCGCGTCCTAGGCAGAAAACACTTTTACCGTGAATTCTTGTTGACGCCTGTTTTTGTTTATAATTCTATTGTAGCATTGTATGATAAGCTGATGAATGATACGATGATTGAGGCTAAAAGAGAATCATCTGCCAACCTCAACAAGTATATGATGCTATTATCTGTGCCGAAACAAGATTCCTCTCCTTTCCTGAGTTTGAATTGATTCGGCGTTGGTTGCTGGAGCTGCGGGAAATTTCCAGGAATGAATAGAAGAATGCTTTTCGTTTCACCGGGCGATTGAGGGTGCAAAATTCAAAGAAAATAAATAGAAACGAAAGACAACAAATAAAAAGATAGAAAAGACCAAGGAGAATGCTGTAAATGGTGACTTTCGAATGAGAAATGATTGAAGTTTGTGAGATGGATGGAATGGGAAGAAAATGGGAGGGGGATTTGTGATGGGCCCCAAAAACAGCGACAGTGAGTGAGGAGGATGGGGATTTGGGGTGGTAGACTGGACTGGGTGGTAGTTAGGACATGGATTTATTACATTTATTACATTTACATTTATTTACCTTCACATTTATTACATTATTTACAACTCCAACGGATGATTATTTACCGTGACTCCACTTTGGATGTCTCCTTTGAGTTAGATCGCAAGGATGAGAACCTTTAACCATTCTGAACGGAAGGAACACTGGAGAAAATATAACCCTTCGTGGCTTAGCCTCAAACCTTTTTCATAAATTAATGCACCCTCTCGCCACTTGGATAACCAATCATATGATGAATGGTCTCGATATCTGACGCTATTCCCTCTTCTGGCCTTAGTCTAATTGAAGTAACCCATTTTGAAGTCCAATGATATCCAGGGGTAAATTTGAATTCAAATTCCATGCTCATGTTATGTATGTTATGTATGTTCTCTTGCTAGGTATTAGGCCTATCTCTCCTCGTATGCGCGTTTCCCTCATCTATCTATCTACCAGGTGCTCACTCCTGAGTCCTGAAGCAGGTCGAAGGTCGAAGGTCGAAGGTCGAAGGGTCGAAGTCCTCCGAAGAGGTAATTTTATCACAACGTCAAACGAATGCTGGTTAAATATAGAAGATGTTGGTTACTCACTCCACTGCATATAGGTAGGTACCTGTCCTGTGTAATCGATATGGATGGCCGATTACGAGTATAAAGTCATCCGGAACAAGCTTTCAGATCTCCCAGAGAAGGATGATGAATGGCTTATCACGTGGGGATTGCTAGGAATCATTCTTACTCCCATCCGGTGAGGTGAGCATTCAATATCTCGAGATTCGATACTGCAGTGGCTAGTCTTCTTGGGAGCTTGGCAGAGCGATGAGAGGGAAATTCAAAAGTTCTGGGGTTCACAGGAGGAATTCATTATATAGATATTAAAGAATGATCAGAACATTTCTACTCACGCATCATGCTCATTGCAACGCAAGGAAAATACGGACAATAGCTTCTACATACAATATCTTCTATATAGTACTTCGGTACATGTCACTCACCACAACCACAACAGGTACACGATCAGCGAGCACCAACATCAATTTACATCAACACTTGCACTTGCACTTGCACTTCCACTTGCACTCACACTCACACTCACACTCACCCTCACACGAATACCTCTTCCTCATCCTACCATGGACACAGGAAGCGTCTCGTACCACGGTAAAATGAGTTCCTCTCATATCCAGAGTACAGACAGACACAGAGTGTAGGAATTAACTTTTAATTCCCTTTCTCCATATCATTTCACCAGATTCACATCTAAGATGGTTCTGTTTCGCCCAGGAAAGTGGAACTTCGCAGCATATGGATTCAAATTCATTTATTTTTAGAGTGTCTTGCTCCCCTCCCTTGTAAATTGCAAAGGTAATCTTCTGTTCCATCGTGTTCTTTGTGCAAAGTAGACGCCTTCGATCATTGATCTTTTCCTTTGCCAAGATCATCATGATGAGATGTGCCTGAAAGGATTGTGTTCGAGCCAAACGGCGGTTCTATTAGACGTTTTATCATATTTGAGCGTTTACATTATGACATCTGTTGGTGCCAGAGCTTTTTGGAAGAAGGAATATACTCTTCTCACCCCACGTTTCCGCCTTTTCACGAGCCTCTTCTTATTGATCCCAGTCATCCAAATCAAAGAATCGAAGAAAATCAAAAAAAGTTGAGCATGTCCATATTTTACACCAATTGGTTTGAATATCGTCAAGACTCCCCGACTACATGTTTAGCTGTAGTGATCGCTAACATTCAAGACTGTTCTGTTGAGGGAACACGGATGAACTTGCCGCCTCTCAGATGAAAGGTTCTCATCTTATGAAATCTCGGGTTCACACTCTTTCTTGGTCAGCACACAAGGTATCTATCATATCATGCATACCTCACTCATGCCATAAGAAGTGAGATGCAGATTCAGCCAGTCTGGTGGCGTTCAATTTTTTTTTTACCGAAGTCTGGAGATGCAGAGACTCAAGACTCAGGAGTTGGGTGAAGATTCATGAGTGGTCAACGGTCGCAGATCCACAAAGCATAATTATGATTTTTGACTTTCCATGCGTGAATATGTTACATGGAGTGGCATCTCTCAAAGCTTGGAAGGACGTTTGCTTTTGAAACGCTGCAACATCATCACCATACATCTCTCAACGCGTGTAAAGGCATCGAATGAATATCCTACAGGCTACAGGCAGGCACCTTTCCCCTCCACCGATCGTATGGGTCTCATCTATGTGAACTTCCCAGTCGCGGCTTTTACACTACTTCAAACTGTATTCACAGCTTTCGACCTGCATCTAGTGCTAGTGAGTGATGATATAACCTTCTCATTCTTGCGTACTGTGGTGGAGCTTTGAGTTGCGATGAACCAAGCATCATAAGAGTGTCACATGTATTTCACATGTTCACTTGGACTTGTCCCGTCTGTTGTGTCGATCTCTTTGATATACATACACATACACATACACACACACATACACACATACACACACAGCAACATGGATTTGGCATCTCGAAATTGAATGAATTAGGAGACCGCGAATAGCGGTTGTTCCAATATTTCGAGTGAACGGAGGTACATACCGGTACTTCCAAATAAATGAAATTCATAATCGACACCGACAGGCCGATCACACTTATGCTCGCTTTAACTTAAATGGCTGAGATGCATAGAATGTCTCTAATGCATTGACGCTGCCAGCATATCACGGACCAAGCTTGGTCAAAATAAGATACAACTCAACCCCTGTTTTGCTTCGTACAGAGATACATTAACTGTCTAGGTGCATTTTCGATGGCGAGATTGAGATTTGAAGGAGAGGCCACTACTTTATTATTCATCGAGAAGTAGAGTTGCAATGTGATTATCTGGGTGAAGATTGCGAGGGATTTGATGTATTGTGATTCAATCCAGAAGATGGTGCAGTTTTCCTTTTCACCGCTCATCCAACCTCTCTGTCCATGATCGATCTCGTTGTGTGCTGAATGCGGAGGTCAACCCATCCTTGACGATCATTGGTAGCCTCATCGATTGTTTATGTCTGGATATGCATCTCCCAGCAAGGATGTGCGAGGATGTTGTGGATGATTTCTCGTATGCTGGATTTTCTTTTATCGAGAAATGTGAGTTCGGGGTTCAACGAGTACGAGGCAAACTAGGCACTGGGAAGGGAAGTGTGGAACTTTGAACTTTGGACTTTGGACTTTGGACTTTGAACTTTCTCCGGAAGAGAGTGAGTGAGTGTGTGTGTATTGTGTGTGTATGTACCTATGTATGTATCTATGTATGCATGTATTATGTATGTATGTACCTATGTACCTATGTACATCCTAACCAAGATCTTCATGGCTTCATTCTCCAAACGATATGATTGATCGAAAAGATTTCCATGCTGCTCTCTCATTGTCCCATCCATGATCCATCCAAGTGAATTTTCAAAATAAGGACTGCCAACCAAACTATCGACACCACAGTGACCACACCCTGAATTGGTGTCGCAATAATTATTCCGATCGCATGGTTGTGGTTATGATTATCGAAAAACTCTCTTTCACAGATTCACGGATTGCAGCGAGGGATGACAGAAGGGAAGATGGTGGTAAATATATATATACATATATATGGAAATGTGGACAATCGAATATAGGGGTTTTTTGGAGCCGCAAAAAAAACATGATAGCAGGAAGATCTATCTCATCTATGATCTATCTCATCTATCTCATCGACCTTCAAGGAATATCCTTCGATATCCATTGATATTCCATTCATCTCCATTCAAACACTTAAACCTCACAGCTTTCATTCTCTCATCCACAATTTCCAGACATGTATGCAAGGACAACCCATACATATTCCTCGTTTCCATCCATTTGAATCTTGCCCACTCACCTGAATCTCCAATTCAAATTTAAAAAAGAAGCAAAGAAAGAAAGACCTGAAACAAATTCACGATGGCATCAATCAAGATGATCAAACCCGGATGCTGGCAATGAATGATACGATCCTCCTTCCAGAATCCATACTCTCCAATGAGTCTCCATCCATCCCATTCCGCACTTTTATTGTGCACCATCCAAACATCGTCTCCATAGACCTCGGCAGTATGGAGGACTTCCAATCATGATCCAACATCTCACGGAACCCAGTACAACCTCATTCGAACCCTTCACACCCTTCACAAATGTTTCCGCACCAGAGACCCAAGAGACCCAAGAGACCCAACAAATTAATACATTGGTCCATATATTCACATTCACCTGCATACTGAGGTGCGCAGGAACATGTACGCTGAGGACACGTCATGTTTGTCTATTGCTGTGATCTCCTACACTTACTGCACGATAATCATTGCAGGAACATAACCAGAATCCAGATACTCTCCCGGTGACTCAGCATGCACGCCAGGGACAAAATTAATCTCATTGGATTTCCCTCGCAAAGTTTCTGGGGGTTCGATGCAGACTGGAATGCAGACTTTCCAAGAACTCAAAGGATGTCACACCATCATCATTTACCGTACTCTCCTCTTCAATCGGAACTATTCTGCTACCATTAGTTAGTTCAACGCCGCCGGTCGGCCGGTCCAGTTCATTGGGTCGATACTTTGGTCGTGTTTGTTTGTCTATAGATTATGCAGGCCGGAATAGCCTCAGTTTAGTGCCATGTCGCGAAGATTGACCTCTTAGAGTGAGGAGAGGAAGGGAAATCAAAATAAACAAGCATCAATCCCACCCACATCTTACACCTTACACGCTTATTATACATGTAGCTCCCAGGCCATACAACATTATATGACGATCCTTTTCGTCCAATTGACCAATCAGAAATCCAAGAAGCTACTGTAAATATTTTCCAATTGTTAGATCCCTAGTCAAAAACGTCCACTACCTCGTTGTCGCCTCGTATCTAGGAGCTGGTGGAGTATCGATCGTACTCGATATGGTTTTTACCCCTCACAACTTCACACCGAATGCTCGAGGTTCATCCCGTCTCTTGTTGGATATACTTACATGATACCTTCTTATCTAGCCATAGTACGCATATCGGCAGACAGGCTTGCTATTGTTTTTTTTGGTTTTTTTTTTTGAGTTTTTCAATATCTGGAGAGCTCAACAAGGTATTCTTATTCTTATACAGCGAACGGACTCTTATCCCACTCTTTAGCAACCCCCAAGGGCCAAATGATACAAGTATCCAATATTGGATTCCCGCCTTTATATCAGCTTGTTTCTACTTCAGATAACCGAAATCATCATTACCGTCAATATAGCCGCAATAACCATCTCATTAGACTCGATAATTGAAATATAACAATCGAGGAGATAAATGTCTCCAACGTTTGATGAACATTCGATCCTGATAAGCAAATCTATGAGCGCCAACATCGTGCACGAGAAACGAAGATGATAATCATGAAAAACTTTACCCCAGATATTATTTCTATATCTGATGCAAACCCCCTTGTTCACATCACTTGGTCAAGCCATCAAGGAGTCAAAGACCCTGAAGTGATGGCTGACATCCTGTGCGTCGTCTGTTTACTGTCATGTCAATAATTAATATTGAGTGGATACACGCTATGACGATATTTACAATATATTGTTTGATAGTGAGAGTGATTTCAATTTGCGCATCTTCATTGGAAATCAAGAGATCAATCTATCAATCGCTCGAGCCCAAGAGAGATGATACCGCGAAATCTAATTCTAATCCACAGGAGCTTTCTCTCCACCCTGTACGGGATGTGTCCAGTATGCACATACATAGCATAGTACAGTACAGTACAGTACATAGTATAAAGAAGAGCCCTTTACCCCATCAATCGAACCCTGGAATAGGGGCAAAGGGGAGCTGCTTATGCCAGGAATCCTGACTGTTCAACGTTGGCACTGAACTCTTTTGGGTTTGGGATGCAGGAAGATGGCATGTAAGATGAGGGGCTCCGAACCTGTTCGCGCTTACATGCATTGCATATCTGAGACTTCAACAGAATGTGATGATTGTAATTACATGAGGAAGTACTTTCTTGAAAATATTCTTCTGCGGCACAGCAGTGAGTGAGTGAGTGAGTGATTCAAACTCTTGAATATCTATATCTAATTGTTGTGGGTGTGGTAATATGCTCCGCGAGCTGTGATCTTAGTAAAATGAAGCCAGACGAACTTGAATTTTCACGTGACAGTCGATGAGTATTGATAAATGCACACCCCAAGTACACTAGACGAGTGAGCACAAGGTTATTGATTTCGACATGTGAATTCTCAGCCTTGCGAATCCTCGCGCGTCAACCTCGACAAACTTGAGTACATTACAATCTCACACGTCAATCAAATTCAACATGCCGCCCGAACTCATCCCATCAGATGAAGAATACGCATCATCAGAAGATGAGGACTTTGCACCAGATACTGCTCCAGCACAAGATGAATCCTCAGAGTCAGAAGCTGAAGATGAGGATTCAACAGCTGTCACGAGTAAATCCAAGAAAAAGACTACGAAAAGAAAGAGAGGCGATGATGAGGAAGCGGAAGATGCGGGGTTTGAAAATTCGGGTGATGAAGCTATTATTGAGAAAGGCTTGAAGAGGCGGAAGAAGAAGAGTAGGAAGGGTGGGAAAGAAGAGGAAGATGAGGGTGGTGAGGGAGGTTTAGTTAAGACGAGGAGTATGCGCGCTCAAGAGTATGTTTATCGCTCATCATTTGCAAATCTTGTTACTGATGAGCATCTATAGAAAAGTTGAGAAGAAACCCCTGGCAGATACAAAAGCCGCAACAGTAGATGTAGACGCCTTATGGGCAACCATGATATCCGGCAAACCCATCTCATCCAGTACCACCGAACCTAAACCCTCCTCGCAAACCGCAAACACATCTACAAGTCCAAGTGATGGAAGAAAATCTCCAGAACTCCATGGAGGATCCAGAGACCGCAGTAATTTCAACGACGGACCTGATTCAATGGTTATGATAAAACGCACCTACAATTTCGCCGGAAAAGTCATCACGGAACAAAAACTCGTTCCCAAAGATTCCGCAGAAGCAAAACTCTTTCTCGCATCTCAAGAATCTGCTGCGGGGAAAGGAGAGGGAGGAAAAGAAGAAGAACTCTTCGTCAAACCCAAACGCGGTCTCAAGAAAGCTCGACGCTCAATCTTTGAACCGGTGGTGGAAAATCCCATGCCGCAAAGAACGGATCTATATTTTGGACAAGCGGCCGTAGCGAGGAATTTGACCAATAGTGCGGGTGCGATGGGTAAAGAGGCGAAGAAATTAAATACGGTAGAGAAGAGTGCGATGGATTGGGCTGGGTTTGTGGATAAAGAGGGTTATAAGGATGAATTGGATGCAGCTGGGAAGAAGAAGGGAGCATATGGAGAGAGACAAGCTTTCTTGGCGAGAGTGGAAGCCAAGAAGGTGGAGGATGAGAGGAGGGCGAGAGGATTACCTGTTTAAAGATGAGTGTATTTTTTTCTTTCCACAACGCTGATTTTGGAGTTTGGGATCTGAGGCGTTATGGTATCATGATTGGATTCAGACGAATCCAGGGTTGGGCAAGTTAGATTGATTGATGCTCTAATGGTCGTGGGATACGTCGATCTGATACATTGAATGTGATTTATCTATCTCTCCTCGTTGTGGGAATTTTCTCTTGGAATTCCTTCAATATCATATAAAAACATATATTATTATATTGTTTTTATATAAAAACAATAAGTATATTATATATCGAGTATTATATATCGAATATTATATATAGAATCTTATATATCGAGTATTATATATCGAGTTTTATATATCGAATATTATATATCGAGTATTATATATCGAGTATTATATCGAGTATTATATATCGAGTATTATATATCGAGTATTATTTACCTATCTACTCATCTCCTTACCTACCTACCCACTCATCTATTATTAGGTATCTAATAGTATTCATCACTTTATAATTCATTACTTTATAATAAACATATCCGCAGCCGTCCAACATCCTAACATCCCAACATCCCATCCAGCTTTTATAGAAAAATTATATAGTATAGTAGTATATATAGTACAAGACTACTCTACTCGACTTACTGAATACCACGCAGAAAGTCGAAAAGAAATTCTTCAGACATATCTATCGAATCGAATCGAATCAAATCAAATCAAATCAAATCGAATATCAAGAAATATATTCTCAGTATTTACAAGCAAGCCTATGAATAATCCATTCATTCATCCATTCATTCATTCAATCATTCCTTCCTTCCCCCTCTTCTATTCACAATCAAATTTAACCTAACCTAACCTACTAATCCATCCATCCATCCATCCATCCATCCATCCATCCATCCATCCATCCATCCATCCATCCATCCATCCATCCATCCATCCATCCATCCATCCATCCGTCTGGGTATTTCGCATAAAAGTAGAGATGAGAATATCTGATATGAAAAATGCCTATCCCGCCCACCATGACCTTGTAAACACCACTCACTCCATGAGTCATTAATAACCATGCTATGCTGCTGTCCATCCATATACATTCATGCCTTTAGCCATACCTTCAAATCCTATGTAGACCAAAATTCCTACCTCTAAATACCAGGTACACACGTAAACTTCATCTCCCCGTGCTACCATAGAAGACTACATTCCAAACCTTGGCAAGTAAATTGGCGATTAATCCTGTAGTCGCCAAAACAATAAAGATATTAAAAACTTCCCACCAATGTTTTGGTCTAACTTCCGTCTCAATAAATTCTTCCACAGTCCCTTTTTCTGAAGTCACGTTGGCGGGAAATCGACCAGTAGTCATGTATTGCTCCATCAAAGCATCCTTCTCGTACCATCTCTCTCGTAACCATACTTCAAATTTTTCAGCATTATCCAGAGGTATATCGGCAATTTTGAATCGACGCCAAAAGAGATTTACAGATTTTGGTGGTCGCCCCTCGATATATGAAGAGGTCAAAGTAAAGTAATCCTGACCAAACTTTCCTCTCCTGAAAATTGTTAGAATGAATCGTCTATCATGAAGAAGTCATACTTACGGAACACCTTCGTAGGCCATTGTGCAATCATATACATAGTCCACGGTCTTCTTAAGTTCATTTAAACAGAAAAATGAACCGGTACTTCTTGGAAGAAGAGTATGCTCCATATCCTTAACGCCTATTTTTGCCGCCCATTTTGCACTCGCCTCCCTTCGATTATCACTTGCATTTGTACCCTCGGGGAATAATAGAAGCCACATAGGATCGAGTTCCGAAGCTCCCGGGCGTTTCTCTTGAAGTTGTTTGAATCGATGGGCCATTACTGGTCGATCTTTTTCCATCTTCCTGGACATAAAAATAAAATTGAAGAACTGCATTCCCCATCCTATAATTGGAACCCATTTTAAAGAGTCTTTTGCAATAATATAAATATAACCGTGTGTTTGAGGTTGATTGGTGTAAGCCACCCACCAGAGGTAGAGCCAATCTGTATAGAGCTATGAAACGTTTAGTACGATGAGCTTAACGCATTCCTAGCTTGTGCATACCTGATGATTCGCAATCATAATCAATCTTTCTGGGAAATCGCATTCTGCTCTTCCATCCGCAGTTTTTCGCAATTGTCCTGCCACTGAAGCATCACCACTTATTCTAACCACTGTTGGACTCCACCATTGGGTCATCGTCGTTATTAAAAGTCCAAATGATTGTTTCGTGAGAGCCATCCATGAATAATATATATCTCGATTTATCCAATATAAAGGTACGCCGATAAGTTGTGTAGCTTGGATCCTTGTGTCGGTTTAGCAAAGTCTCTCGAATCTCATCCAGCAAAACTTACGTAGAACAACAGGCCCAGAAATAAGTCGCGAAACTCAACAGTCTGCCAATTTGTGCGACCGACCCATGCCTAACCTCACCAGATGGATGATCTCCTTCTTCCAAAGCCTTTTCCTTCGTTCCTCCTCCAAAATCCGGTACAGGCGCCGGCATGGTTGGAGCCTTGTTCCTTTGCTTTAGGTTTTGGTCGGCCATGATTATTTGATGAATGGAAACACCAGATTTTTCCTTTGGATGTGTTGATGGAGAAGGAAGGTAAGCTCTGAGGTTTAAATATGCACAATGAGGCTCTCGTGCAAAAAGTATATGACTAGGCAGATTTGTCGTGTGCTCGGGAAGGCGGGAAGGCTAGAGGGTTGGAAGGCTATTTCGTACTACTGGCAGCTATGGTAGTTTGCTTTGGTGGGGTGGATTAGGTCCTGGTTGGATGTTGCCGGAAGGTTTTTTTTTAAGAAAGAAAGTATAAAAGTATATATGAAGATTGATTTGAAGTGAATATTAAATGATCTTATTGAAATCCTTCATTTTTGAGTATATTTGGGGATATATTATATATCAGAGATGATATATATTTGTGGTTGTCGAGCTGTGAGGGGAGGGATCAATATATGTATGTACCTAGTACGTACTACTCGTACCTCATGAAGTAAAATAGCATGTGAGTGATGTAAGCTATGGTAATAAAAGCTTTATGTACGTAAGCGGACATGATAGAATCGTATGCACAGACCATCTCTTGATTTTTGGAGAGGCTCGGAGGGAGTCTGGAGTGAAGCTTGTTTCGATAAGAAAGATACGGTCACGTGCGCGTATGGGTCGCTGGAGGTATGCTTTTGACTTTCTTCGAATCACCATCGTGAGAATTGTCATCCAAACCTCGAGGAAAATATATACTTACAGAATACTTACAAAACAACCAAAATTAATATGAAAATCTCCTTCCAATGAGAGTGACGAGATAGCCATCTATCTATCTATCTATTCATGAATCAAGCTCCATCACCGTCAAGTCGTTGTGCTCTTATTATTTATCAATTACTTGAAACAAAACCTAGAAACTTCATCGGCATCAACCCTTGGCCAAATCAATCGATATCCAACGAATTCTCGACCTCTCCACCAACAATGTCAATGGTACCCCTTTTGTGTTAGTCATCCTTTGCTCTACTTCAGAGACGGCTTTGTGTAAGATCATCTCGGCACTTGGGTCAGTCTGTACAACGAAATCACGAGAATCTCTCACCATTCTTCAAATTCAACATGTTTCCAAGGGTGTTGCCCAAATTTCGCTCCATACAAATTAGATCTTTTAGCAGCACAACACCAAGATCGGAAATCTTAAATACACAAAGTTTGCCGGATAGAATAGTTCCTCGATATCATCGTAAGTTCCCAAATGCGTCATTGTTCCTTGATACAAATATTCACATGAAAAATTTACAGGTTCACAAGAGAGTGATCTCCTTTCTCTACAATGGCCCTCACCACCTCGAAATCTTTTAATCATAAAGAAGGATCGTTCCCCGACCGTTGCTGAGGCTCTCCTTGAATATGTTAAGTTCGTAAAGCCCATCTCCATCTAGAAATTAATCTCTCGGCTGACTAGTTACCAGACATATACACTCCAACTACAGCAACACATCTCTCATCTTCGAGCAAAAGGTGGCCGAGAGTATACACAATTCTTTGGCATTTCCAATATACAGTACTGATTCTCCATCCCTCTTACCATCCAAAGTTGATATGGTAACAACACTCGGTGGAGATGGAACCATTTTACATGCATCTTCCCTTTTCAGCACAACTCGTCATGTTCCTCCAATTCTTTCCTTCAGCATGGGTACTCTAGGGTTCTTGGGAGAATGGAAGTTTGCTGAATACAAAAGAGCCTTTCGAGAGGTCTACATGTCGGGTGCTGCTGCTGGATCTCACCTCCTTCAAGACGAGATGCATCCTCACATCCAAACATCTACTTCAGATAGGATTGACGATATGTCTGGCTGGTCAAATATGAGAGGCAAGTCCATGGGCTCAACAAGGAGTTCGAAGGTACTTCTCAGAAATAGATTAAAGGTAGAGGTCTTTGACGCTAATGGAAAAAGTGCTCACGAGAGTGCAGAAGGCGATGTGCATGCCATGAATGAAGTTATTATTCATCGGGGGAAAGAAGCACATTTAGCCATTATTGAAGTTTTTGTCAATAATCAATTTTTGACTGAGGCTGTTGCAGATGGTATGATCATTTCCACACCAACGGGAAGTACGGCATATAGTTTGAGTTCTGGTGGCAGTATCATCCACCCTCTCGTCAGTAGCCTCCTTTTGACGCCGATCTGTCCAAGAAGTCTTTCATTTAGACCTCTTGTTGTACCTGCGAATACACCAATAAAACTTCGATTGAGCGACAAGAATAGAGGAAGAGAATTGGAAGTTAGTATTGATGGACAAAGACGAAGTATTGGAGTTGGCGTCGGCATGGAAGTAAGAGTTCAAGGCGAGGAAATGGTAAAAGGCAGCAGCGAGTGGGGTGGGGGCGTTCCTTGTGTTATGAGAGGGGCCAAAAGTGGCATGAAGGATGACGATGGGTGGGTTGGAGGCTTGAATGGGCTGCTGAAGTTCAATCATCCTTTTGGCGAAGAATAATGTCCGAGATCGATTGAATGGTGGCTATCAAATTTTCACTGGGGCTGGATACATTTACTCCTCATTCGTAAAATGATAATTCAAAGGTACGTTTCCGCAATCTATAATTCCCTTCCATCAGACCTGACACTATTCAGGGCATCTCGAGCCACGTTGTCCGTGGCATGGATCAGGAACAATATTTGAGCCATGTTTGGTTTCAAACAGCCTCAAAAAACCCGCTATTTTGTGAGTGGACATTTTGTGTCGGCCAAAATCTCGAGACTAAGTCCATTACAATTTCGAATTGAGATGAGACGTATGTAATGAGTTTTAGTAATCTCTCCTCCGATTCTTTCACCAAATACAAAAGTTTGTACATTACGAAACCAGTAATATATGAGTCACCACGGAACTTTAATAGATCTCATGGCTTTTCGATTCAATTCTCATCTTGGTACGATTCATGTATCGTTGCAAGAAGCTTTGAACAATCAGAAGACTCTCTACTTCAGGTATTATGGAATAACAGTCATTCAGCCGCCAATTTATTCGTTGGGAGTGTAGTGGAACATAACCACAGTGTTCGGTTGTGCCCCTCGGCACCTTCGGTTGACTCCCATTATTATTGCCGTGCTAGCAACGGCGATTGTGTAAGTGTATCGACGACTTCAAATCGTGACATATCTTCATCACATCTCCAATTCTGACTACGATTTCTTCGGTTTTCACCGAAGTCTAGTATGTCGTTACATATCTATATTCATAGTTATAGAACATATCTCGAGCGCCCAAGTCACTTTGGTAAATCAGTATTTTTGAATCTACCACGTTGCTGATGCATTTTGAACACCCAACGTCTTTGTGAAATCTGATATTTTAAGTGTACGGCACGTTAGAATTTCTCCTATTTGGGTAACGCATGCTATCCTATCAAGGCGAAAGACGATCAGATTTGGTTTCTACGTGATACATGACCAATTGATGAAACAGTGCAGATGATACGTCGATCTAATCATCATCATATTCCTTTACATATCTTTCACGCTATTTACAAATTTGTCATACCTAACGGAACATAGTGACGTTCAAGCTAGAACGTAATTTAGGCAAGGCTGGAACCAAACCTCATCGACTGGAGTAGTGTGAGTTTGTATGCCCAGAAGCCACCAATAAGGAAAACTTTCTGTGCAATTCTCATCATTCCAGTGTAGTATCACTTGTTCTATCTCGTATTTTGATCTCTTGGATATACTTCTACATGCTCAATACGATTACGTTGACGGCCCCAAATCGAAGATCTGAAAGATCATCGACGATGAGGTATTTACTTGTCCGGAAGGTGGAATTCCGGCCAAGAATTCACCTCTGGCTGAACTCGACAACATCGTGCAATATTGCTAGTTTTTTTCTCTTGGAGTATAGTTGAGGCAGTTGTGAAATGGTGAAGTGGTGGAGAAATAGGTATATAAAGAGAGGAAGGAGCGATCAAATATTCTTTCTTCATCGCAACAACATCATTCAATCTTCACTTGATATCTATCCCATTCGACAAGCAAGCAACAATCAAAAACTCAAATCACCCTTCAAATAAACCAAAAATTCCAATTCACCAACGTCCACAAATCGCTATGCATTTCACACAAGCTGCTTCTGCCATTTTGGCAACTCTTGCATTCTCCTCTACAGCCTTGGCTGGTGTCCTAGGGGCAACTGATTCGTTCTGCTCCAGGTCCGCAGGCTGTGTTTGGCAAAACCCAGCTTCTTGGCCAGGTGTTTTTGAGTGCAGCTGCAATCTTGCTTCACCAGATGGAAAATCTGTGTATGGATTCCTACTTTCCTCACTCACTTGAATTCAAATCCGCATCAAAACAATAAAATAAACTAACACATGCATCAGACTTCTTCTCCAAGGTTACACCGACTGGAACTACGAAGGATTCCTTTACAACGGTTACTCCACTGTCGGCGTCTGCAACAATATGCCAGATCTCTTCAACAAGAATACCGAATCAATGAACATTAATGTTGACAACACACCCGCTTGTTGGCTCTACACCCAAAAGGATGTAAGATTCCCCTTACATTTCAATACCCATTGACGACATCTCTTCTGAAATCAAAAAACAACTACTAACCAAGAGACAATAGTGCGTCGGTGACTACGCCGTCATCGATTCCAAGGGTATCGCAGAAATGCAAGGCTACTACGACAAAGGAGTCCAAAGTTGGATTTGCGATCCTTTGACTTCTTAAATTCTCTTCTCGCTTTTTTTCCACCCAGCGATTGCGATTATATACACGATACGGTTTAGAGACGAATAGAAGTTTGCTAGAGCTTGATGGATGGGCATCGACTGGTATTTGAGCGATCGAGAGCCGGCGATAATGTGTTGGAATGATTGGAGTTTGATGGATGGGAATGGGAATGGGAGGATTTCTTTTTTATTTTTTTTATCGGACTTTATGTTTTTGGAGCGATGAGTGGGATGGATTGAGTTTTCTTTGGTTTGGAAGAATGGTGTGTGGTTTTGGAGATGATTTTAGGAGGGAACTTTCGAATACTTTTTCTTGGGGGAATCCAACATTCTCGCCTTTTATTTTAATTCTTTTAACTTTCATTTTTTATCGCTAGGTATTGGTAGTTGGTTGGTGTTAGGTAGCGAGTTATAATATTCATTGAAGTTACTTCATCTCTTTAGCTGCCGTGATTTGTCATTTGTTCCTTGGTACTTTTACTGCAATCTCGCTCTAATGTATCTAATTCCTTCCGACTAATCATCCAAGCAGTTACAAATCCGTTCCATAACCTACAGCAAACTTACTCACCAACAACCCACCTCAAACAGTATACCTAAACTCCGGATGCCTATGCCCCAACATCTCCGTATTCCCCTCCAACAACCTCCCATCCCTCTCCCCCCGCTCCCGCTTCCCATTCTCCCACTTACAATACCCCATCGTGATACTCGTCACCACCAAGCACAAACCCAACATACCGAGATTGATGGCGTGGCCGGTGATATAGCGCGGGGCGTCGGCGGCGATGTAGGTAAATGTTGCGATGAAGGCGGCGATGTTGGCGAGGCCGATTTGGAGACCGGAGGCCGAGGCCCGTACGTAGTGGGGGGAGGTGTTGTTTGCTAGCCAGCCTTGGGGGGAGGAGGGGGGGTTAGTTTGGAGTTGTGGTCTTAAAGTTCTTTTTCCTTTTTTGTTTGGGGGAAATAGAGAAGATGGGGGTTGAAAGGAAAAGAAAAAGAAGAAGGAAGAAGGAAGAAGTACACACCCATAACAACAGGTGGACAAGCAAAACTTCCCGCGGCAACCAGAAATGTACCTCCATATTGGACGTGAGGTCTCGAGGTTGCGATGAGCATCACATAACCGATGATGGCGATGCTGGCACAGATGAGCATCAAGAGACCGCGACGCTTGAAGTGATCTGAGAGAGAAGTGACGAGGATTACGCTGAGGAAGGCGGTCATGTTTGGGGGGACGGTTAGGAGGTTTGCTAGAGGGGGTCAGGGGTTAGTTCACTTGAGAGTGTTGTTTGGAGTGAAGGTGAAATGAAGGGGGTAAATTACCATTTACCCTCGTATACCCCAGCGCAGTGATAATAGTCGGTAAGAAGAGCGAGAACGAATAGATGGGCGTGATGACGGCAAAAAAATTCAAAGAGAGTAACCACGTGTTCCAATTGAACACGGCGAGCTTCACCCAGTGCCAGTCAAATTTCTCATTATCTATATTGGCCACGGGCGACGCGCCGCGGTAATCGAGCTTCATGCGATGGATTGCGAGGTAGCGTTGTTCTTCCGTGAGGAATTTTGAATGTGAAGGGGTATGGGGCAGGAAGAAAAGCGTCACAATGCCAAAGAGAAGCGTGATTCCGCCTTCGACGAAAAATATGAATGGCCATCCGTTATACCTCTTTGTTTTTATTTCCGAGAGGCCCGTAGCGAGGAGACCTCCAAAGGCACCGGATAGAGGCGCAGCGCAGTAGAAGAGGCCAATCCGTCGCATGAGTTGGTGACGTCGGTAAAACATAGCGAGATAGATGATTATTCCGCCTAGAAGACCGCCTTCCATGAGACCGAGGAAAAATCGCGCGACGAGCAAGGACTTCCAGGTGGTAACAAAGCCGATGCAGAGACTTATGAGGCCCCAGCCTATGATTAGGGCGGGGAGGTAGTAGCCTGCGCCTATGCGCTTGACGAGCCAGTTTGAGGGGACTGGATTACGGTTAGAGTGTTGTTTGAGTGATTAAGTGATGATTGGGAGATTGACATACTATCCACGCATATGTATGGCACGTAGAAGATAGCCAGCGCGATGTTAAATTTGGTTCCTGTCAGAATATCCAAATCGGCAGCTAATCCATCGATTTTCGCATTGCCAATGTTGGAGCGATCGATGAAAGCCAAGAGCCATAGGCCAAATAGCCAAGGAACGATGTGACGATCGAATTTCTTGGTAATGAGTTGATCGAGGTCTTTTGAGATTTGAATTTCTTCACCTGGGGGAGTGGTGCTTGGGGTTTCGAGTTCGGCGATTGCTGGTTTTTCATCTCGGAGTTCTGAATTTGGGGAAGGAGAAATATCTTCTGGGGTTTCTGTACTTGTTGTCATGGTTTGATTAGGTATCAGGAGATTGTCAGATCACAGATGGGATTTGAAGAACAATTTGCAAAAATTATCGAAATACAGAAATTTCTTCGGGGGGATAATCTAGATTTGCTTTGTACATGTGGATTGTTGCACAGCAGATGCATGATCAGCTACAACGTACGTTACGAATTCGGTGGCACCAAGTGTGTATGTACCGATCAACGGTGCGAGTCCACATCTGGAGGATCCGGCATTTCAAAGGCGGGGAAGGAAGGTGATGCGAGGGTTAACCGGGGGGCCATGTAAAAATGAAGCTGCAAGAGTTGGGGTCGGCCAATGAGGATTCGAGGTGGGAGATGCAGGATAAGGAATATGTAACATACCTATTTGAGTAGTTATCCGTGCATGCTTTGATTAGACAATGATGGCTACGAGTACGTGTGATGAGATAGAATTCGAGACCTGTCTACAGAGCTTCAAATCTATTGAATGGTTGGAGCGAGGGGACACATCCTCTCTCCTAGCGATGAATGAGTATTAATCATGTGATATTATTCTGATGAAGTGATTGGATGGAATTAAAACCTAATAGCCAATCCGAATCATGAATAATCTGCTCTACATTCTGCTATTCTTCAAAAGACTCGCGAATTTGAACATGCATTGGAACGATAGATATGCTTTTTGGTCCTAGCTTGTTTCGGTAACCCTTCACTCTATATAATTTAAGTAATTCATCCTATCATGTTGTATTAGTCCAGACTTAGCTAGGTATGATTATACCGAGGAAGAAAGTGCCATCTCTACCGAGTTTTGAAATGCCTAAATCGCACTACTGCCAATAGATTACTATCAAAGGAGCTAATCTAAACGATGCAAGATGTTCAGATAAGTGACACGTAAGGAATTCTGGATGATCACGTTTTGGTCGTACCAAAATGGTACACTACCATCTGTCATTCTACTATTGAGAGTTTTTTTTCGGCATCCTCCAATGCCACAAACTTCCATGAGGCCTTTTGATATCTCCCTGACAGACCATACAAAAGATAAGTACTGAAGTGAAGTATTTGCAAAAGTCTGGGAGTTTTAAGTGATGAAACCTTCATGCATTCTTGGGGTATGCAACGACAACCTCTGTGTTTTCGTCGAAGAATCTCCTTGCAGATTTCCGCAAGACTTGCAATGATCTGAACAGACACGGATCCTCGAACATCTATTCTCCTTTTCGATTGTTTTCCTGACAGCATACTTCATATATTCAAAACACCATAAACTCTCCGTCCAACCAAATTCAATCTCGAGATTGTCGAAGCTTCTACCTCTGCCCAAGCAGCTATCTCTATCCTTCCCAGACCAGTCTTGAGCTAGATCATCATAATTACCATGCATTCTGCAAAATTTTGATCAAAAATCCTGTCCTTTTCCTTGTCAGAGGTATGCTCAGTGTGATGGAAACACCTGAACATAGTTAGTTACCCGCAAGCTATACAATCAAGAGAGATCCTCCGAAGGGTTAAAAAACGATCCCTATTTGGAAGCTAAGATACCGTAGAAGCTTTCGAAATTCTCGCAACTAATTTTATGCTTCTCCCAGTCGGATAATCTCCAATACCCATTGCATAGGTATGCAAAGTCGACATCGATATTACCATAGTGACGGGCGATTTTACGTTGGAATGTAGTGTCTTTGTCTGGCGAGCCTCTACCCTCGATTTGAATCCATTTCCCTTGTATACTTTCTCTTACCAGTCTCGAAGGAGCCTCGGCGTATGATTAAGGCATGAGATACAATGGGCTCAAGTAATTCCATTCTTTCTCCGAAGAAGTGTTTTCCCTTTCCACTGCCGTTGCGCTTTGAAAATCGAGGACCTCTCGTATCTTGTCTTCCAGTGCCTATAATACAATTAACGTTCGATGATTAAAATATGAAGCTGGAGAACTATCTTACTGCAAGCTCTGACGTCACTTCTGCGCATCTGGTAGCAACAAACTCCTCCTCGTCTGCTATGAATCTCTGTTCGTCGAAAGATCCCCTCCTGACATTCTGCAATATCTTCCGATACTGTGTAGAGATATTGAGATACCTTTTTTGGCAACAGTCTTATTGATACACTGCGGCGTATAATTGGCCAAAACGATTTCAGTAGATATCGATTCATTCTTGACTTGCAGAAATCGCGACGTTCAACTGACCTTTTAACGACTTTTTGGCAACTATGAGTTTTCTTTGGATCGACTTTTCGAGACGCGCTTCACCAAGATCGATGAGCACTAGCTTCAATTTCATCAGTTCTGCGATGAGGGCTTTGAACTCGATTCTCGCTTCATCTTGGTCGCTTTCGGTTTCTGCAATGGGACGCCTGGATGGCCTCCCAAATTGTTGATAGTTGACGAGTCTTGAATCTTGAGACGAGAATTTTGATTTCGTGTCCAGAAGAATCAATAGTGCAACAAAAAAGGAATGGGATTTATAATGTTGTTGACCACGAGATTGAGAGTGTAGATAAGATCTAGTGTATCGCGTACAAGACCAGAAATAAGACTTAGAAGAAGTACACTTCAGATCTGAGGACAACTTGGTGGATCATAGAAGTTAAAAGACTGGATTCATTCCGTAATACCTCGTATTAGAAGGAACCATGACGAAGGTGCTTTGCATCTCCAGACGGGATTGAATAGATGGAATTTCATTTACCATCCAAGAGCTATTAGCTTTGTCTGCCTGGCTACCGAGAATCATCTTGTATGACAAGTATCACTTCTCTGTCAGCTTTGGTTGATTATGTAGGTGGCGTTCTTCTATTTCCCAGTTGATTTTCAAGGTCGAATTAAGAATTTAGTGATGGATAGGTCAAAAAACAAAAACGAATCCAAATGCTGCTCTTTCTATAGTACATTAGTGCTAAAATTCTCTTCTGCTTGTACTGATAGTAATTAGAATCACTGTATCTAAGACTGTGATATGAAAGGGTTCTTGAAGTAGCATTTAAAGAGCGGTTTAGTCGAAGGGTTTCACTTTAACTATGGTCTATATGAGTAACTTATTCTACTTAATGAAAAATAAAGTGATCTATTCTATGCACGAACTAATACATCTTCTTCGCGTGTTATCGCATGCTTTGGTCTAAAATCTCAACACTCTTGCCTTCCCAATACATCTAGTGTCTGAGGATTCGGATCAGTCTCTAAACTAAACTTTGCGAATTTTCCCTTCTCTCTCAAGGTCTTCCCGTACTTCATAAAAATATAAGGGCTAATGAGCCATAAAGTTGCAACTCCAGCTAGTATCGAGCCGGCAACATTCGAACCCAAGCCATTATACATTCGGTCAGCAAACAAAGGGAATATGCCAGAGAGAAGGGCTCGAAGGGTTGAGTATGCAGCGAAGGCGGAAGATGCGTAGACAGTGTATGTCTGTATGTGTCAGTCAAGACTGAAAAGAAAAATAAGAGTAGGCAACTTACATCAGCTAGGTAATTTCCAAGTGCATACTCAATTTCATTCGCTGCAAATCCAGCACCTGCTAACCCTATCATCGGTACCACCCAGTCAATGCCATGAACTAAGGGTGGAGTTGTCCAAGCCATAAGCCAAAGGCCAGCTGCCAATGCTGGTGCTCCGGTAGCAAAGCCGATTATTTTATCTTCTGGTTCTAGTTCTTTCGTTTCTGCACGCTTCTTGAGATGAAAAAACTCTACCAACCTGACCGGAATACCAAAAATCATTCCTATAGCATATGCAAGGAATGCTAACGAGTATGAAGTCTGGCTAAATCCATATGGTTTGAAGACGATATCCAAAGACTCGGTGAAAAGAAACAGTAGAGAAAATGCTATGGCAGATAGGGTTGCCATTGTGAGGATGATGGGCTCCTGAAAGAATATTTTGGCTGGCTGAATGATGGCACTCTGACAAAAGGTATGAAAATCAGGGACATGATCATCTGCTGTTTGTGTGCGGAGTTTCAGTGTTCCTGCACATGATTGTATAGCGATAAGATGATCCCCAAGGAGTTTACTTGGGCGAGTTTCGGAGATGCCTATGAGAAGGACAAAAAGTATGCAGACGGAAACAATAGAGCCAATGTGATACAACCATCGCCTTTATTTAGTCTTGAGTTAGCTTTGGGGGTCATTATCGACAAATTACAGGTGCATAATTTAGGATCAACTCACCAACCAAGTACGCTAGTGACATAGGTTCCATATATCGGCCTATTCTATTAGTCAGTCGAGATTTCTCAAAACTGCCCCCCCCCAGCCGTTCCTTATTCAAAGAGAGACTCGAGGTTTTTGTCCGAGTTCACTTACCCTAGAGCAGCACCTAGTCCCGCAGATAGTACCCATGCATAGATTGCATGGCCTTGGGTTGCAGGTTCCCACATATCTTCTAGACTGCCCACATTGATTGTTGAAGGAATCGATATCGTCGCACCCATGATAAAGCGGCCAATGTATACTCCTGCGATAGAAGGTACAAGTCCCGTAATCATGCAACTAAGCGGTAGCAAAAGAGCTGCAAATATGAGTATCGGTTTTCTTCCGAAAGCTTCTGAATATGGTGGAAAGATAATGCTTCCTAGAGCTCCACCGATTCCGTACCTATGCAAACAGATGAGAAAGACCATTGTGAAAACCAACAATCGGTGTGTACACTTACATGAGAGAAAAGGCAATGAGTGACTGGTTCTGTGAAATACCATATTCTGTTGCTGCTTGCGTTGCTGCAACTAACTTTGAAATTGTTAGTATACACTGTGAAAAAAAGGATTTTGGGAAACAAACACCCCCGGATTCTAGCAAAGCACTTTAATGGAACGAGTTAATTTTACAGTATTTCCAATTGACAATGGGGAATGACATACCCAAATGTATCAAGCAAGAAAATGCAAGCTGTATTCACCAGTTTGCGTTTCAAAGGCCAATTTCGAGGATGATTTTGATTTTTTGGAAGCCAATCGATGATATTATCGTCTGATAATTGGAGACCCAATTCATCGAGTCTTTGTAATATGTTTGAAATTGAATCCACTCCTGTAGGCAATGATGCCTCACTGAGGTCTGAAGTAGCCAAGGACTCTGTCGGCTTTTCAATATCTATCATGATGAATTTCTTTATCAAACAAATTTCTCAAGATATGCCAAGTCGCCAAAGAACGTGTAATCATGATGGTAGCTGTTGGACGTCTTGGAAGTCTTGGTAGATATGGTGTATACAGCACTGACCGGACAGAGAAGGATGTATTGACGGGATAACACTAGTAAGACAACGCCATTTAAGGAGAATCTAGTGCTGTCGATCATCACATCTAGCGTACACCGCCACTCTCCTGTATCGTGCAAATGATACTTGAGCAGGAGAGCTCACCTTCGAGGAAGAGATGAAGACTTCTTGAGCACTGTTCTGACATTGTCATGAACACCATCCATTTGACACGTGTGTCGATTTCATACCGATATGCCGGCTCTTCTTGAACGGTGTTCTCCAACAAAAGTGGCCTAAGATTGACGAAAGCTCCATAATGACACAGACAAAACGAACAGTTTCAACTGCTTGGACATCTTTACTGACTCCAGACACCTACAAAAACGGGCTAAATTGCCGCGCTAAAGCACGGCATTGTTAATGCCGGATCTGCTCACTAGAACGGACTCACTGCATCATAAGATTCGGTCTTTGTAAATGACTAATTTATCGAGTACCGACTGGTTTGATGTGTAAATAGGTATATGAAATCTTAGCAAATGGGCGAACGAGTTCCATATCAATTTTGTAATGTGATCCATATGAAACAAAACAAAAGAAGTATGGCCTGAACTTTACCAAGATTACGGATGCATAGAATACTGCGAGTCATACAATGTCTCGTCCTCCTATTCAAGGGATCTGAAATACTACGCCACTTCAGCACGAACTACATGCCACAATACCGGTAGCTATCCATACTCAATAATCACCAGTGAGAAACAAATTATGGAAAGGTTCCTCGAAGCTTTTCGGTGATAGAGTGGTTTCCTGGGATGGAAATGTACTTTATTTGTTGGAATATTGGGAACTGCTGAAACTCACAAAGGTGTTCAATACAAGAAGCAGAAATCACAGCAAGGTTCCCTTCCCAAAGCACCCAGGAAGACTTTGCGATTCGACTCATATCAAGGCTAACAACTGATAAATCATCGACGTCGATCTGTGCAATGAATTTAGGTATACACCTGAATGTCGTGCAAAGGAAACAGATGTTGACGAAACAAGATTGGCGATACTAGAGACGCCATGAGTCCAAGTATAGATACCATATATGAGGCATTTTGTCCATGGCTTCATATGAAACTCCGGCAATCCATTTGCCTCTCTCCCGAAAGAGGCATGGACGTCTGGGTGTGAATGTAATCAGGAGTATATGTAGAAAGCTCAATCTTGATTCCATACGACATTTCTTGCGAACCATCACACGTTTTGCGATGAAGAAATTTTCGGATGGCGTAATGAATGGACGGCGACTTGCTAAGAGGACCTCGCGATGTGGAGGTGGAGGTGGAGTTGGGGTGGACCGTGGAGGCAATCTTCGTCTCACCGCTTCCATGATATATACGGGCAGAATATTACCAAAGGTGGGGATCGAGGGGGTGGCCATGTCGGCCTTTTGCTATTAAACAACCGACTCTACCTGACCTGACCTGAGTACTTCTGCAATCTTTCTTCTCTTCTCATCTTGTCATCCCTCCTTTCCTGGCTGACAATACAAAGATACTATCCGACCTCCAATGTCAGCTTACCATTCATCTCAGCCAAAGAACGAAGACGTTCAGATATTAGAGTGCATTCACTCATTTGCTACCTCTTAAATCCGTTTCTGTCATTCTCTTGGCTGCCCCAGTTACCTGAAAGTGGCCAGGGTATAAAATGTCTCCATTCAAACATTTGCATCTCATTTGATGACGAGGATCAGCAAATACTTCTTTTGTAAGTGGAAAACCAGGTATATAGATGAAATCGAAGCCATATTCAATTGTTCGCCGTCGATATGCTGCAATCATGCAGATGCCAAGAATGGGTTATCGCTCGCTACAAGTATTACGAGTATATGATGATGGTTCTTTCTTTCGTGCTATGATAAGTCTATCATTGCTTTTCTGTCATCGTGTTTGTTTGCGCATGATTGAATATCTGATTGATATATTATCGCAATCTATTGATTACAGTCTTTCAACCATGTCCGCCTTCTCACGCTCCAGCACTGGCATATCCGTAGTCCAGCACTTCTCCTCACTCATAAACGGCAAAACAATCGTCATAACAGGTCCTTCAGCCAATAGTATCGGCGCCGAGACCGCCATCTCACTTGCTCATGCCTCTCCTTCTATCATCCTTCTAGCTGGACGTTCAGAGGCCAAGATTTCTCCTGTTATCAAAGAAATTCATACTCTCAATCCTTCCATCACGACCCATTTTGTACCCCTCGATCTCGCTTCTCAGAAATCAATAAGAAAAGCCGCTTCTTTGATCAATAGCCTGGTTGAAAAAATCGATATCCTGATTAACAATGCAGGTGTAATGGCAGTACCAGCTTATCAAACGACTGAAGATGGAATTGAATTACAATTCGGTTGTAATCATATCGGTCATTTTCTACTTACCAATCTAGTTTTGGAGAAACTTTTGACGGCAGGGAGAGGAGGGCAAGCGAGGATTGTGAATGTCAGTAGTACTGGGTATGAGCTCGGGGGTGTCCAATTCGATGATTGGAATTTCAACGTATGGATGTTGCCCAAATCCAACTGTCCATGTATTAATCACGAGTAGGAAGGAAAAGACTACGATCCTTGGCAAGCATATGCACAATCTAAAACGGCGAATGTTTTGTTCTCTAGTACTTTGGCCTCCAGACTAAAGGATAGAAATATACAATCTTTTGCCCTTCAGCCCGGATGTGAGTTTTTTGAAATCCTCTTCAAAAGGGCCAGCAAATGTTAACGAAAGTCCCAGACGTCCCAACAAGCAATCTCCAAGCTCATGTCACTTCAGAAATGTGGAGCAATGTATTGCAACAAATTTCCGAATCTTCGGGCGGTATATACCCCCCATTCACCAGCCACACGCATTGCATATCAAACTGACACCCCTCCAGGCCAAGAATTCGAACCTCCAAAAACACTCCAAGAAGGATGTTCTACCACCTTAGTCGCGGCTCTAGATCCATCCATTTCAGGTATCTTCTCGTCTCCTCTCGTCTCCTCTCCACTTCCCCACACGACCTCACAACATAACCCTAACCACTAACTCCTCTCTAGACTCATCCGGCGGATTCCTCCAAGACTGCATAATCAGACCCGTACCTCAAGATCACGCAGTAGGCGTAGGCAACCAAGTTCGCTTATGGGATTTGAGCGAGAGGTTGGTGGGACAGCAATTTGACATTTTCATCTGAGAGAAGGTATCATGATTCTTATTCAAGGGGCACTTATCAATATGTATTATTACTGGTTAGGTAGTTCTAGCAGCCCATAGCGGAAGCAAATCCCATCTTGTACTTGTAGCAGGCATCTGGAATAAAATTATTAGGCAGTTTAAAATGAACTATTCAATGTAGAGAATGACTAGGACGATCATTTCACAACTGTATTCCCTATCAAAATCAAAATCCAAATCCAAATCCAAATCCAAATCCAAATCCAGATCCAAATCGCCTTGAATCTCAAGCCCCACCCCAGCGCCTTCAACTGCCGCATAACAACAAAAATCATCTCCTAACCATAACACCATATAGTCACTCAACCCTCATCACTCAACCCTCATCACTCAACCCCTGATCACTCATCACTCAAGCCTCTCAAACCAATAATTCTTAATCTCCCATCTCCCATCTCCTATCTCCCATCTCCTATCTCCTATCTCCTATCTCCTATCTCCTATCTTCATCACTCAATAAAAAGGAGGCAAGGAAAGATAAACAGAAAGAACAAAAGAAGCGAGATCCCATCCATCCATACTGCCCAGATCATGCATGCGTACGCAGACTCGACAAGTGAAGTTTCGTCCGCAGCTTCTTCACCCAAAATCCAATCACATGGCAAACATCACTCATACCACATCACATTACAGCATAGAAGAGCAAGTCACAATCAAGCACCGTGCGAAATAAACTCGTCCATTAAGCTCTGATCTCGAGACTGCAATTAAGCGCTCAAAATTAAATTCCTAAACTGGACCGCCATTTCAATCTCCCCCCCAAAATCACCTGCCTCCATTCCCCGTCAAGCATCTCATAATTTCTCCTCCCAGAATGATGCGTCCAGTCATCTCTCGCTCTAGCTCATATCGCTTCGCCAAGGGTATATTAAAAATAGTTATGTGTAAAAGTTCAAAAGGTGAATAAAACCAATTTTATATTGATTTGAGTGAAGATTTTTCTCCCATCCGTCAATGTCGATACGATTTGAGGGTATGAATGTTGAATAATATGTCGTAATCGTTGTACTTAAAAAGCAAAGTCTCCAGTAAAGTAAGTGGAGTAGTTGTTGAATATAAAAAGGATGTATGTGCAGAAGTAAAGCTTGTGGAGAGGCAGAGATACCGAGCGCACGAGGATTAGCACAGGCTCAAGGTCATCGTCCGTTATCCCACAAAAAGTATCAAAAACGCCATGCTCCCGTACTCGCTGATGCGAGGGGGCATATCCCATTTCCCATTTCGGTTTCCCATCAGATCGTCAATTCGCGTGTTGAAAAATAAATAATTCGATCAATGCTCGCCGGCAATAGGTTCACGCTAATTCCCGCCATATGCAACCATCCCAAAACTCCATGCTGAAATTTATACAGAACCAAGTCGTAAAAGTGCTTCAATGGCTTCTCGTTCTTGAGAATCTGCAGAAGCCATGTTCAAAGCTGTGAAACCGCTAGGGGTGTGAGTTCGTGCTGGTGCTGGAAGGGAATGTCCAACAACAGAACGCAGCCCTCCCCTATATAGATGAGAATTGAAAACTTGTGGAAGTGGCCCAGAAGTGAAGGGTCCAGATGCTGAATAAGAAGCTGCTCGCAATGCTGCGGCTCCAACAGCCGCCCAGTCCTCTTCATCTGTTACATCATTTGGGTCGTCCTCCATCATTACGTCGTCTCCAACCTCAGATGAGGAAGAGCCCGACTCATCGCCATCCAAAGACATTTTGTCGGCCTCATCAGGCATCGAGACATCATCTCCGTGAGAGAAAAATGCCGAATCCCCCGCCCAACTTGACCCTGGTTCATTTAGACGTGTTCGCGTAAATGACCACCCTTGGTTGTTGACGATTGGCATCCCAATCGGATAGGTATCTGGTAGACTCGGCGGTGGTGAATTTCCAAAAGCTCGACCCATTCTTGCCGGATGTCCCTTTAGTCTCGCGTCCCATCGGCCCCAACCCACTTTCTCGAACAACACATTTCCTTTTACACCGCCAGCCTCACCGCCATTGCCACGTCCCTCCAAAGCGCCCACAACAAGTCTTCTAGCTTTCGCGGGAGGAATTCCAGAAAAGCCGGGGACTGAAGTAGTGAGATAACCCATGATGTGCCGGATAGCAAGGGGGCCATGATCCAACAGAATTTCAGGAAGGTGGTGTTTAGCCAATAAACTAGGGGTAATGGCACCAGTGGTATCCAATCCTGGCGATCCGATATCCGACGTTCCTTCATTTCCACTTCCGTCGTGTAAGTCTAGGTCGGATTCAACATGCTCCAAGTTGAGTTGGGGCAGTGGCGAACGAGTACCAAAAGATTTGGTAACATGCGGAGGTAGGTTGGGAGAAATAGAGTTCGGAGGAGTAGGAAGAGGGTGGCCATTGGCCACAGGCACACTTCGAGCCGCTACAGCAGTTAAGCTGTCTCGACCGAAGGATGTTGGGATCTTGCGAGCAGATGAAGCTATTGAAGCCATTTTCGTTGTTGGATCAGTTGATTTCTTTCTCTACAAGTGCGCGACACAAGATTAGTATTTATCTTCTCGAAAAGACGTGTTGGGTTGGCATGCGGGTGACTCAGAAGAATCTCACACCAACACCTTGATGGGCTGACTCACTTCGATTTGCGATAGAAAGGATGCAAGCGAATTGAATGATTTGGTAATTTAATTCGAAGCAACTGTTGATCGTGTATTGAAGAAGCAAACGGAACGGAGGGGAACCTTATCGTCGAAACGGAAGAAGTTGTTGAGAAGATGTAAGAGTGAGTCAGGTAATGGTGGGCGTCGACAGATAAGTGAGCTATATGGATCGGGTCCGGAAATGGAAGCAAGCAAGTGGGAGTGGGAGTGGGAGTGAAGTTTATAGAGGAAGAGCGAACCAACTCGATTGCGATTAGACAGACTGCGAGGTAAATTTGAGATAAAAGTAGAATGGAGGAGGCGACATGTATTTGAAGAAAGTAGAAGAGATTAATAAAGTTTATATGGGAAGATTGAATTAATGTATATTTTTATTTTTGAGTTGTTTCTTATTATTTCGAGCTTTGGTCTTTGTCTGACTGACTGACTGTCTGTC